GTCCCCAAATTGGACGACTGGGTACGGAATCGTATCGAACCTACAGGCCATTTTGGGGCCGATTGGGTCCGGAATCGTATCGGACCTTTGCCTCGGTTTTCGGGGGTCCTTTCGTAGCATGCTGTTATCTGCCGTGAATGGGACAAGGCTCAGCGGCAGATACTCAAGGACGGCCGTGACCGAATCAAAGAAGACCGCATTGCCAGGTACGTAACCTAATTGACGTCCATCAATCGTCACTCACCTACTCGAATATTGCCAGGATCAGAAACCGCCTTCTTGACTTGGGATACGAGGATCAGGATATAGAGGCACGCGGCGGTGTCATGAGCGAAGCAGGGATCAAGGTATCGAAACCTTTGACCGAACGAGGTGCGAAACTTGTGTCTTTTTGACTCGTGATAATATATTGACGCTGCTTTGATGTAGAATGGACTGAACTATCACCTAAGCTTTGCGATATCCTCGACCGGAGGCGTTCCCAACGTTTCGCCGCAGAGCAGAGCCGCCGTCGTGAAGTCCTGGCGCGTCACGTATGCACGGTCGAGTATCCGGCTTTTCTTCTTCGTGTCTCTGTCGCACCGACTTCGTTCTCGTTCCTTCCTCGCGCGGCTGCGTTTTGTCGTATTCCGGGCCCATTGTCGACTTTCATCGAACGGGGTCAGGAGCTCACAAAGGAGACGTACCTCGATCTCGGGGTGGCTGCTAGGGCCTCTACATCATCTATCATCCAATGGATTCTTTCGAAGGGGGAAGCTTTACGAATGCTGATACTCGCGGAATGGCCTCAAGCGCCCGGAGTACGCGACGCTCTTCCAACGCATGTTGACTCGCCTTCGTGGTCGAGTTATCCTGATACCCTTGATGTGTACGGTCACCTTGCTGAACTGGACCTTGCAATGTACGCCTTTCATTGCTTCGATTGCTCTTCCCATTACAAGCAAACGGTACTGTATGGGCTCGACGCACTCGCACACCGCTGCGATGGAATATTTTCCTCGTCCGCAATCAAGCTCCCTAATCTGCAGGTCTTACCTGAGTGCCACGCAGCCGTGTTGCGCATCTGTGATATACTTGGCCTAGATATGCAGCAGACGACTCCGCTTATGCTAGATCGACGCGGCGCTGGCTTCATCACGACCTGCAAGAAATGTGCGTCAAATGCAGCCGAGTCGACCGGACAAGGAACATGGGAGTTACCCTTAGGGTGGAGGCAATTAGTATGTTTCCTCTCTAGCATCCGCGCTGTTTCACTCCCCTCATCACATCCTGTAGGTGCGCCGGATGAGCGCTCTTGACCGACAACCCGATGAACACCGTTGCGATTGGTCCGACATCCGTGACATCCCTCACGCCGACGCTGTACAACTACACACTGGCCGTATGTCTTCCAAAAGGTGGATCCGCGACGAATGCGAGCGGCGCTGTGACGTGGATGTGCATACACGTCGCCGATGGGGATGCATGCATTGCCCGGTGCATATCGCCATCCCAGAAGAGACCCCAGAGGAGCTCCCCGGATCGTGGTTCCCGAAACTCATGGGTCGTGCCGATCTTTTTAAACATATTACGACTGAGTGAGTAACCCGAAACTTCATTGACGCATTGGCTGAACCATTATAGGCATCGAAAGCAGCCGGAATATCTCACGGAAGGTGTTGATTACTTCTTTGAACGAGGGCTTGCAGGCAGTCGGGATGATTCAGACGAGTTTCAATGATTGATTCCCTTGTACTTTTCTATGACTATACATTAACCCGACACACTGCGCCTACGCTTGTACCTTGAACCATGCTACTCCGTGGCCCTTTGTACCGTCATTTCTCGACCGGAAGTTCGTAACGCACGCGTAGTCAGTAGCGCGCGCTGGGGGGTCGACGCGGCTGCCAGGTCATCATAGACCCGGCGGACTTCTGCGCCGTCCGCGACCAAGAGCGGTGCAACGCTCGTCGATCCCAATCGGATCTAGACATTTCCACGTGACCGTGTTTAGGAGAAATACACGTGATCGCGTTGACCAGAAGACGCGTCGAGTCGCCAGTCGCGATTGCCCTTCTTGTGCACTGACCACTGCCGTCATTTCTCCATTCCTCCGAAGTATGGCTCAGTTCGCGCTCCCGACTATTCACGCGCCTGTAGTCTCTGCCAAGGAGCGAAAGAAACGTGACTCAGCGCAACCGCCAAAGCGAAGCAGTATGCGGACCTCGCGTTCAAGCAAGCTGGGTATGCTATCACTGGACATACTCTATATGGTGATATATGCGGGTCACATCTGCGGGGAGCCGAGCTAACTTTATCTCAGATACTTGCTCTGCTAGCGCCTGGCGACCTCGTAAACCTGAGTAGAACGAACAAGATGCTCCGTGGTGTCCTGCTATCGCGCCGCTCTAGTACACACGTTTGGAAAAGAGCACTTGCTGGTCCAGCAGCTTTCAACTGTCCCCCGTGTCCTGAAGATGTCTCAGAACCAGTCTGGGCCAACCTTCTCTTCGGAGAACCTAGATGCACAGTGAGCCGGACCACAAATATCATGACCGTACGATTCACACGTTACCTCGCAGTCTTGCGGCTCCGGCGACGACACGACTGTAACCTACTGGGAGCTCAGAGCTCGCCTGTGCTCTCAATGTGAGAAGACTTGGTGCGTATCTGTAAACTGTACGCACGAGTTCCGGCATTGCAGCTGACTCTGAAGCCGAATAGTTTATGTCGCACAAGCAAGGTAGAAGGTAGTGACCCTAGTGCTGCCAGCATACTACCCACAGACTATGGTATGTACATCTTGTGCTCTCTTGTCATATGCCTCACTTGTTTCGCAGTATTTGATCGCAATGTTGTTCACTCGCGGATACGCAAGATGTCAAATATAGATTGCTTTGAGTACGAAAGCGCGTGGAGAGAGGACGTACAGAAGTACGAACGGCTGAAGCAGGGCGGTCACCTGAGGGGTATCTGTGGTACGCGACGCTCTATGCAGGCGGCGAAAGACATGAGAGAGAGGGTATGTCTTTGCCATTGGACCTTCCCACGGTTACAATCTCATACATGTCAGGTCGCCGAGGCATGTGTTTTGTGGGCTGCACAACGTGACAAGGCCCGTGTACTCGGCATTCGAGGCCAGAAAAATGAGAGGATCGTTGAGTAAGCGTCCCGGCACCGTCGTATTGTGTTTGATCTGAGCGACATTGCGACTGGTCTGCAGAATTCGAAACCGCCTCCTCGCCCTCGGGTACGAAAGCGTTGACATCAACCATTCCACCGTCCAGAAACACAAGGAGCTGAAGAGTACGCAGCGGATGACTGATAAAGGTGAGTATATCCGATAGGGTCGATGAGGACCTAACGCTGATTGTACGAAGTGTGGCAGCGCGTCGGTCCCATCCTCTGCCAGGTTCTTAACCAACTACGTGAGGAGCGTCTGGCCGCCAAGACACTCTCCCAGCAAAGTATCGTCACCGCTCGTGCAGACCAACTTCACGCGGCGTCCCTTCGACAGGACAGGGAACTCCGTGCCAACGCTGTCAGACTCAAAGTCGCCCAGTTGTATGCCTCTTTGCTGAAGCGAATCCGGGTCGCTCCTACCTCGTTCTCTTTCCTGCCTGGCTCTCTCAGCTTCTGCGGTTTATCGCCTCCAATTGCTGCAATACTTGCCGAAGCTCACGAAATATCGAACGACGATATTGTCAATTTGAAGAACGTTGTCGCATCTTCCCTCCCCTCCATCCGCATATGGATGCTTTTACGTGCAGACGCCTTCAGGAAGTGTATACCGGCCTCGTGGCCAAAGGCGGTTGCCCCTTCACCTCCGCTCGATACTCCTCTGTCGGAGTCCGACGTTGATGTCTACGCTCATATAGCGGACCTGGATCTTGCTGTCTACACTACACGGTGCCGTCGTCATCACTCCATCTCCCGGGCCAAAGAATCAGAACCACTTCTATTCGGACTGGATGCTCTTGCTCATAATTGCTCTTCGGGACCTTGCCAGACGATTGACTTGAATATCTCCATCAGAAAGGATAGCCACGATACGGTCCTTCGGATCCTGGAGTTGTTGGATCTTGATCCCAAGGCAGCGCGGCCTTTGGACCTTGATCGTATGAACGAGCCATTTGTCACAACGTGCAGCACCTGTCTCGACGACGCAGAGCGCGAGTATCAACGAGGAAAGCCATCAGTCTTGTACACGATAGTAAAGGGGAAAGCCCGTCCGGTGAAGAGTACTCGGCCTGACTTCAGGCTCCGGCTACAGCAGAGAAGCTGGTGTCCCATGAATTGGCGACACGCTGTGAGTTCTCCCTATCATTCTAGTCTTTGGAGAGGCTAAGTGATGGTGTAGGTCATGCACATGAATCCCACAGACTTGAAACCACACCGCTGTCCTCCACGTTCGCTTCGGTTGCTTACGCCTGACGAGAAGGCTCAGCTCGAGCTTGCTCAAAAAGGCGAGATCAGAGCCTACAAGATCCAAAGCCGTACTTCCGAGGCGGCCTGCTGGGGTTGCTGTCACTGCCAGGTTCAACTTGCCGCAAGCGCGGAACCCCATTCGTCTCAAGTGGAAAACTGGCGACCAAGGACCATGTTGCTTCACGACGTTCAGCAACACTTGTCCGACGCGTACGTTCATCACTCCATATCTGAATATGCCTTTCTGAGGTATAGCTGTGCACAGACACGGAATTGCGTCCGGCGTGGAGGGCACGGACATGTTCTTTGATCGCTGCGTCTACAGAGACGAGCGTTGGTCGTTTCCTCATACGATATTCATCAAGGACACGGACACCGAATAGAGATGGCAGTGATAGTGCATAGTGTCTGATTAGTACTTATGCGTAATGTATGATTCCAAGCCCGACACTGTATCATGAGACAAAGCGAAGAGAGTGATCACTAGTCTCCAATAATATCGACCACCCATTGCTGACTAAATGCGTCGCTAGAACCCGCAAATAGGATCTGAAGCACATACTCAGTCAAAGCAGGTTGAAAGAGGTCAAACTCAGCTTACCGGGTCTCCCAGTCCGGCGTGTTGTGCGGCAAGACAGTAGTCGCCGTTGGTAGGCACCGCGGAGAGGATCTCTCCTGGACCAGTCCCCGTGCCGCTCGAGACGCGCCAGTGCTCCCAGATGTCGTCCTCGCAGAGATCGAGGATGACGGGCGTGTTTCCCGCGAGCGAGTTGCGAGCAGTGATGCACAGGATGGGTCCTCCAGACAAGCTCTCCGCGAGGACGATGTCGGTGGTTTCATTGGGTCCGCCCATGGTGAGCTGGAAGATCGTGTTCGGAGAATCGCAAGCGGTGACGAGGATCTCCGCTTGCCGCGCGTTCGTAACAGCGCCTAAGCAGACTTCGGTGTCTTCAGCTAGACGGAAACGGACGGGAGTGTTCGCGCTATTATAGCAGTCAGAAGATGGTCCGGATGTAGAGAGGAGTGGGACTGTATGCGCACGGGATGGTCTGCGCTAGGCCTAAGGTAGCAAGGACAGCAAGGTAGGTGAGATAGGAGTTGAACTTCATGATGAATTGAAGGTGGTAATCAACGACGATGTTGTGCTGCTCCTCACTTTCACTTCTCATTTATACTCATCTCCCGATGTCCAGACCTGAAGCGTAGGGTCCGACTGAAACGCAGACAGCAATCGAGTCCATGGCCGAGGAGGAAGCGCGAGCAAAAGAACGTAGCAGTTGCTGTGTCGTAGGCCAGTCTCAGAGTACAGGACGGTCTACAGGCGGCAAAGTGTAGCCGAGCGGGAAGACAATGCCGTTTATGCGGCTGCACGTGCCGCTCGGCCTCGTTAGTGAGCCTAGAGTTGGATCCAGTGAGATAATGGCATATGTCACGGTGCTAGCCCAACACTTGCATGTCAGATCTGATATCAATCTTGCGACGATGAGAGAAGGACAGGGCAACGTGTGGCTCCCTGACAAGCGTCGCTCCAAATTCGGCTCACACGGCGAACCGGCTTTACCCGGGCTGTGCACCCCGCTGGATGCTATTTGTGAGAGCAAGGAAGGGTCTTGAAGAGCCGTGAAGCAACCCGAATTCGCCAGGCCTTGCCATCCACGATATGTTGCAACTTGACGAGTGCCGAGATGAAGGAGAGTCGGCAGGTTGTGCCCGCTGTAGCGTTCAGGCCGAAGATTCACACGAACAGTATGGAGATTGCGGACGGTCTATGTGTTATGATACAGGGAACGGGCTTTCTTCGAACTCAGATTGTTCACAGCTTCGCATGCTCGCCGGGCCCAGGGTAGACGCCAGACGCATTGTAACGGAGGACCTCCCCCGCCTTGCCCCTAACGTCCTTGTCAATGGATTGATACCCGGCGACGGTCATGGTGATGTCAAGGTCCTGCAGTACGACTATGAACGACCGCACTTGAGAGTGAAGTAAGGGTACTTACAGCGAGCAGCGATTTGATGACATGGCGACAGCCAACCTCGCCTTCGTGGCTCATTCCCCAGACGTACAAACGTCCGATCATGACCGCGTGAGCACCGAGGGCAAGGGCCTTGAAGACGTCGGATCCGGTCCGGATACCGGAGTCAAACAAGATGGTCATCTCTGCACGAGATCAGTGTATGGCCTGGCCAGTTCAAGCCGTGAAACGTACTGTCGCCGACGGCTTCCACGATCTCAGGAAGAACCTCAAGACTCCCGACAGCGCCGTCGACCTGGCGGCCCGCATGATTCGTAACGACGATACCCTCGCATCCAGCCTCGAGCGCACGGCGTGCATCCGCCGCGCACTGGATACCCTTAATGACAAACGGCCGTCCCCCGGAGATACGTTTCCATTGCTCGACCACCCACGGTATCTTCTCCCAGGTATGCGCCTTGCCATGCCAGACGGACGAGTCGATCCACTTTCCCGAGTCTTTCTTGAGCTCTTCGCCATACTTGCTCATGAATGCGGGGTCAGATGTGCCGACTTCGTTACCGACGGCGCCAGGGTAGTAGAATCTGACATAACAGGTTGATCAGGAGGACAGCAATCGAAGAGAGGGGAGAAGAGCTCACACATAGTTCGCGATGTTGATATCTGTCGGGCGCCAGCCGAGTTGCCAGGTATCCGTGGTGAGCATGCAGACGTCGAAGCCACTCTTCCATGCGCGCTCGAGCAGGCTGATCGTCTGACAGCATACAGTGTGAGTTCCTGATGCATAAGATGTAAGAGGCACGCTTACAATCTCGTCGTCGTGACCCATGTACAACTGGAAGAAGCGAGGACTCTGCGCTTCTCCGCCATTAGGGCCTGAATATTGATGTACGTTGTTGCTCTCGTTCTTGGTGGAAGCGCCTTGGTCATTCGCCTTTGCAACATCCTCAATGGGTTGCGAAGCGGCGGTCGACAAGCAGTACTAGTTCAATGCACGTTGAGCCGCATTGTTTTGGATGAGAAGCAGTACGACCGACCGGAAGGCCCAACTCTCCCGCGATCTTTGCCGGAACGAGCTCTCCGAGTGGGTTGTACAGCTTGTTGATTCCGATAGGCGCAAACATGATCGGTGCCGGAATCTTATGGCCGAAGATGGTTGCTGAAGTCAAAGGCGGTTAGCGTACGCTTCACAATCCCGAAATCCATCGTGCATACTGGTCAGGTCGCGAGTGTTGGTGTCGCGTAGAGCGCGGGGAATGATACGCCAGCGATAGAAGGCTTCTCTGCATGATGTGTCAGGATTACTTATTCATTGAACGAAGTGACAATGTGGGGTTCACTTATTGGCTTTATCTGTCCAGCCGAGCCCAGCGTTCGAGTTTGCGTAGAAGTACCCGCGGTTATTGAGGGTCTTCTTTGTCGATTCCGCGAGTTCCTCTGCATGCACGGAGAAGGATGGAACTAGTAATGACACGCTTCAGCCACAGTCCGTCTGGTTCAGGAAACTCACGAATGCCCTGCTCGCCTCCACGACGAAACATCTCGCGCTGGTACATTGAGTAGTGGGGAGAGGGTCCCTGGGGCTTGTTGGTTGGATCCATGGTCGCAATTCAGTCGAGTGGGTTGAGTTATTGTAGCTCTATCGAGAAGGGTTTCACGCTTTTATATGTTGGCGACCAGCTGTAGTGCTTGCTCGCGGTGAGCCGCATCCGACCCACATATCTGAGTCAACTCACTATTACCGGAGTGCTCGGAGGTTGAGACGATGGAGGTACGCGAGAATAGGACGGAGAGCCGTGTTTGTTGCGGTGAGCCGGCGGTCGTCGCATAAAGCATGACGTCGCGCGCCACCCAGTTGAACACCTGAAGCGCTCGACGGCTCGCCGCATTGGCTGGAATAACATGGCGTGAGATAAGTATCCCCATGTGGTATGTAGCGTCCTTAATCGTTACGAGGGCTTCCGCGCATACCGAGGACGATAGAGAGGGCGTTGTGCAGGGATTGGCGCGCAATGCAAGTCGTACGGAGTCCCGTCTATCGGCGAACTGCTATATCTGACAGTATCATTCGTAGCGCCGGGTCTTGTACGCAGAATAGGGCGACGGATGGAATTCGTTCCGTAATGGCAGCTGCGCCCAGCATTGCAGTCGTCGCGAACGTCAAGAGCAAGTCGACGTCGGGCGCGATGTCGGGGAACTCGGATCCGCCTTGCCCGTGATCGCGACCCCGTGAGACTGATTTACCGGTTGCGGAACGTGTTCAAGTGCTGCAAGTTATCTCGAGCATCGCGCCGCGTGCAGTTACTCAGCGGCGACGTTCATCTTCTCCGTAACCCCGCCCTTCACCTTCCTTTCCACAAAAATAATGTCGTCCAAGGCGGTTATTCTCGTCACTGGCGGTTCTGGTCTCGTCGGCTCTGCGATCAAGCATATTATCGAGACGGAGCCCGTCGGTTCACGCTTTGGCAAGCGCGAGGGCGAGACGTGGGTCTTTGCAAGCTCTAAGGATGGGAACCTGATGTATGTCTACTATACTGTCTGAGTGTTTGAAATACACAATACCGAACGCTACGATAGGTCTATGGAGGAGACTCAGAAGCTGTTCGACAAGTACAAGCCTACGCATGTCATCCACTTGGCCGCTTTGGGTACGTTGCTGCACTCGAACCCGCAATGGTCACCTGACATGATTGTACAGTTGGCGGGCTCTTCAAGAACATGAAATACAAGGTATACAAACTTATAATGGAGTTCCTATCAGCGTGTTCACCACGATGCAGGCCTCGTTCCTTCGCGACAACTCGCTCATTAACGACAACGTGATGCACACGTCGTACGAGAAGCACGTTGAGAAGCTCATCTCGTGCCTTTCTACCTGCGTGTACCCGGACAAGGTCGAGTATCCGCTCGACGAGACAAAGATCCACCTGGGCCTTCCTCACGAGTCCAACTTTGGCTACGCGCATGCCAAGCGTATGGTCGATGTTGCGAACCAGTGAGTGCGTCCTTGCATCTATGGCGAGTTGATCTAACCATCTTCAGCGCATACAAGGACCAGTACGGCTGCAACTTCACCTCCGCCATCCCCACTAACATCTTCGGTCCCAACGACAACTTGTACGCCGACTACAGTTCCATTTCTGTCTAGCCCGCTGATATCTGTACAGCGATCTCGAGGACGCACATGTCATCCCCGCACTCATCCACAAGTGCTACCTTGCGAAGAGTAGGCCTCATCCGTCAAATCGTCTTGAACTCTATTAACGCACGTTCGCAGAGAACGGCACGCCATTCATCGTGAGCGGCACGGGCAAGCCCTTGCGCCAGTTCATCTACTCCTACGATCTCGCAAAGCTCTTCATCTGGCAACTGCGCGAGTATGACGACGTCGAGCCTGTCATCTTGTCCGGTCCGTATCAGCTTTGCATAGTCCCTGACGTGTGTCTGATGGTGTTCTGCAGTCGGTGAGGATGAGGAGATCCCCATCAAGCAAGTCGCAGATGCGATTGTGAAAGCAGTCGGCTTCGAGGGCGAGTACTCTGTACGTACTTCTCTTTCCCCCGCCTGTCTTCCTCAGCGCTTATCATCTTGTAGTTCGACACCTCGAAGGCTGACGGCCAGTTCCGCAAGCCCGCGTCCAACAAGAAGCTGCTCAACCTCATCGGCGGCTTCGAGTTCACGCCCTTCGAGAAGGCGCTCGATGAGACCGTCTCCTGGTTCCTTCAGAACTACAACACCAAGGCGCGCGTCGGCAAGCCACCCGCGTAAGGTGGAGATTCTGCACGGGTTGACATCGACTAGGGTTGACATGGACTAAAGGAATTCTTGATCGTCGGTCGCCATTGTACGACGTCTTTGTTGCATAGATCGGCCTGGGGCCTGTAAACAAAATATACCTCATCTGACCCTTCGCCGACGGCTGGATACCTGATGAACGCTGTCAGATAGCCAACCTGATAAGGAATGTCACTGAGAAGTCGCAATCACAACTAGCCGTCGCTTATGATGCTCAAGAGGGCATATGTAACGAGGATGTCACGAGGATCTGTTCGCAGCAAAAAGGAAGCACGCAAAGCGCTTTTGTGCGCATTATATTGTACAGCTACTGCTACATCTTGCTACACTTCGTTCTCACAACTACAATACGAGATAGATACGTCTGGCCGCTTAGAAGTTGAGCATCTTGTCGAGCCCGGTCGCTTTCGCGATGCTCTTCAGGCCCGTGGCGGCGAAAAGACCCTTCAACAGGCTGTCGAGACCAAGACCGGAGAGCTAGAGTACAAGCATCAGCATATAGGCATGGATGATGAATGAGATACGTCACATACCAAGCGGCTGACGAGGTTGAGGACACCGGCGAGCAAGAGACCAACACCACCAACGATCTGGGTCAAAGGCTGCCCGAGAGCGTCGAGGAGAGGACCAAGCTCGCGCTTAGCCTTCGGTAGACTGTCGAGCTTGTTCTTCGCCCACTCGATCGTGCCGCCGACTTCCTCAATCATCTACGTGGAGCGGTCAGATACTCATCCAATCATGCAAGGGATAGATCACACGTACAACTTTGAGGGCGGCAGCGAGGCGCTGTTCCTCGGGCGTAGCACGGTGGTCCTGAGCGTGGCGGGTGGCGCGATTGGACAAGCGGCTGTCGGGGTCAGCGCCCTTGACGGCACCGTTGGCGGTGTGTAGCTCCTTCTCGGCCTGCTCGATGAGAGGCTTGACGGCCTTGATGAGCTCGCCCTCGTCGCGCTCCTCCTCCTTCTTGGCGAAGAAGCCCTCGATGTTCTCGCGGATCATCCTCGTCAGAGGGACGACGCGCTTGTTGGCATCCTCTGAGAGATTTAGTTAGCAAGAATGCCATGGAGCTAAATGGGTGAAGGGGACGGCATACCGATGATGATGGAAAGACGCTCGGCGAGTTCGTTGTCCTTGCGGATCGTCTCCTCGTCGCGGTCGTCGGTAGCCTCAGAGTCGGCGTACTGGCGCTGAGCGCCCTGACCGAACGGCTGCTGCTCCTGACCGGACTGCGGGTTCATGATGTCGGCCATAGTGATAAGTGTGGGTGTGTGGGTAAAGTTGGGTCGTTAGCGGTTGGGATGGATCGTAAGGCGGGTCGTGAAAAGTTGTGAAGACCGCATACCGAGCGCAAAGGTGTATATAAGCCGAAAGGTGGCGTCTCATGGTGCCGCGATGTCATAGTGAAGTACAGCGCCTATAGTGGATACGTGGCGTAAAGCCGCTCCCTTTGGGAGAGCGCAGCGGCGCGCCGGACTGGGAGTTGCATAGGAAAGCCAGGGAGAGCTCGTGCGCTTGGTGCCTGCATGCCTTCGGGTTGGAGTTGGAAGGGACTCGAGAAACCTCGAGGCTGTGAACGGTTGCCTCCTCGAGACGACAGACCCGCAGATGAAGTCATCATCCACCCTGGAGATCAGAAGGGCGGAGAGGGTACACGACGGCAGGTACACGGTCGAGTAATCGATACTGTATCGGTGCCTTGTCCAGATCTACAGGTAAGGTGACGACAGAGAATCCGGGAAATGGTTGCCTGTCAACCAAATATGGCTTTGAGTGCTTCAAATATGTTCTCGGCGTCTAAGGAGAACGATTCCATTCTAACGTCGTGTAGTTGCTATATGCTCAATCCTCAGCGTGCTCGGTTGTACCACCCATGTCCGCGTAGATGTGAATGAAGAGCCAAGGCGGTTAGGAAGGACTGGTGGATGTGTGCCCAGCGTCTCTCGCTTGAAGTGCGCGACTGTGTGGAGACTGCGCGAACGTGCAGTACTGTACTTGCATGCATCGATTGCAGTAAGACCGTCATCGCCGACGACATGGGCGTCCTGAGTCCAGGCCTTGCAGGGTAAAGCTATACTCGCACCGAGCCCCATACGATGATGCATGCGGCGTTAGGTCCTTGAGCCGAAAGCGATAGATATTCGAGAAGTCTCACTGCGTATGTCATAGACACGCAGCGATAACACCGAAAACGGGAGGAAGGCAGAGCGTGTTACAACGCGAGCCAAGCATAATGGTGGTTGAGGTTGAACGTTGGCGTTGACGACGTCGACGCGTCTCGCGCAGTTCGACAGCGGGCGCGTCACGGACAACAATTCACGCGTTCACACATTGAGCGATGATTCAGAGCAGTCGTTATACAGCTGTTTTTACACTAGTGGTACATGTCCGTTGATCTAATAGTCCGTGATGTATCTAGAAGCTGAGGAACTTGTCCAAACCCGCAGCCTTGGTGATGCTCTTGATACCCGTGGCAGTCAGGATACCGTCGAGCAAGCTGCTGAGGCCGAGACCGGAGAGCTGGAGAGTGAAGGTTAGCGCATGTAGTGATGATAAGCAATCGCAGCACATACCAGCTTGGAGACGAGGTTGAGCACACCGGCGAGAAGAAGTCCGACACCGCCAACGATCTGGGTGAGAGGCTGGCCGAGAGCGTCGAGGAGAGGGCCGAGCTCGCGCTTCGACTTGGGAAGGCTGTTGATCTTGTTCTTGGCCCAATCGATGGTGCCGCCAACCTCCTCGATCATCTACAGAGCAACGTCAGCGTGCGCTAGTGATGATGATGTAGAATGAGACGTACCACTTTCAGCGCGGCGGCGAGACGCTGCTCCTCGGGCGTCGCCTTGTGGTCGGCGGCGTGACGGTTCGCGCGGTTGGTGAGGCGGCTGTCGGGGTCGGCGCCCTTGATCGAGCCGTTGGTCTCGTAGAGAATCTTCTCGGCCTGCTCGATGAGGGGCTTGACGGACTTGATCATCTCATCCTCGTTGCGCTCCTCCTCCTTTTGGTTGAAGAAGTTCTCGATGTTCTACGCGAAGGGCGCGTCAATACAGAAATCGAAGATGGAAGGAGATGACCGTGACGTACGTTGCGAAGCATCTTGATGAGGGGGACGACGCGCTTGTTGGCGTCCTCGATGATGATGGAGAGGCGCTCAGCGAGCTCGTTGTCCTTGCGGATCGTCTCCTCATCGCGGTCGTCGGTCGCCTCAGAGTCGGCGTAACCGCGCGTAGCGTCCTGGAAGGGCTGCTGCTCCTGCTGGGGGTTCATGATGTCGGCCATTGCGAAGAGTGGGTGAGAGTGTGTAGGGTGGCTGGAGTTGGGTCGTAAAAGTCGTCGGAGAGGTGATGTGGTAGAGAGCGTCTAACGAGTAGTAGGCGGTTTATATCCTAGACCGGCCCAGCCTCGTGAAGTCGATGTCATAGCTGAAGAGACTTTCGAAGCTCGCAGCGACTCCAGGATGACTTCAGCGCCTGGCGCTCAAGCCAGTGGGGGAGTGGCTGTCGGTAGCCGCAGGGAGCCGCTTGCATCTGCCCTGGTGTGGTCCTGGTGCCCGTTGCGCTGGGCGACTGGAGCAGAATTAGATCCTCGGGACTCGAGGCCCCTGGCCCTGACGTCGGTGTTCTACGCGGATGGCCGGGAGAGAAAGGTTGGGTGGACGGGATAGGCACGAAGGGAGGCGCTGCGCCACTCCACAGGGCGCCTCGCGCACAGCCCACTTCGACATATGGAAGGGTGTGGGCGTAAGTTCCCGGATTGAGAAGTCCACATTCTAAGACGCTCTACATTTCTTCTCTCCCGAGTTTGAGCATGACAGCACGGGAAATATGGACCTCAGCGACTATGACGCCGCTGCTCGAGGTAGGACGCCCGATCGTCGAGCGGTCACGCAGGACTCAGGAGGACGCCCGTCACAATATTGATACAATTTTAACTAGCCTAGCCAGTAAACTGCCATTTGCTGTCTCGTGGAAGCTGTGGAAGGGGTTTATCAAGGACGTACTGAACAGCATACTTAGAGTCAAAGTGAGCTTCGCCAGCCAGATAAGTCAGCAAGCATGAGTGAACTGATATGAATGATATATCTCCTCCTTCCGGACTTGGACGCACGATTCAAGAAGCACAAGGCTATTGGAGACTCAGAGTGAGTAATTCATTGACGCAGAACGACGTAGCACGCGAATCGCTCAACAAAGCTGATGGTGGCGGTAAAGTCAAACGCGGCGGCGTCGGCGAAGTTGAACGCAGTTCGGGCCGTTTCCCGATATGGGCGCACGTAGGCGTGCCTCGTGCTCACAAACTTCTCAGATCCGCCATCGCTCACACGAGTCACCGAAGCCACATTGTGATATACGGGCGCTTCGCATCTAGCTGTGGCGAAATCATGAAAGGCTACAAGGTCCGAGCTTGCCATAAACACCAACGGGCGATGACAGATGGCGCATGGCAGCACTACATGGCCTGTTGTAACGTTTGAACGCTGGGCCGGGTGGGCTCCCACATAGGACAACAGCGGTCGTCCGCGGACTCACACAGGAACACGCATGGTAGGTCATCACGAATGCACTGGATAGCGAGCACCGCCGGGGCGCCGCGCAAGCGGGTACACTCTACATCGACGTATTGAACAGGGTTATGTGCAGGTCCGAGGAGCAAGAGGGGCATAGCAAGGATGAGGAAAACAGGCGGGGGAAGGGGGACGAGAGGCGGAGGGCCGATACAGCTACAAAATACACGTTTTGGATCGAGTGCGGGGGGTATGAACGGGTTGGATGCGGGGAGCTCGGGAATCAAGAAGCGGAAGCCAAGAAGCCAGGGAAATAAGTGGGTGGGATAGGGTACGCCAGAAGGGATAAGGTAGCTGGAGCTAGGGTAGCGTTTGAGCCTATGGTAGAATATGGATATAGACGAATCTGTGCGAGAATAGAGTATTCTTGGGATAGTGTGCGGTCCGGGAACGAGGACGGTCGGGATTCACAGACAGATCGGTCAGCATCTACGCACGACCGGTGGCGACGAGGTTCATGGCGCCGAGGATGGCGTCCCAGGCGAGATCGAGCACGGTCCAAAACTCGCGGTCGAATACGCCGAGGGAGCATGCGTTCCGCCACAGCATGTTGGCGTTGCGAGTCAGCGCCATGAGTGCGGCCATCCTGTCGCCCTGGCTGAGTGTCGCCTGAGCGAGGAGACCCGCGAGTGTATGTGCCGAAGGCAGTGCGCTCCCGCGGCCGAGGCTGCGCGCGACGGGGTTCAGCAGGCAGGCCAGGAGATTGTGCGCGTTGTGGGATAGAATGTAGTTGTGCAGGGGCTCGAATGCGTCGGCGTGCGGGACGGCGAGGGACACCACGGGGACCTGCGCGTGCCCGTCCGAGCGGGGCTGCGGGTGAGATGCCGGGAGGCGGGGCAGCATCGCGCATGCGACGGCGAGCGGGAGTGCGTGGGTCGCGTACAGCATCACCTTGTCGGTGTGTGCGCCAGAGGAGTACACTGCGACGATGTGTGTCGGGATGGTCGCACCCATCACGCGGACATACTCGGACTGGGGGATGTGCGAGATGTGCGCCTGCTTTCGTGACGAGCTCAGTGCGCGTGATGCAGTAGAGTAGAATCTGTGATATTCAATTAATATACAGCTTATGTGGATATATGCATGTGTGGCGTACTCCTCTCCTCGCTGCTGAACACCCTGGCGAATATATTCGACCGGGACCGCCATCAGGTTGGGGTCCACGGCTGTGATGTTGTCTTTGGGCACCTCCCTGAATGCCGGGCGCTGAAGCTGGCGCGGGAGGTTGAGGGCAGCGACCTGGCTGGGCATTGACTGAGAGTGGATGTGCGCGTCGTATTGGGAGGTAGGATAGGAGTGCGCGTGGTGTGCGACAGGGCGAGACTCGACGTGGAACATATTGAAGTCGAAGGGGCGAGTAATATAATCGAGATTCGAACAAGGGGCTGAGGCGCTGCTGAACAGGAAGGTGTGCGGCGGCGCTGCTTAAATACAACGCAAGCACGGTCTAGATAGAGCTCCTGAACCAGCAGCACGGCTCAAGAAGGATGGCCGCGCGAGGCACTTGAATCCTCCCAACTCGCAAATGCGGAGGGGCCTTTGAAGCTGCCCAAACGGGACGGTCCCTCCGGCAAACGCCGTGTGCAACCATTTCGCTCCTCTTGCGGGTCCTTGTTCTCGTCTGACGAAAACATATGCTCGTCGACTGTGCTCTCCCACCATTGTCACCTTTGTGGCAAGGACTTGTTGCTCACATCTCGCTTACAGGTAATCCATCTTCCCCGCTCAGCGAAGGTCGCCCGATGGATCTTCTCGGCCCCGACCTCGTGTACCCACCAGATCATTATGTAATAAATCCTAAAATCCCAAAATGGAAATCTCCTTGTCGTGCGCGCGCCTCTGTATGGAATAAGGGCATGCTGTCAGGCCAACCACGAAGCACTGTAGAACGCTAGAGGCTTCTGTGGCCACCTCGCTGGGCCACACTTGCCACATGGTTCGCGTATAGCAACGCTTGTAATGCGAAACGCAGCTAAAATCCACAAGACATGATGGTCGGAGGGCCAACGTCGGTGTCGCAATACAAGGCATGCCTAACGCAGAGAGGAACGATGCGAAGGGAGAGGAGCGAGGAGGGGTTGGGCTGGGGCCGAGGTGTGATGGTGCGCATGCTTTGGTTACGCGATGATATACCACGAGCAAAGACAAGGGCGACCAGCAACTTCAACAGGAACAAAGGTATGTTCGGGGTCGCGACATGCTCTGTGCGAAGTCGTGTTTGCCCCGCCCCTTGTATGCGCCTTAGCTTGAAGATACTGAAACGGGTGGACAAGCTATGCGCTGAACTGCGAACAAGGCGGACGGTAGGAATGGAGTCGGAAGTGCACGGTGCGTCGTACGAGGCATTGCGAGTCGATTATATGGCTATATGCGCTACGAGATGCTGCTCTATATCGAATGTCAGAAAGCCGAGCAACGTATGTCTACTCGCCATTATGTCTCTTCTCAACTTCACCCGACATAGCGCCTCCTTCTCCGCCATTCGCCACCACCTCATTCTTCACTCCTGGTCCCAATAGGTCGTCCATGATCTTCTCAGTCGCCTCCCACAGTATCTCAGCCTTCTTCACTCCCCGCGCACCCTTCTTGGGTCTTTGCACCTTCCCAAACGGCACCAGATACTTCCCATCGTACTGCTCTCGTTGTTCTCGCACTTCTGGCGCCGTTGCAGCGAAGAGCGTTGTATATGCACCGTGCTCGGGCGTCATGGCCCAGCCACGCGCAACCCAAACAAGCCAGGCCTGGGCTCCGGTGATCATACCCTCTGTACCCCATAAGCCAAACCGACAGCGCCACAAGGTAAGATTAAGGGCGTACCGGTCCATACAAACCCCGGATGCAACGCAATGGTCAGAATATGGGATAGACCGGGGGTTTTGGCGAAGTATAATTGTTGTTGCGCAGCCCAAAGAATGTTCATGCACTTGGTGATCGAATAGCGTTGGCTCTTCTTGTTCATTGAGTTGCCCCGCGTTGCGTTCCAACCCTTGATGCAACTCATGTCGAATGAGGATGGCGCAAAGCGGTGTCCTGAGGAGGAGTGTACGATGATGCGGACGTCTCCTGATGTGGCCCTGAGTACGGGAAGGAGGGTACGGGTAAGGACTGCGACCGCCAGATGGCTACCTGAGCTTTCAGTATCGTACACCTGCAATCGCCCAATGAATAACGTACTTGACAGCATACATCATCTCGATTCCTTCGTCACTCAGAGTATAGGGCACATTCTTATCGGGCATACGCCCGGCATTGTGTACTGCGAGAGTCGCTGATGAGTATCTATTGGCACCCGAGGGTATCTGGCGTACCGAGTATGTCTAACCTCTGCTCCAACTTCATGAACTCCTCTCCAGCCTTCTTGATTTCACTCATACTGCTGAAGTCCACCTGAATATACTTTGCGCGCCCCTTGCCGGTGAGCTCAGGGATGTCCGTCTCGAGCTGCTTGATGACACTCTCCGCACGCGCGGGTGTGCGAATGAGCATATATACCGTTGCGCCATGCGCGAGCAACTGCCGACATGTCTCGAGGCCAATACCAGAGCTATGGAATGGTTCAGCAAGATGACCTGGCAAAGAACACGCCAATGCGTACGCACTAGCCACCAGTGACTATCGCAACTTTGCCGTCTAAACGGGGTATGTCGCGTGCCGGGTCGTACTTCGTGTTGGCTACTTTCTTGACCATAGCTATTGTAGATCAAGGCGCGACGGCCTATGCTGGCGCGAGTCGAGATGAGCTGGGAAGGCAGGTCGAGCACGAGAAAACGCTGGCGGGGCGAAGGGGGTGGTAAAGGACTACGTGGGATCCCGACCCACCAATGAGCACCAGCCTACCCGACGGCCAGATATTGGGTTTACGTTGAGTGTCCCATTCAGTTTCTTAGTGCCCACGTGCGGCCGCATTGTATGCAGTCTCATAGGAGGAGGAAGCCATCAAAACTAGATATCGGCATCTCGACTGGTGCGAAGCAAAGAAGCAGCGGAAGCCCTTCGGGCCGCAAGTCCTCTCTCGCGTTCATGCGCCTATAAGAAGTCTGGTATGATTGTGCATAGATCAGACGTCGTAGCTTGAAGCTTGAAGACTTTCTTCGGGGTCTACTGCGCGCGACTAGAGATGGATGTTCGGAACAAAGCTGATCGGAGGCCGCGGCGTTGTGTTGGCCGAAGGCTAATCGCGATCAGCTGACTTCTTGGCCAAAGCCATCGTATTTCCAGTATCGCCTGCTACGAGAGATATGGCTTGATGGTCAGATTCTGGGGCAACAATGACCATAGTAGTGATGGACTCTCTGTGAGAGACAATGACGCGTTTCACAACTCCGGCGATTGATACCAGTCCTACGCCGATGATACTTCTCGTGATACGGTTTACCGCGAGTCGACGCGCAGGCAACAGCAGGCAGTACTAAGTTATATTCCATAAGGCATACAGAGAGCGTTCATTCATACATCCTTATCCCTTCTACATACTCCCCAATGAGCTCAGATCGACCAAAGATCCGTTGCTTGTGAGCGCAGCCTCGATGAACGCAAGGTCCTTCAGAGCGCTCCGTGGCTCCTGGGTATCATCATCCTCCCCAGCAATGGCCTTCAAGAAGCTCTTCAACTCCAACTCAACGCCAGCCAGCTTAGTTTCAATCGTCTCAGTTTCCGCATCAGTGACATGGACTTCGATCTTCTGCTTTCCGTCGCTCGTGCGCACAGTGATGAAGCCTTTGCTGCCGATGATGGTGAAGCCGTTATCGGATCCGAGATCGGATGAAGGGGCAGCGAAGGTGAGTTCGAAAGTACCGGACGCGCCGGATTCGGTCCGTACAGCGGCATGAATAGTATCGTGGGGCGCAAGGAACTTGCGGTGAAGAGCCGCGAATCCAGTGAGGTTGATGATCGGCGAGGGTAGCATTACACGGAGGGCCGCGGCGAAGTGCACACCGCCGTCGAGTAGGAAACCGCCTTGATACTATTCACATGTCAGCAACCAGGCTGTTCTTCGGGAGATTGAACGTACGTCGGGAACGGTCCTCCAAGGCGTCTTGTACCATTCATTGTCCTCCTGCATATGGTTTGCAATACGGACTCTAAAGCCTGTAACATCCCCAATCTTCCCCTCTTTCACGAGCGCCCCGACCTTCTGGAAGCCGGTCTCGGCCTCGTAGTTCTCCGCCACACGCCAGATGAGGCCTTTATACTTGTATGTGCCCTCGTATGCCTTGATAAGCGCCTTCGCAGCCTTGACATCGGGAGCAACAGGCTTCTCGCTGATGACGTGCTTTCCAGCCTCAAGCGCCTTGAGGACGATAGTAGGCTGAGTGGTGATAGGAAGCACAACAATCACCGCCTTTATGTCTTCGCGTGCGAGAAGAGCATCGAGCGTGGCCTCAGCAGGAGGCGAAGGAGAGTCATAGTGTACGGCCGGCGGAGCCGAAAGACCGAGCTTCTCCTGGGCAAGAGCGGCAAGCTCACGCGTCGACTTCTCTGAACGGGAGTACACGGCCTTGAGTCCGCCCGCACCCAGCTCAGCAAGAGCGGGTAGATGTGCTGCAGTTTCATGTTATGACCATGGCAAGAGACAAGTCGCGAGAAGGTGATCGACAGCGAGATCAGTATTGACTCTGGGCCAATAGCACTCGGATCGTACATACCGATTTTCGCAAAAATGCCTGCACCGAGGATTGCGTAGCCAGCGTCTGTGCCAGTCATGATAGTTGTCGGTGAAGGAGCCTATGCGCGTCATCGGCCGTCTTTATAGGCAGAAGATAACGCTGTTCTTCAGTTCTAGCAGACTGGGCTGGGCGTTGTACCTTGCCGGAAGGGCGAAATTCGGAAGTTCTGGCTGCATCGGGAAGATGTGGGTCCGGGTCATACGACGCACAACTCTGCGTGGATGTCTGACTCCCTGTATAGGCGGCCCGTACAAGGCGTACACTATGCGTGCTTGAAGTGCTCGAAGGCGAGTGCCAAGAGCAATTTGCCGCGCGCCGCGCCTCCCCGCACATCTTGCTCCTAACCGCCACCTTCTACCTATTCCGGAAGGCAACTCTCACCTACCGCATACAACATGGAGAACCACGCAACCTATCCTGCGCTTGCACCATTCCTGCCAAAATACAGCCCCGCGGCCCAAGGCGCCGCCTTTCAGGCCTACAACGATCTCCTGCTCTCCCAGCGCTGGGCCGACCTTCAGATCCGCGATCTTCCAGCATGCGCCCGCTGCATCTTTGAAGGCATACCACCAAATAGCCCGGATAACGCGCGTGCGACGGTCTTACCATGCTCGCTGGCAGAGACCATCTCACTCGCGTGGCTCGACAAGGCATTCGAAAGCGTTGGACGACCGGAGAAGTTGTACCTGGCAATTGTATCGGACGACTCGTCGGTGGTGTACTACAAGTTGACTGCTGGAATCAACAAGCCTCCGGTTTAAATGGGCGCCCTGGCGAAGACACTTTTCACGAAACCCTGTACTCGCACTCCATGTATATTATCGACGACAGTCAATATCTGGCACAATTTTTTCAACCCATCTCGCGGCCTATGCAAACACCGTACGCCTATTGGACTTCCGGCAGGCCACTAGTAAGCGTTGGGGCTGTGGCAGGATAGCGACGCGCTCCTGTGGCGTTGTCTGACTCGGATATATCGTGCCCCTGTGTGCACATCCGAGCCGTCCTGTCCTCCGCGCGGATGTCTCGTTTCGGAAAGTGTACCCAACTATCTGCGGTGTCACGACAGGAGAACTTGAAGGGCTATATAAACTGCCCGTCACATCGAATGGTCCCATCATTCACAACTTGCCTATTCATCCTCTCAACTTCAAACTTCTACCCTCATCCTTATTCAATCACAATGTTCTCTCCCAAGTTCACCGCCTTCATCCTTCTTGCCATTGCTGGTTCTTCCGTCGACGCTGTACCTGCTCCGTATGTCTCTTTCTGCTCTCCCGGTCGTACATTGCTCATATTCTCGCAGGTACAAGCGTGACGGTGCCACTCCCGCCCTGGCGGCGCGTGAGCCTCAGTTCTCTGTCAACATCCCGAACAATATTCCCGTCTCGGGCGCGTTCCCGAACGGCATCACTATCACTCCTGGTACTCCCTCAGGCAGCATTGTGACGGGCGCGCAGAACTCGACCCTGTTCGGCCAGTTCGGTTTCAAGCGCGAGGACGCGACCCCGGCGCTCGCTGCCCGTGAGCCTCAGTTCAGTGTCAACATCCCGAACAACATCCCCGTCTCTGGGTCGTTCCCGAACGGGATCACAGTCATCCCTCAGACGCCCTCGGGAAGCATCGTGACGAGCAACCGCAACGGCACCTTCCCGTTCAACCTCTTTGGACGCGATGAGGCGACGCCTGTTCTCGCTGCCCGTGAGCCGCAGTTCTCGGTGAACATTCCCAACACCATCCCGGTTAGCGGCGCGTTCCCCAACGGCATCACCGTCACTCCCGGTACACCGAGTGGCAGCATCGTCACCGGCGCTCAGAACTCGACGCTCTTTGGCCAGTTCGGCTTCAAGCGTGACGAAGCCACCCCTGCTCTCGCCGCCCGCGAGCCCCAGTTCAGCGTGAACATCCCGAACAACATCCCTGTCAGCGGTAGCTTCCCGAATGGAATCACGGTCATTCCTCAGACCCCTTCGGGCAGCATCGTCACCAGCAGCCGCAACGGAACCTTCCCGTTCAACCTCTTCGGTCGTGACGAGGCTACTCCGGTCCTGGCGGCTCGCGAGCCGCAGTTCTCGGTGAACATCCCCAACAACATTCCCGTATCTGGTGCTTTCCCCAACGGCATCACGGTCATCCCTCAGACCCCGTCGGGCAGCATTGTCACCAGCAACGGCAACAGCACCTTCCCCTTCAACCTCTTCGGCCGTGGCGTTTGATCCATATCCTGTAGCATTGAAGACCGTATACCCATCTCTCTTGATATCCTGTTGTCCTCCATGTAGTCCGTTGTCGTTTGTCGTTTGTCAGAGTCATGTTTATCTATTCATTGGGATTATCTTGCATTCACAATATTTGATCCGTGTTCTTGAGATTGAGCGAGTACAGCCTTCGAGCGCGGATTGCTCACTGGTACAATACCGTGTGCTTTCGGGTGAGCTGCACTTCTATAGAATCGCGATCCCAACTATATCTCATCACCACATGTTATATCCTGAACGGCTAATGCACTGCGTAATTCGCATAGTATTAGACGTAGTACGGCATCAAGATCCCATGGTCACATCAGAACAACTCGACAGAGTCGAACACGAAGTTCGGGCTCAAGAAGTCATCACCGCTGCTGCCAGAGGCGACGTTGATCGTTATCGTGTTTGAGCCTGCGACGAGCGTGCCAGAAGGGATTGCGAAGTCGTAAACTTGGTTCAATCCGCGCCATGTGCCGCGTGTGACGCCACGAGAGTCGATGGCGGTCGGCGCTTCAAAGAGGTCAGCCATCTTCAATCGGATTCCTGCAGGTTGAGCGATGCCCACCTGGAGGAATGGATGAGGAGAACTTGTTGACAGTAACGATCGGTCTCCCACCGGCGAAGGCCTCAGTGGTACGAATTCTGAGCGTGCGCGCGCCGATCTGGCTGCTCGTTGCGGTCCACTTGATCGTCGTCGGGCTATTGTTGTCCTTGAACTGCGCCATCGGAAACTGTCCGACGTTGCTGCTGCCGATGGTGAAAGTCACTGGTCCCCAACTGCTCATACGAGAGTCGGATGGGTGCATGTGTTCGATCTTATCGGCGTTGAGGAAGCCAGCTGGGGTGCCATCTACGGTACCAATTGCCCAGATCGTAGAAGGCTGTGCAAGCGCGGACCTCAAAGTGAGGCTGGCTGTGCCGCCTGCAGAGACGGAGACCTACAGATGAACGCGATTGAGAGGGAGCCTATAGCAAAGACTGGGGTGGACGTACACTCCCAGTAGCAACCGCGAGCTCGCCCTGGAACAAAGTCGCAGTATATGTGCCCGGGATCATAGCAGGCGACGTGAACGAGCCAGAGCCCGATCTAGTGAAGATGCGTCAACTTGAGTGCTTTCCGATATGTTACGAGGGTAGATCTCACGCAGAACCGCTCGCCCAGTATTGCGCGGCGGAGTTGGCGAATGCAATGGTCACAGCCGGCCCGGACAGCACACCCGAGTACGAGCCAGTGACCTTACCGCGTCCGCTGGCAGCAACGAAGCCCTGAAGTCCGAGCGTCTCCATGAAAGACGTATCGAGGGTACCGGGCGGGGTCGAGCCAGTGGTGAAGACCATCGCGTATGGACCGAAGAGACCGGTGCGGAATGGCTCCGTTTGCTCGTGGCCAGAATTCATGTAGAAGTACAGCTCTTGTTGGTCGCTACCTTGGTTGTTGATGTCTGGCCCGATGTGAGAATGGACGACAATGAGTGGTGCAGCGATGAGGGACGACATACCACGGAAGAAGGGGCCGCCCGACGAGCGCTCGTAGCCGGTCCCTGGAATGACCATGGATACACGAATGCCATTGCCCGTCACGCCGTGAACCTGGTCCTCGATATGCCGGATGCTGGAGTAGAACTTGCTGCGTGTTTGCCCGTTGACCAAGAACACTGACGCATGTTCATAGCTATTCAGGCCCAGGCTGTGACCGCTAAGAACGCTCACCATCGGAACCTTCGATAGCCGTGCCGCCCTTGACATCAGCCCCGGTTATGCTGTTCGGTACAGTCGCCCTACTCAAGCGTGCGATCAAGCGCAGTTCGCCCACGGAAGGCTCTCCGTCGGTGAACGTAGCCATGTAGAGGTTGTTGATGCCTGAGCGAACGATGTAATACTGCACTATGTTTCCACCGATGGCCGAGGAAGAGGCAGAGATTACAGCGATGTTGTTGGAGACGCTCGATGTGACCGAGGCAGAGCCGAAGCCCGACGCAATCTGCGTGAACTTGCTCGAATCCTGGACCTGGGCGCCGTTGAGCAGGATGGACACGACGTCCCCATTGGCCGTATTGACTTCGATTCCACGCATGTCAGGATAGATGCTGACCGGGATGCGATAGCCACATACTCTGTACAACGAGTCCAGCACCTGAGTCTACTTGCAGTCTACCCGATGATGGCGTACTGATCCCGAAAGCGGCAAGAGCCACGGAGGTATATGCGACCAAGGCGACAGCGGAGCGAGCGAGCGATAGAAACATCGCTGCGAGGTTGTGCAGGCCGGTAACCTTTCCACAATCCTGGCATTTTATACACACTGGTGCTTCTCACAGCTACCCGGGCCGTCGCCGCAACATCGGTAGCCGTAGAAAATGGCATGTCCAGCCGACAGCACATTGTTTCGAAGCAGGTGGCTCATGCCGACGGGGAGTAAATGGCAGTTTAAGTGGCAGTCCTCGGAAAACGGCTGCAGTAGGGGGCGCTAGTATGCGAAGAACTTCGCGTCGAGTACACGGTGGTGTCAGGTGGCAGTGCGCGCGAGATGTCTGGGTCGCTGTGAGCATGCGTTATTTCATACTTCGCGCCCGTCATGTCATCGGCGTCGTTCGTACGCAGCTCGGCTAGACATCGGCCGTGGTCCTCGTCGGGCCGTTCCCTGTCCTCAGTCTTGTTGCAGGACGTTATCGTTCGGATGGCATCGTCAAGAAAGTTCAGTCATTCCATGAAGGGCACGGGTGAAGACGATGGTTTCTGGAGAGATGCGTCCGTTGCCCACCAACATGGCTGAGCAGGTCAACAATCAGCGCGACACAACGCGAGCCTCGTGGGGAGGTTGTGCCAGTTGCCCACGCCCTCAGGCTGAACGTGCTCTTGACGCCCACCATCCCACATGCATGAGTACATGAAAGACGTCCACAAGATCTCGCAGCTCCGCTTCGCGAACCCTGTTAGCTGAATATACTGGGTATATACACCCAACCAGGATCCAAGGCTCCGTATACACAGCGCCATAATGGCACACTTCTATCGTCGACGTCTTCAGACTGCTGAGAAGAGACATGGACGTTGCGCACACAATTCCTCGTATGCTACTGCCTAGCGAGACACATTGGCTCTGCTCCGAGACAGCAGGGACTCTGCAGCTGCACGAAACCGCACTTGCTGGGCAGTCCCGGGCAAATGCGTTGGATCAGCTTTCCGTACCAAACGTGAACCCCACGCTTGGTATGTTTCTCCGCGTTTGAGTGCAGGGGGCAAAAGACGGGCCAGCTCGAGTAATACAGCAATTGATAATGCCGCTAAGCATGTTCTTGAGAATGGCGGCACTCGCCCCTGTCGGATTGACCCCTCTGTGCACATCCGAACCTTCCTCCCAATGGCTCGGATATCTAGTCTCGGAAGGTGTACAGGAGGTTTCTTACGACTATATAACCTGACCTCATAGCACTGTGATCTCTCATCAATCAACACATCTTCTTCTTACCAACCAAACTTCCACTCTTCAACCTCCTTCGCCTACTCTATTCACCATGTTCTCCACCAACTTTATCACCTTTGTCTGCGTCGCTGTCGCCGGTTCGTCCGTCATGGCTGGTCCTACCCTGTATGTCCCCCTCGCTTTACCTCGACGATATACAGTGCTGACAGTTGTGCAGGTACAAGCGCGACGGTGCCACTCCCGCCCTGGCGGCGCGCGAGCCTCAGTTCTCCCTCAACATCCCAAACAACATCCCCGTTTCGGGCGCGTTCCCGAATGGCATCACCATCACTCCTGGCACCCCGAGTGGTAGCATCGTTACCAGCAACCGCAACTCGACCTTCCCGTTCAACCTCTTCGGCCGCGACGAGGCGACGCCTGTTCTCGCTGCCCGTGAGCCTCAGTTCAGTGTCAACATCCCGAACAACATCCCCGTCTCTGGCGCATTCCCGAACGGCATCACCATCACCCCCGGCACCCCCTCGGGCAGCATCGTGACGGGCGCTCAGAACTCGACGCTCTTCGGCCAGTTCGGCTTCAAGCGCGAGGACGCCACCCCGGCGCTCGCTGCCCGCGAGCCCCAGTTCAGCGTGAACATCCCGAACAACATCCCTGTCAGCGGTAGCTTCCCGAACGGTATCACGGTTATCCCTCAGACCCCTTCGGGCAGCATTGTCACCAGCAACCGTAACGGCACATTCCCGTTCAACCTCTTTGGCCGCGATGTATGAGCTTAGTATCGATGGGAGAGATATATACCCCGTACCTGTATAACCACTTGTTGTATCATAACATTCTGCAATCGAGAGAGTTGGATTTATCTTCATCCACTGTGTGATCAATAGGGCTAGCAGCTCTCATCGAGAGCCGGTAAGTATGAAGTCGACATGCACGTTCGCTCTGGTTAGCCGAGGTCATATATCACATTGATAAGCAGTGGGAGAGCACGGAATACAGCAAGAGAAGAGCGTAATCAAACGCTAATGGATGAGATGCAAGCAGCAGAGCCTGTCCGCGGTATGTATGTAGTCGAGATGGTCGTGACGGTTCATGAGGATTCGTGAGCAAGTAATGAAGCAACAAAGATATCAAGCACAGTGATACATTCTGGAAACCCAAGATCAAGCAAGTATAGATCCAACTGGTCCTCTTTCGCGTGTTGTGACACACAAGGCAAGGGCTCTCACCGCCGTACCTCCTGGTCAAAGAACTTAACCATATCGCCCACTTTGGCGCGCGGCTTACCCGCCACAACTGCCGGGGCCGTCATCTTGCGTATCTTGACGCGCTCTTCGCGTTCCTGTGCGCGCACCTTATACGGGTCCACGAACGTCCCTACACACAACGATTAGTATCACGCCTCATAGGCCAGAAGAGAGATAACACATACCACTCGCGCTGCTCGCCGTACTCGGCACATCATGCTCGTCTGGACTCGCGCTCCGCGCACTCGCCACGCTCCGGCTCCGTATCCTAAGCGGGGTCACGCTCGACCCAAGCGGCATCATACTAACAGGTCTTGCCCTGCCCTGCCTGCCGCCCGCCATGCTCGGGCTAGGACTATCCTGCACTTGCTGCACCTCGTCCCTGTCCCGTTGTCCTCCACGAGCCTGGCTTTGCCCTCGACCATAAGAGCCGCCCACGGCTCGATCCCTCTCGCGACCTCCCTCACGTCCGATACCGTTCCCAGCTCCGGGCGCGTATCTCTTCCCGGCAGATTTGCCGATCGTCTCTTCTGGATCCTCTTCGTCTTCTGAGGTTATAGGACCCGGCGAGTCGCTTCTGGGGAGGACGGCGGGCGTCGAATCGGGGGACGTCTTGAGCGCGACGGTGTACCTCTTCCTAGGCGTAGGAGATACGCTGTTCCCTCGTTCGGCCCCTCTCGGTCCAACGGGGGCAGGAGGATTCAAGTTCATAGGCGGAGAGACGGCTCGGGCATATGCGCCGAGTGACGAACTCGAGTCGCGGTGCGCAAGAGGTGGAAGGCCCGCAATGCCTGGTGGCGATGATGGAGGACTAAGGGCCGAGATGGGCGCATAGTCGCCTGTTGGGTACGGAAGACGACTCTTCGGTGGTTCACGCTGGGCTGTAGGAGGTACGAATGGCGGGCTGAGGCTAGCTGTACGACTGTGCGTCTGGCTGGGTGCACGTCGTGGTGTGCTCTGGTTCTGGCTTTGGCTGGGGCTTCGCTGATGTGGAGATTGTGCGAGACCGCTGTATGGCGAGGGCAAGGACGATGGTGCTGGTTGTGGCTGGGCGAAGGATGAGGATGTGGGTGGCGCGGCCGACATGGCCGGCGACGCGCGCGATGGGCCATTGGATAGATTAGCTGGTTGAGTAGCGAGACGTGCCATCTCGCGTCCCAGTTCCCCGATACGGCCTTGCAGCTCGGCCATCTCCTCGCGCACGCCTTCGAGCGCTTCTTGTGTGGCGCGGTCATCGCCTTTCTGGGAAGACGCTGATCCATTCAAGGAAGCGGCAGTCCGCTCATGCTCGCGATCAACGAGCCAGCGCTCAACATCTCCCATCCTATCCTCCAGTGCACGCACGTGCGAAACCGTCCACCGTTCCAACTTCTCAAATCGCCTAGCAACAGCAAGTAAAGTCCCAGGCGTATCGAGCGTGCCCTGGGGCGTAAACTGCGCATAAAGCGGCGGCGGCTCGCGTTCGCGGCCTTTGCCGGCGGGAGAAGGCGCGAGTGATGCGGGCAAAGAAGCGACGGAGCGCTGGACGCTAAGCGCCGGCGAACTTTGGTTCGATCCCGGATTGCGATCGGCAGTGGGCCGGCGGGGAGGTGTCAAGGGCGCGAAGGCGGGATCGCTGACGTCGGCCGGTGCGGCGGGCCAGTCGTTGGACTTCTTGCGTTCCCGGTCTTTGCCTTTGCCTTTATCCTTCGATTCCTTCTTCGCGGCGGCCTTCTCGCGTTCTTTGGATTCGAGGATGATTTGTTGGGCTGGCGTGAGTGGTTCTTTGGGCTCCTTGGTCGGTGTCAGGCGTTGCTTGGCTGCATCCCACCAGCCGGGGGTGCCGCTCTTCCGTCGCTCGGATTTAGAGTTTGGAGAGTCGCCAGGGGACGATTCGAATATAGGTTGTGGCGGAGGGAGCGTCTGCGAGCGATTGGGTGGGTTCAGCATCCCGAGTACGCGTTCTTCCATGGCACGGCGCTCGGCAGCTTCAGCCATCAATATCCTTTCGGCCTCTTTCCTGCTCCGATCCCTCTCCCTCTCGGCTTCGGCTTCCAGCTCGGCGTCGCTAGGGAGATGTGTCGATGAACCCGTGGGAGACATTAAGCCGCCCAATCCGAGGCGCTGGGTGAAGGACGAGGCCATTTGTTGCAAAGAGGCGCTCGAGCCTGCGGGAGATGCCGGTCGTTGGGAGGCGCCCCACGGATCGTCAGTCGAGGGTCCTTCGTCGTCGGAGAAGGACGTGTCGGCAGGCGAGAACGAGTTGCGAAGGGGCGAGGGAGAGCGGCGCGTCGATTCATGACCATAGACAGGCTCAGGCTGTAGACAAGACAGTATTCAACATCGCTGTAGATCGGACATAGCACCGTTATCTGCGCTGAGACTCACAATGTCGATCGCGGAGGGAGGAGGCGCAGGCGACGGTTTGCGCCGGGGCGTCTGCGCACCCCGCGGTGGCGCGAGGTTATGCGACGAGCTGGCCTGCATCATCGCTAATACTATACCTTTTACCTTTGCACTGCGACCTGGACCTCGAGGCTCGTCGTGGGCGGAGATCAAAGCGCGCGGCAATTCGAACCGAACGGCGGAGGAACGTGACCACGCGGCACCGGCATCATCACTCGGATTTCCGGATTCGTCTTAGCAGTGACAGCGAACGTTGCGGCCTCGCACCTTGACGACGACGAACCCCGACTTTGCCGCCGCCATGGAAGGCCTCAACAGCGCACTGGGCAGCCTCGAGCACGCGTTCTACAAGCTCCCTGGCTCGCACGTCCTCGCTCGCTATGTCAAGAGCAGTCACCAGAACGATCCCGGCCGCACCGTCCTCGAGCTTCTGCTCTTCCTCTTCCTCGTCCGCACCGTCTTGCAGTCCCGCACCCGCGCTGGAGATGCAGAGCGCCATTTCATTAAGTTCTCTGAGAAGGTGACAACATAAAGTACTTCAATATTATACATTGTCTAATATTACATAGGAAATCGACGAGCTCGTGGACGACTGGCAGCCCGAACCTCTCGGCGCACCCTTGACGGAGAAAGAGCAGTCCGACCTGGACTCCGTCCAAATCGTTCTCGGCGCCAACGGTCCCAAACCCCGCCTCGCCTCGCATCCCACCAAGCCCGTCATCAACTTCGCATCATTCAACTTCACCGGTCTCGCGGGCTCCGAGCGCGTCCGCGAGCGCGCCATCGACGTCCTGGGCAAATACGGACTCGGCTCGTGTGGACCGCCGGGCTTCTACGGGACGTTCGACGTGCATATGGATCTGGAGCGGGATATTGCGGACTTCTTGGGCACGGAAAGCGCGATCATCTACAGTCAGGCGTATAGCGCTGTCGCGAGTGTCATCACGGCGTTCGCGAAGCGCCACGATATCATTGTCGCGGACCGCGGTGTGGGCTTTGCGATCCAGATGGCGCTGAAAGTTTCGCGGTCCACGGTCAGGTGGTACGACCACAACGACTACCACTCGCTCGAGCACGTCCTCGAACACGTTGACAAAGAACACCGCAAACGCAAGGGCCCCCTCACGCGGCGCTTCATCGTCACCGAAGGCATGTTCGAGCGCGACGGCCAAATCGCAGACCTGCCGAAGCTCGTCGAGCTGAAGAACAAGTACAAGTTCCGCCTCATCCTCGACGAGTCGCTCTCCTTCGGCACGCTCGGACGCACCGGACGCGGACTGACGGAGCTGTACAATGTTCCTGCACCGGAGGTCGATATCTTCATCGGTTCTATGGCTGCTGGTCTGAACGCTGCGGGCGGGTTCTGCGCTGGTTCGCGCGTCGTGACGGAGCATCAACGGATCAACGGCACTTCGTTCGTCTATTCCGCCGCTATGCCCGCGCTGCTGGCGGCGGGCGCGAGCACGGGTATGGCCGTTCTGCGCGAGACGCCGAGTCTGCTCGCGGGGTTGCAGGAGAACGTGCAGGCCGTGCGCGCGGTATTGGATAAATGCGACGTCCTCGAGATACCCTCTCATCCTGCCGCGCCGATCATCACGCTGCACATCAAGCCCATCTCCGCATCCACACTTTCGCCTTCCGCCGTCCCGGCATCGAGCTCGGGCAAGCATTCCAACCCGGCACATATCGTCCCCGCACATGCGCCTGTCTACGATATCGAGAAGGAGGAGAGCCTGTTGCAGGAGATCGTGGACGAGTGCTTGAACCAGGGTGTATGGCTCAGCCGGGCGAAGAGGTTGAGGAATGAGGATGCGCCCGCGAGGCCTGCGTTGAGGGTTTGTGTCAGTGTCGCGCTGGCGAGGAAGGAGGCGGAGAAGGCCGCGGGTATCGTTAAGGCTGTTGCGAGTAAGGTGTTGGGGAGGAGGCGGTAGACTGATGAGATTGGTGATGACATTGCTAGAGCTGTTTTTGCTGGTTTTGAGGATTGGTGTATGTATACTCTGTTAATGTCAATTAGATGACGCTTACGCGTGACGGTTAATGCATGTGCGTTGCAAGGGATGAGGATGGAGAGCACCAGAGTTTGCATTTTTTATAGAAGGTACAGGGTATCTATCATGTTTTAACCGGACAGTAGTCTACTCATCGCGACCGAATAGGTTGAAGGGGAAGGTGCTGTTGCCGTTGCTGGTAACAATGCTGCCCGAAGGGGTCTGGGGGATGATGTTGATGCCGTTCGGGAAGTTACCGCTAACCGGAATGTTGTTAGGGATGTTGACAGAGAACGCCGGCTCGCGAGCAGCAAGGACGGGAGTAGCCTCATCGCGTCCAAAGAGGTTGAACGGGAACGTGCCGTTGCGGTTGCTGGTGACGATACTGCCCGAAGGAGTCTGAGGGATGACAGTGATGCCGTTCGGGAAGCTACCGCTGACAGGGATGTTGTTGGGGATGTTGACGCTGAACTGCGGCTCGCGGGCTGCAAGAGCAGGCGTCGCGTCCTCGCGCTTGAAGCCGAACTGTCCAAAGAGCGTCGAGTTCTGAGCGCCGGTGACAATGCTGCCACTCGGAGTACCAGGAGTGATGGTGATGCCGTTCGGGAATGCGCCGCTGACCGGGATGGTGTTGGGGATGTTCACCGAGAACTGCGGCTCACGGGCAGCAAGAACTGGAGTAGCCTCATCACGACCGAAGAGGTTGAACGGGAAGGTCGAGTTGCGGTTGCTCGTCACGATGCTTCCCGAGGGGGTCTGAGGGACGACCGTGATACCGTTGGGGAAGGATCCGGAGACGGGGATGTTGTTGGGGATGTTCACCGAGAACTGCGGTTCACGGGCAGCGAGAACCGGTGTCGCCTCATCGCGACCGAAGAGGTTGAACGGGAATGTGCCGTTGCGGTTGCTGGTGACGATGCTACCACTCGGGATTCCAGGAGTGATGGTGATGCCATTCGGGAACGCGCCCGAAACGGGGATGTTGTTTGGGATGTTGAGGGAGAACTGAGGCTCGCGCGCCGCCAGGGCGGGAGTGGCACCGTCGCGCTTGAAGCCGAACTGGCCAAAGAGCGTCGAGTTCTGAGCGCCCGTGACGATGCTGCCCGAGGGAGTACCGGGAGTGATGGTGATGCCATTCGGGAACGCGCCCGAGACGGGGATGTTGTTCGGGATGTTGACGGAGAACTGAGGCACACGCGCCGCCAGGGCGGGAGAGGGGGTATCGCGCTTGTACCTGCACGACCGTCAGTGCTGTGATCATGGTTGTGAAGCGAGGCGACTTACAGGGTAGGACCAGCCATGACGGACGAGCCGGCGACGGCAATGCAGACAAAGGTGATGAAGTTGGTGGAGAACATGATAGATAGAGTGGGCGAAGAAGGAAGTTGAAGAGTGAAAGATTGCTTTGTTGGGTATGCTTTGGATAATGAGATATAGCTTGACGAGTCGAGCCGCTTAAATATCCGCATCTGCGCTCCTATTGCGGCAAGGCAAGAGTGAGATGTTATGTCTTCCGAGACTGAACGACTCGGCTATGGACGAGGGGTTTGGGGAAAGGGGTGATACTCATGTATCGATGAGCACAGTGATATGAAGCTTTATGATGGCTCCTTCATGTCGCTCGCGTCAGTTGCCATACGAGTGGTCCGTGGCGATCATTGTCCTGGACAAGTCTGGGTAGTGAGCAATGAACGAACTGACGGCAGGAGGTTGTGATGAGTTTGAGATGAGGTTTCGGCGATTGAAGATATGTCTCGGGACAGCAGCGTGAGTCCTCGTTCGATAGTCCGCGACAGTCCATGGCAGACTACACGCAGAAGTGATAACACACGAGAAGGTGGGTCCCGGGCTGTGGCGCGAGACTTGCTACGTATCGAGAATTTGGGGAATATCGCCCAGCTTAACCTCCACAGTCCACATACCGATAGCTTCATTGGATCGAGTCATCGTTGTGACCGGCATTGTAGGGGCCGCCGTATATTGACTGAAAATCCTGCCTGAACTCGGCTGCAGAAGGTCGACGCAAGAGGCAACTGGTTGTGGCTTGTGCCGCGCCATGCGTCGTGCGAAAGAGCTGTAAACGTACACCCATCTGCGCCTACACGTAAGCACAACGGTGCCCTCGCCGCCACTTGGCATCTGTCCCTCGACGTCTCGACCTCCATGTCGTTCGGCGCTGGCGCTGCACCTTCGCGCACGTAGGCTGCGCCGGTCGTTTTCATGATCCTACGACGCATCTGCGTCACCACAATATCTTGCTGCAAGTCCACGTCAATCACTCGTCAGCTTGATACCCTTTCCCAGGGTACGAGAATGGCGAGGGCTCTTCTATATCCGCACAGCTGAGAGATCCGTGCCTTCCCCTGCCCCGGCGTTCCTCGGTCGCGTCATCTAAACTTGCCAGTGACCGTCGTGGCGCTTGTCTCCAGGGGTTTGCACCAAGGCCAGGTGCCTTGTTCAACCGGAAGGTGGAGTCCAGGGCGCAGCTCCCTGCAGCCCCGCTCAGCAGAACATCACGCCGCTGTCAGATATCGACATATTCCCGAGTCTCGACCCCGCTCAACAGGCATCGGTTGGATAGCAGCTTGACGCGTCAAGCAGGCGTAAATGCTTCATGTAGAGCGCTCTCAATTCGATATGGCATCGACACACCGATGCTCGACGATGACTGCACGTTCAAACGAACAGGATCTCCTTCGGCCCGCAGCTGTGTATGGTATTGGAACGCGACTCCTTCATCCCACGGACCATGGAGTCGAGGTATCCTGCTATGACATCTACCCCACGAGGCTGTTGGCGCGCATAGGTGTATAAGTTCGCGATTGGGACTTCAGCGAATCCTTACCTTTACCTCGCACCAAACACATATCCCCCACCCACATCCACATCTATTATCATGGCTGACATTCAACTTGGCGACGACCGCACCGAGCAGCGCCCTGAGGCGCAGACGTCCGGACGTTCGTTTGCGTACGCTGACAGCGAGGCGACGGACAACCGTGACGAGCAACAGATCGCCGCCGACAACGAGCTCGCGGAGAGGCTAGCAAGAGTCATCGAAGACTGTGCGCGCCTTTGATTCAATTCGACTGTTATATTGCTGACACCGACTTCAGCGAACAAGCGTGTAGTACCGCTCACGAAGATGATCCGTCAGGTCAGCTCGTGTAACGTATCGAGGCCGCTCAAATACTGACTTGCCTCATAGAACATCGAGAACTTCTTCAACCAAAAGGAGGAGGATCGCAACGAGGACGAACTGATCAAGGCCGTCAAGCCTCTTCTCGAGCAGTCCGAGAAGATCCTCTACGAAGCCAACGGTGCCGTCAAAGGCGCCGACCCCGACAGCCGCCTGTCCAACCGCGCACAACGGCACGCCGACGACCACAAGGCGACGCCCGAGGAGCAACGTCTTGCAGCCGCGTTGAAAGTGGTACGTCTTACACTTCGTTGGCGGCTTGGCCACCCACTAACGTAGCCTCATAGATGATCGAGGAAGTCGGTGGTACCATCGACTGGGCCAAGAACAAGATCAACGGCTTGACCAAGGCGAAGAACGAATTGGGGCCTTTGCTCGACGCGCTCGGTCAACCCCTGACGCAGATCGTCGGCGGTGTCGGGCTGTTGCTCGCGGGAGTGCTCAACCTCGTCGGCAAGCTGGTGCGTTTCTACTCTCTGGCCTCATTTGTGGGCGGTACTGACATGTGGCGTAGCTCTCCGGTCTTGGGCTTGACGGTCTACTCACGGGGCTGCTTGGCGCGACTGGCTTGAAGGGTATTGCGAAGAGCCTCGGACTGGGCAAGTTCTTCAACTACTCGTAAGGATAAACAAGAACGTTGTATAGTATACATTTCATGTAGCATAGTTTCGGAATGGACAAAAATATACGATAGTGCTCAAAGTTATTGCATGTCATCGGCTGTGACAAGTCCCTCCGTGATGCTGCTTACGTTGTCGCGTGTTCGCATTATTTTCGAGCGCCTGCCTTGCTTCCTCACCGCCATCTTATTGATTCTATCTCACTATGGATGCTCCCAACACAGAAGCCAAGACGCTCTATAGCGCCGGGCGGGATAGTCTCGCACGTTATCAAAGCTCTCATTCTCTCCACGATCTCGATGATGCTGTTGGTAAACTGCAGCGGGCCATCGAGCTCGCGCCTGATGAAAGCACGAAGGCTGCGTACCTGTCATATCTCAATAACTTGCTGTCAATGCGCTTCATGGCCAAAGGCGACGTTGCAGACATTAACTCCGCCGTGGACTCTGGTATTGCTGCTGTTGAAGCCGTACCAGATACTTCGACGGAGAAACCCGCGTTGCTGGCAAACCTGGGGAACGCATTGCGCCAGCGGTTCAGTCGTCTGGGCGATATTTCCGACGTGGATCGCGCCGTTGAGGCATACCGCCGTGCTTTCGAACTCGCTCAGTATGAGGATGAACGTCTACCTTATTTCATATTGAACTTCGGGTTGACGCTACGCACGCGCTTCGACGTGACCGGGCGTTTAGGGGACCTGGAAATGGCAATCAGCTCGATAAGACAATCCCTGGTCTCCATTCCTCCGGAGAGTATACACCATGCAACATGCCTCAACAACCTTGGTCTTTGCCTGATGCGTCTCTTTGAACGCTCCTTGGATCCTCAAGATATCGACGAGGCCGTGGAGAAGTGCAAACTCGCAGTTCAGCAGACGCTAGATGAAGACCTGCGCAAGAGTGCCCGCTGGCACACCCTGGCCATGGCACTTGATGCTCGTTCAACGTGGTTGAATCTTAACGACATTGAAGACCTCGATGCTGCCGTATATGCAGCCGAACGAGCGGTCTCCGCTTTACCCAATGGTGCCATTGAGAAACCCACGTGTTTGAATACGCTGTGCCTAGCCCTCAGACGGCGCTTACAGACGACGCATCGGAGGAGCGATATGGACGACATGATTAGCGCGCAACAGAAGGCAGTTCAGCTCTGCCCGGGTGATAGCCCGCGGAGGGCGATGTTTCTGGATACCTTTGGGATCGTATTGCTCGATAAGTATCGTGAAACGCACGACGTCGCTATCCTTGACGCTGCTGTGAACGCTGCGCAACAGGCGGTCGAATACTCGACTGCGGCAGACTCTCACCAGGGCTGGCGCCTGTTCCATATGGCCATCGCGCTCGAAGAGCGATTCTACCTTTCGAAGCAGCGCGCAGACATTGACTTGGCCATCAGTGTCACTGTATCCGCCATAAACACCGTCCTTCCTGAGGATGTTTTTCGCGGGACAAGCTTTCAGCTCCTCGCGCACCTGCTCTACTTCAAGCATGATATTTTGGGCGATCCGCTAGATGTCGATACAATGATCACTGCTCTTGAGGTGGTCGCAAGGTCACCCGGTACAGCAAGAGCTCGATTCATTGGGGCCCAATCGTGGGCTACTGCCTTGAGAGATCATCGCGGACTTACGGCTTCCGTGGATGCGTGGAAACTTGTGATAGAACTGATACCATCGCTCTTGTGGATAGGAGCCCGGGTCGAAGATGATCACACCGTACATTTCTTACAGGTTGTGGAGCAAACATTGCCGGGGGCTATCGAGGCGGCTTTGGCGAGTGACGACGGTGCAGTCATTGGATATGCAGTCGAATGGCTCGAGGAAGGCAGATCCATTGTATGGGGACAATACGATGATCTACGAGCCCCGCTTGACCTCATACGCGAGTCCGACGCCCGCTTGGCTGAGGAGTTGGAGATGGTGTCAAAACGATTGGCTAGTTTTGATGTCGACGAGAGTCCCATTCCCAGTTCGGGCATACAATCTCTCTCCTTACTCGATCCAGCACGCGCGGATACTGGCCCGGCACGGCGGGCGCTTGCTCAAAAGTTTGAGCGTCTAGTGAATCAGGCTCGCCAATTGCCACGATGCGCCGGCTTTCTTCACCAGAAGTCTCTCGCCGACCTTCAACCTGCAGGAACTCATACGCCCATTGTCATGCTCCAACAGCACGACACATTTTGCCGAGTCGTTGTACAACTACCTCCTGGTAGCCAATTCTATTCCTTCGAAGTTCCGTTCACGCTCCAGATGGCCGAGCGAGCTCGAGACGCGGTGCACGGTTCCCTCCAGACTGCACCTATTCGCGGGGGGAGTCGGGCGTCGTTCAATGTCTCGACGACCACATCTCAGCGGCGATGTATATTCGAAAGAGCGTTGCGAGTAATATGGATCGAGCTCGTACGGCCGATCTTGGACAGGATCAAACCTCGTGTAAGTATCTGCGCTGGATGTTAGGCTTTGAATTTGACGCTGATTCGATCTGACAGTTGAAATCTGCATCGCCGGGTGAATTGCCACGGGTTACCTGGTCGCCTACAGGGATACTGGCCTTCCTGCCGTTTCATGCTGCAGGTGATTACGTTGGCGAGACGCCCGAGGCCATCTATGATCGTGTCGTGTCGTCGTACACGCCCAACCTCACCGTGCTCGTGAATGGCGTACAGAGGCAAAAGTCCGGGCTCAATGACTTGTCTGCCAAACCCACGCCTCGGATATTGGGCATCTCTCAGCCCGATACTCCCGGTCAACCGAGCCTACCCGGCACTCGGGTTGAGATCCAGAAGCTGGCGGAGACGACCTCAAATCTCACATGGTTGGATGGCGAGACCGCCACGCGCCGTACTGTACTGGAGCACATGAAGCAACACGCCTGGGTGCATCTGGCGTGTCACGGCGTACAAGATCCCAAGCGCTTCACAGACAGCGCTTTCATGCTGCATGACGGCCCTCTGCGTCTCAAAGACATCATGGCGCAGTCGTTTCAGCACACCCAATTCGCGTTTCTGTCAGCCTGTCAGACCGCCACGGGAGACCGACGCTTCCCCAACGAGAATCTGCATCTTGCTGCGGGACTGCTGCACGCGGGGTTCGGTAGTGTATGCTCCACGATGTGGTCGATACAGGACGAGGACGGGCCGGTCGTATCGGAACAGTTCTACGCGTCGCTATTCGGCGATGGCGGCGACGTTCAGCGGTCGGCGTATGCTTTGCATAAAGCGGTTGCACATCTGCGGGAGCGTGTGGGCGTGAAGGAGTTCGTGCGATGGGTTCCTTTCATACACTTTGGCCTCTGAAAAGAGATATGAAGTTCGTGTGTAACTGTAGTCGTCAACCAAGTGGCCGTAAACTGGCGAATGCGTAGCCGATGTTTGCAAGACGTGTGAAGTCATGAAGCTGAGTGATAGCATGCTGTCTATAAGGCCACTGTAAGGTTTACGGATACTCGGTCCGCGACGCAGCTCGCGCGCAGAGAAGGACAAGTTCGCGTTGCTGTCCTCGGCTAGAAGTGCGGCGGGCTCGATGACGCGCGCAGAAGTTTATTTTGCTTCCTTTGTCCTTGCCGCTTAGTCACGTGTAGTTCGAGTCGCCTCGTGCTCGCAACGAGCCCGATGGAGGCGTATTAGCGCAGGAAACACGAGGCTCGCGATGCAAGTCGATGCAGAGCGCTCCTCAGAGTACAAAGAGTGGGTGTCGATGAGCGCTGAGTAAATGAGAAGGATGAAACGCGACGACGGCCATCATGTGCTGGAAATTGCATTGTACCCGGATTGGGCCACGCGCGCGACGGGGACGCGACGAGGTGATGGGCGACGGCGGTGGAAGCGTCACCGCACCGGCTCTTGAACCAAGACCACCACCTCGCTCCCCTCGTCCAGATAATACTCTGCGGCCCATGGCCGCAGCATCAGCCTCGTCCGGTACTGGTGGGTGGTGCGAGATATTGCTTCCGACGCGCGCTAATGTATTATTTGGCAGAGAACTGGGACGACGACTTTGTGTTTGGCAACGGCTCGTCTCCGAAAGCCCAGGCCAAGGCAAGAACATCTACGACTAGCACACCCTCACGACGCGTGGCCGAGCCCGCAGACAACGAGAACACCGTGCGCGCCTCGCCGCGTCGCCAACACCCGCCCACGCTCGCCACCTGGGCCGAGCCCGGGCCGTCCACGCCGCCCAAGCAACGACACGCTCCTACGCCCGTGAAACAGGAAGAGAACTGGGATGACGACTTTGAGGATCACGACGATAATGTCGAGTCGCCCGTGTCGCCATCGAGCGCGCGCCCCAAGCCTGTCGCGGAGCCGGAGAACTGGGACGACGATTTCGAGGAGCAGCCTGCGCATCACGCTCACGTGGGCGACTGGGACAGCTCTGACGAGGAGGACAATTTCGCGGACCAGGAGGATCGGACGGTGACGGCGCGCAATCGACGGGCGCTCATGCCCAAGAACACGCATCACTCGCCCCCGCCGCCTCTCCCGCCCCTGCCGCCCTTGCCTCCATCTCAGATCCCGGGATCTCCCGCCTTCTCCACATTCTCCATGCCCGCATCCAGCCATCGAGACTCGATCGGCTACGCGTCGCTGTCCCACGTGCCTCTCAGGGCTGGTAGCACATCGGCGCTTGCCATGCTGCCGCCCAGCCCACCCGTACAGCGCGAACGACGCAGGCTGAGGAAGAAGTCGCGGCCTACGGATAACAACGTGTTTGAGCTGCTCGAGCGCACTCAGGACATTCCAGAGGATATTCCCTCTCCGCCTCGACCATCGCCACCCGACCTCCCTCCAGCTTTGCCGCCCCAACCACCAGAACAAACTCCAGCCAAACCCGCACTTCTGACACGAGGCATAGGCTCTGTCAAGAAATGGGGAGCGCGCCGAAAGAGGATGAGCACGGGTCCCTCAGATGTCATCGAGAACGAGGCCACGCCACGCGCGAGCACGTCGCAGCAGCACCAGCAGCGATCTGCGCATTCTTCCCCATCTTCGCGCCAAACATCCGGCTCGTCCTCCGGCTGGTTTTTTCGAAATTCTGGCGGGCAACAACACGGAGCTGAGCACGCGTCGGGCTCCCCGCCAGCTGCCGACGCATCCTCTCCCTCGCTCAAGCGCCAGCGTAGCGTGGCGTTCGCAGGGGCGAATCAGCTGCAGGATAGTCCGACGAAGAAGGGCAAGAGGGCTGGGCAAGCGGCTGTTCTTGGTCGACGACCAGTCACTCCTGCGTCTTCGGAGGGCGAGTTGCCACCTAGTCCTGCTAGAAGAGGCCAACGGCCTGCTAGCATGCACATGCCGCCCTCGCAGCAGAGCGGCAAACCACCGTTCCCGCGGCAGACGAGCCACGGTGCATATGCTCTTGGTCGCACGTCCTCACGCTCAACGTTCAGTGCAAGCACGGACGACGTACACTCTCCCGTACTCGACGAAGGCTCGAGCGGTGGCCCGATCATTAGGGGTATCAGACGGATATCGCTGGTCGGGAGGCATAAGCGGAACAAGAGTGCCAGCGGGAGCACGGCTATGAACGAGGCGCCACCTCTGCCCAATCCTATGCCACAGCTACCCGTACCGCAGACGCCAGGCGCGCAAAGCGAGCTGTTGCCGCCTATCGAACTACAACCACCCTCACCGCCGCGCGTGGGCGGTATGAGGAACCGCGAGGCTTCGGAGAGCACGGTCGGCTCGACGGATACGAACGATACTATCGAGTCACTTCTTCTACGACCTTCTCAAGAAGCCGCGCGCTCAGCGCCACATCTGCCTACGCCTCAGTCCTCGCCGGGTCGTACCGTGACGCCACGAGCTAGTCCTACGAAGATGCTCCTCTCGTCCATCGCTGGAGGTTCTCCGCAGAGCGCGAGTCTAGGTCGTGCGACGCAGCCACCTGTGATCGGCGTTGAGGTCCTAAGCAACGAGAAGGACAAGGTACCCCGACGCAATTCATTGGGCGATCTCAAGATTCCGAGCAGGATCTCGGCGGCGCAAGTCGGGCTCAAGCAGAATATGACCATGGTCAGGGAATTCTCGACGAGCGTCGAACGTGAGTATATTCAATTGCTTCTTTGTAACACGTGTGGTTGACGGGTGGTTGTTCATTTTAGGCCTCAAAGGCCTCCTCGCGTCCTACGCGTCTCTTACATCCGACGCCGACGCCGCCGTATCCCAGATCGAAGCTGCATCAGCTTCGGCGCGGCCGCCCTCACGCGCAATGTCTCCGCCCGCGATATTCAAGTCGAGCAAATCCAAAGCCCGCACGCGATCCAATACAAACCCGGATCCCTCCGCCGACCCGTTCGTGTTGGCGTACTACCGTCTTGATGCGCAATATCGCCTCACATGGGAGTGTGCGGAACTGCTCGTCGAGCTCGGCACAGGGTCGGGGAACGCCGGTACTGGGGGCGGACAGGAGAGGCCGGGAAGTATGCTTGAGAGGAGCGGCACGACGGGCACGACGTCGCGCAAGAACCGCGAACGAGCTGTGACGCTCGCTGGCGACGAACCCGGTCCTCCGCCTCTACCTGCGACCGCACTGGGCTGGCGCGCGTCCACGGGCCGCTCGGATCTCAGCCAACGCCAGCTCTCGCTCCTGAAAGAGATGCTCAATAAAGACTCGGAAGGCTCGTCGCCGCCGAGTCTGATGAACCTCCCCGAAGAACTCGTCAAGATGCAGGGCGGGAGCAGTCATCTGAATAGGAGCTGGAGGTGGGGAGAGGGCATGAGCTCTACCGTCACGCTCCCGAGCGAGGAGAGCGGCGCGAGCGGGAGCGGGTCGAATGGGCAGGGGCAGGGCCCGAGTCGGTTGAGCCAGAAGACGCCGACGAAGAAGCCGAGTAGATTGGGGATGAGGGGGTTGAGGGATATGCTCAAGTCCCTCACGTCTTCGAACAACAACAACTCGAACTCAAACTCAAACCACTCGCAATCGATGCATTCGGGCAGCCCTCGCTTTGCGACGATGAGCGCGAGTGTTAGTACGGAGAGTTCGCTCAATCTGCACCTGGCGCATCTGAACCAGCAGGGTCTTCCGCGCCCGCCCTCGAGACAGGACTCTGGGCATGATACGAACGCAGCGCAGAGGAGACGGGCGAAGACCAGCGCAGGTCCGAGCTCATCTACGTCTTCCATCCGTGCCGCATCGCCGCCCATGCCTATCCCCACACCCAAATCCGGCTCGCAGTCCTTCGCGCACAAGTCCCCTCGCCGGCCCTCCATCGCTTCGATCTTCCGCTTCGCGCACAAGGACAAAGATAAAGACAAAAGCAATCGTGCTTCGCCCAGTCATGATTCCGGCGCGCTACCTCAGGCTGGGACGAGCTCGGGCGATAACAGTGAGGAAGACTGGGACAGGCTGGACGAGTACGATATCGACATGAGCAGTACAGTGCGCGGTCGGAAGGAGAGGGCGAAGAGTCCGTTCCAGCCTCCGCCGCTCCCGCCACAACCCGTGACGCCACGCAAGACGGGCTCGAGATCCAGTCTGAGCTTGCCGCTGTTCAATAACAACGACTCGCAGATCAGTCTCGGGCCGGGTCCTTCGTCCGCTACTATACAGCCTCCCGCACCTGCACCGGCTCCGATTCTTGTGGCGAGTGCTCTGCCGCCACATGCTCTGGCGTTCACCCGCCCGACGCGCCTCAGTAACGTCGAAGAGACGGCTGAGCACTCTGGCGCCGAAGCTCCCCCTGCACGTCCCATGGTCCCCGCCTCCGTCAGACGCGGCTCCCAACGGTCTAAGACAAAGAAACGAACATCCCAGTCGCCGCATCGACCGCTCACGGGCTCTGCTTCTACCAGTCGAAGCGGCTCCGTACGCGGCGGGAACCCGACGATGGGGATGACGCCGGCTGCGCTTGCGCTTGCGCCGGAGAATATTAGGCCGTTGGTGGAGAGCGCTAGGGAGGTGCTTGGGAAGTGCAGTACGTGTGTCGAGGAGCTGAGGATGTTGCTTGATGGGAGACCGGGGGTCGTTGCGCAGGTGCGGGTGTAGGCCCGCACGCTCGATCGCCTCGGTCTCTCGCTTGTCCCCTCCACACGCTATCCCGCTCCATGGTCCTTTGCTCGTTTTCGTCCACTTCGCTGTTCATCTATGATTTGCTCTCGTTGCTCTGCTCGCACGTCCACTCGCTTCGCCCTGCTGTCGCATACGCATCTGCATCGCTATTTGCCTATTCCCCCACATCCTCTCACCCCGCATCCCACCCCGCGACAACTTCACTGCGCCACCTTACGCCTCCCTCCTCACTCCGCTTCCAACTCTGTTCACCCCCCTGAACCCTCCATCGAACTCCGTATACGTCTCACGAAAATAATGTACTCACGTCTCCGTCCTCGCCATCATCACATCGCACGACTGTGATATCACGCCAAGACATACACTCACGCCTCTGTCCTCACATAATGTTCCCTTACACGCTTCACGCTTCACGGACTCTGCACTGCTTTCACGTTTTCTTTGATATTTTGATGATTGATGATAATGTTCGTTCGATGTTCATGTACGCCGCTGTTTGTTTTTGTACGTAGGTGCAATGCATGGCGCTTTTGATGCTCGGTTCTCGGCGGGAGAAATGAATATCTGAGGTGGGTACCAACCCGGGAGAGTAAGGATGTACTAATGCTAACGTACGACCACAGACGGATATGGATGAAGATATGTATAGACTCGGCGGATTCAAGATAGGAGGCTGAAGCGATGATTGTGGGTACGTATCAGCGCCTATCCAAATGACTTGCTCTGAGAGAGACTTTCATGTTGACGCCAGCATACCGTAGACGGATGGAGATGAAAGGACGCTTGCAGCCAGACGCCGTGAGCATATGCCTGCGTCACCTGCGTATGCGCCGCCGCCGTTCATACTTCTCTGCCAGTTAGACTCTGCATGAGGTATGTGGGCCGAGGTCCTTTGTCGTACGAGCACCATGCTGAAGCTCCGAATCTGTGCAAAGATGAATGAACGTGCGCTATCAGAGTATCCGTACGCGCTGGCCGCCGCCGTTTGTGCGAGATGCTCGGCGGACTCGTCCTCGCTGCGATCCCTCTCGCTTCGACTTTTGTATCACCCCGATCCGATGGACTTGCCTCACTCGCATTGCCCCGGCTCGCTGCGAGACAGTGCTCTACGCAGCAAAATGCTGGCACACACCCGCCCTGATCAACATGTCGTGATCGACGAAGACAAGAAATCTGACTGTATACGGAAGCACTGCGCAGGTCCGGCGAATTGTGGCACTTCACGCGGAGACGTCTGGTACGGAGCGAGAACCCCAGACTCGATGACGCCGCTTCATACCGCACGCTCATAGGCGCCCTGCTCGCTCAGCCGGCAACCCTCGAACCACCTATGCGACCCTATCCTCCACCTCATGCTCCGCACCCCGTCTGGGCGCAGCGCGAGCCTGTTGTGCGAAGAATACGTTACGATTGAATGCGGTCGCTGCGCGGTCATAATGAACGTTACGTTGGCGAGGATCACTAGGATTGGCGCCGTCTCATGCAACGGCGCCCATCGGGATACGGCCCATCCTAGTCAGCACGGCCTGGACGGGTTGGACGGGCATTACTGGCGCTTCTCCCAATTTGGACGACAGACTCGCGCGCCTGTAACGAAGGATGATACGCGCTTAGATATAATCACGGGACCGCGGAATCTGCATGCCCTTATTTGGCTGCGGCCCGCGCCGCTTGCCTTTCTGGGCGAAGCTTCCAGCCAATCACCGCGCGCGCCTGAGGGCTGACGAGAAGGCCGAGGTGTGTCAAGCAGTGTGAGCGTCTGCGGTTCAATGGCACACATCATACGTTGTTGGTCTCTGACGGGAACGTGTACAGGTATGACGATAGCATATATAAGAACGGCTTTTCAGATTTTGAAACGCTTGACGCGTTCAGCTAGCCTGACACTCCTGGCGGCAACCTCGACCATATCAAGCTCGAGAACATGCTCCCTCCATTCGTTCCTCCTCGCGACTCTTCTCTTCAACCCATTTCAATGACGCAGGCGTCTCAACCCGAGGCGTCGGTCCAGCCACAAGACTCTCAGATACATGAGTCGTCTCCGCCACACGATACCATGGCGCACGATAACATGGCTCACGACACTATGGCGGACATGCAGTCCCCTACAACGGTAGTGGACCCGCATCCAAACGGCCGATCCATCCATGGCCACTCCCGACGGTCCCTCAACGGCTTCTCCGAGACGCCTACCATGGTCGGGCCGACCCTCGAGAGGCAAGACTCCGAGGAGAGCCTCAAGAAAAACAAAATGGTCTCCGCGGAGGTCTTGCCTGTTGCCAACTCGTGGAACTTCTCCAACGAGCGCAAGATTGCTCTTATGATTCTAGTCGCAGCCACTCATTGTATACAAGTGAGTTCCCACACGTCATTAGCGGCTTCTTTCGGCGTATTGACAAGTTTGGTGTAGTTTATTCCATTCGCGCTGGGCCTGAATGTTGCCGTACCTATCGCTATATTCTTCGGGTTACCAGGACCTCCGGGCGGTCCTTGGATTGCTGCCGCATACCCGTAGGTTGTTCACTTGTTGACTTCACCGCAATAGCTCACACCGTTGTAGACTAATGCACGTAATATCACTATTACCCGGAACCCGCCTCGGAGAAATCTGGGGCCATCGCAACGTCTTCCTCCTCGGCGCACTCATCTGGATCGCGTTCCACATCCACTCAGGCTTCGCCGACGATTACATCTCCGTCGTCGTCCTTCGTGCCCTATCCGGCATTGGCTCAGGCTTGATCGAGGGCAACTGTGTGGCCATCCTCAACCTCGTCTTCCCTCCCAGTCTGTGGAAGAAGACCGCTTTCGTGATCTACGGCTGTGCCGCTGCCACCGGCGCGACCGCCGGCGGTGTGCTGGTCGGTATTCCTGCCCAACTCGCCATCTGGAGATGGTCATTTTGGCTTCTGTGAGTTTCGTTCGACTCTCGCTATATTCGTATTGCTGACGCATAGCAGCGCCTGCCTCGGTGGTGCTTCATTCTTCCTATCGTGGCTCGTCATGCCACAAGACAAGCGCCGTGAGCCGCATGGCCACTTCGATTACGTCGGCACGTATTTCTATGTCGCAGGGCTATTCCTGTACGATTTTGTTCTCAAGTAAGCCTTCCCGCTTGTGCCTCGGGCGAGTTGGGGTGCTGACTGCGCAATCAGCCAAGCGCCCGCCGTGGGTTGGAAAACGGTCTACATCTATGTGATTCTCATCATTGCCGCCCTCCATGTTGCCGCCTTCTGGTTCTGGGAGACCAGATACGCCATACAGCCTCTCATGCCCTTGAGCATCTGGAAGAACAAGTGTTACCCACCGCTCATCGCCGTCATGTTCCTTGCGCACATGGCCCTGGGTATCTTCCTGTGGCACCTGTCACTGTTTGGCAACTCCGTTCGCGGTTACGGCGCCATTGCTACTGGCGCCCAGCTCGTACCGACCGCAGTCATGGGCTGCTGCGTCACGATCCTCGCAGGTATCCTCGTCTCTCGCCTCGGCGCGAAGTGGATCTTCCATATGGGTCTCACTTCCGGTATCGTGTCGCTGATCATCTTCGCCACCATGCCGGCCGAGCAAACCTACTGGGCCCAGGCGTTCGTCTCTGCGATATGCATGGGCATGAACGCCGACTTGGTGCACACGACGGGCCAGATTGTCGTCTTCCTGGCCGTACCGTTCAACCCCGAGGAACCCCGCGCGCAAGGCGTAGCCGCCGTCCTGATCGACATGTTCCAAAACCTGGGCTTTTTGACAGGCCTTGGAATAGCGGGAACCATCGAGTCCTACACCAACGACGGTGGTGCCCATCTCCTGACGGGGTTCCGCAACACAGCGTACTTTGCTATCGGCCTCCTCGTCCTTGCAGGAGGCATCAACATGGTCTTTGTCAACATTCCGCCTCTCGGTCCACCGCCCTCCGCGGATCCAGAGAAGGCGGGGAAGCAGTTGTCTGATGGGATGTAGGGCCGTGAATATCCTTTCTTTTTTCTTTGGGACTTTGTCTTCTCTCGCTCTCACTACATCACGGACCCATCGCACGCATCCCACACAGCATCTTCTCACACACATGTATATTGACATCGATCGCATTGTACGCATACCCGTCTCAGGATACCCGCACTGCTATGTATTATTATTATGTCTCTTAATTGCATTGGCCTGGGTTCCTCGAACTTACGCGACGCGTCTTAGTGTATCTGTTCGAAACACACGTGATCGTGTCGACAATGTTTGGCCTGGCTCTGCGCACGGTTGCTGCTTGTTTCAGCCCAGCATGTCGTCCTGGGCTGTTACTGGTCGGAATTCAGCGATGGCCTACCTTGTCTTGGGGAGTTAGAGCTCTCTATAAGAGATTCAGTATGGTCACAGATCTTCAGAGATCTCAGCTCCCATGGCTTCCAGTACTCGCGCACGATTGAGCCTTGCTCTCCTCGCTCTCGTAGTTGCCGCCGCGACGTTCCCCCTGGGAAGAGACTCTTCGGCGCGTGAGCCAGCTGCTCCACCGCCGCCACCACCACCGTCCTCTGGTCTCGTCCTTCCTATCTCTCGCCGTGGTCTGCGCCAAGGACCTCCGGTAACAGACGGTAATAATGCTGTCTTCGACCCGACCTTTCCTGTACGTCTGGCCAGCGAACACCTACCGAACATGATGCTGACCTTCTGATAGCGCGCCGAGCTCCAAGGTGTCACTGAGAAGTACAAGAATGCTGCTCAATTCTTGTCTGGCATCGGTCTGAACCCAGACGACGCGATCGAGATCGCGAATAACTACGGCGGACCTGCGCAACCCTTCGATGTAGCTTCGAATGCAACCGGGGCATTGCCTGGTGTCGCTTCCGTTCCTGCAACAGATCAGACAACGTTTGACCCCAACGCTGTCGGAAACCTATCTCGACGTGCGGATGATACCGCGTCACCTCAGAGAGGGAATCTCCTGCCAGTGAGCGGCGGTCGGGTTGGCACGGAGCCTCTCAGGGATTATATCTCGGGAACCGAAGACTTACTCTACTATGGCCCGGTCAGTATCGGTACTCCCGCACAAACGTTTGCGGTGGACGTCGATACTGGCAGCTCTGATCTCTGGGTGCCCTCTGGCTGTCGGCGGTGTTCTGGCAAGCAGTTCGACCCTTCCCGGAGTTCAACGTTCCGTAGCGAGGGGAAACCTTTCTCTGTTACTTACGTATGGACCTTCTCTCCTCTTTATTATGCGGTTTCTAACTCATCGATGCTGCGCTTTAGGGTTCCGGACACGTTTCCGGCACTCTAGCGACTGATGTCGTGACCTTCGGCGAGCTCAGCGTCAGTCGGCAGGTGTTCGGCGCGATTCATGACGAATCATCAGACTTCTCTGGTCAGCCCAACGATGGTCTGATCGGCATGGCGTTCGGCACGATCGCGACCAGCAAAGCTCCCACATTCTTCGAGAACCTCATTCGCCAGCACACCGTACGCTCGCCACTCTTTGGTATACATCTTGAGCGAGGACGCGCCGTGGGGTCAGAGGTCTGCCTTGGATGCGTCAATTCGAACAAAATGCTCGGCCCGATAACATGGATTCCTGTGACGTCCCAGGTATGTCCCTACCTATTCTGATTCATGATAAACATCTGAAGCATTACCAGACGTACTGGTCAGTCTCACTCGACGCTGTGACTACAGGTGGTGGCACCATCCGCGCCAACTGCGTCGCCGCTATGGACACGGGAACGACGCTCATCTACCTACCTGAACGCCTCGTTTCTGCCTTCTACCGTTCTATTGGCGGGCGACCTGCCTCGCAGTACGGGGAAGGGTTCTGGACATACCCTTGCGCGGCCAACCTGAACATCAACTTCGTGTTCGGCGGCCATGGTTTCTCGCTTGATCCTCGCGACTTCAGCTTAGGGCGGACCTCGTCACGGTCGCTGGACTGCATCGGCAGCGTGCTCTCGCTCAGTGGAGGCAATGGCTTCCCAGAAAACTTGGCAATCATCGGTGACGCCTTCTTGAAGGTATGCTGAACACAGCTCAGTCTGAAGGATCACTAATGACCGAACTTGTAGAGCTGGTATTCCGTGTATGACTACTCAGAAGGTGTAAGGGTAGGATTGGCTGCCGATGTTAACCAACAGCGTGATTGAGATGGTGTCGAATGTACCTTCGTACTGCTTGTTTTCTAGTTTTTCACAGCGCTATATGCTTTCTGCACACATCTTGTATTCTGCTCATCGTACAATGGATTTCTTCACACCAACAAGGCATATGACACATATACATGGCGCGATTGGAATAGCTTCAATATCGCCTGTACACGAGAGGATACATAAAGGTTGCGGTCAAGCCTCATGCACTGACAGGTCGGATCAATAGAGGAAGCTGATTACCAGCTGCAGGATCTGTCGTTAGACTCGGTCGTCCGACGATCATTGTCTTGCGCATGATATCCATCGGCGCAACGGCAAGCTCAAATTCAAAGGAGCGCACGATGGTAAACAGGAGTGCTTTCATCCTGTGGGGTGAACGATCAGTTTTATGTAATTTGCGAGCAGGGAAGATGATGCTTACTCAGCAATGGAGAAGCGATAGCCGATACAGGCGTGTGTGCCGGCGAAGAAGGTGAGCATGTTGGAGAACACTCCGGGCAGATCCTTGACAGTGTCGGGGAGCTGAGACCAACGCTCGGGCCTGTGGAGACATACATCAGTAGGCACTGTGTATCACGAAGAAACAAAAACTGCAGGGGCTAGGCATACCGGAATTGCTGGGCATCGTCGCCCCAGTACTCTTCCATCCGATTGAGGACCTGAATGGGAAACATAACCATGTCTCCCTTGGACAAACTGAGCATCATCGCGTCAGTTGCATTGACGTTACATGTTCTAGCATACATTACGCACTGTATCTCAGACATGATCTTCCCGTCTGTCCCGATAATCGGCGTCTTAAGCGGAACGATGTCGTCCTTCGTCGCGCACCGATCCGTGAGATAAACGGGGGAGTATACACGCAGGATCTCGCGTATAACGGCATCGAGGTAGGGCAGAGCGTTCAACTCGGCGTCAGTTGGCGTGTCCGTCGGCATAGAAAGCAGTTCGGCGCGGAGCGTCTGTTGAACGCGGCTATCACAGGCCATGGCGTAGAGGCCCCATGTCACGGCCGTGCTCGTTGCTGGAGAGACGTGACGGCTTCAATTACAATGCCCTCACTTTGGCCAAGGTTCACGCACTTTCATGCTACAGGATGGTGATAAGCTTGACGCACTGAGCGGTTGAAAGGGCCACATACCCCGGCAATCAAGAACGTTGGCACTTGGGAAACCTGCGAACTATCAATAGGACTTCGGACCATTCACAGCCATGATACGTACGATGTCTGTATCGCTCATCCTCGCGCTCTCGGGAAGATCACTGGCCATGTTAGCCCTTAACAATAAACTCAACAAGTCAGACCCCTGGATATCCTTCTTCTCGACCTCGGTGGGCGAGAGGAACGTCTCGCGGATGATGGCCTGTTTCTTGGATTGGATAAGACGCATCCCAATGGATTCTATGAGCGCTTGAGCCTTAGATTGCTCGCGGACGCGCTTCGTGGGCTGCATCGCAAGTGTCTGTCAGATGGTAAGCTCAGTGCGAGACAGCGTCGAAAGGCGCACGATGTGACGAAGGCCGGGGATCATAAACTGTGCTAAGACGCCGAGGTTAAAGTCGAATGAGAAGATAGTCCGCACAGCCTCATTGAGCTCGTTGGGGTGGTCTTCAGGCGCGTGTAAAGAGTCTATGTCGTAGTCGAACCCAGCAAGCCCAATGATATCCAGTGTGACCTTATTCAACCACGCGAAGGCGTCGATTCTGAGGTAGCCGTCATTACGCGTCGTGTTGCGCGCACAAAGATCAAGCCAGAGGTCCCTCATCTAGACATGAGTGTAAGTCATAGCGAGCCAAAGGCTACAATGGAAGTGCGGCACCTCGTGCGATTTACGTAGGAATGTCTCTGTGAATCTCTTGACTTGCAAGGGTCCAAAGGCAGGATTCTGTGGTGATCGGTCAACTTTCGCTCGCACTCATAATATGTACGTGATCAACACACCATGACCCGACGCTACATTCGCGATGTCAATGAGTAGTGGACACCAAATCTATCGTTTGCCCGCACCTGTTTCTTGTGCTCCGCACCTTCGACGAAGAGAAGTCCTGAGAACAGTCAGCTCAGCCCGAGAAGATCCAGCTCTAGAACTTCAATCACCTTCTCCGATAATGTCACCGAGAAAATGTTTCAATAGCTTTCCTTTCTCATATACAGGGCTGCTCATCATATGACGCAATGCCGTAGGGTCGACAGTCATAATCGTGGGTCTCTAGATTAGATATAGGTGTCAGTGGCTACAGCGACTCGCACCTAGTGAGTCAAGGCACGTACGGCAAGCCTGTTCCAAAACCGGAAGGTTGGACCGTACTTCTTGAACCACCCCTGATGTAGATAGAGCGATGCAACGTCGGACGGTACGGGAGCGGGTATGCTCCCGTAGAGAAAACTCCGAAGTGGAGGGCCAGGAAGCGTGTAGGCGGGCCATTTGCGATGACGATAGACAGTATAAACGATGTATAGTGATACGGAGACCGCCAAAGCTCCCACGATGTTCCACTTCCCGAAGTGCAACCCCGTGAAAGGCTCGTCGAGATCGTTAAAAACGGATAGAATTGCCATACTGAAGACGATGTGGTGAGAGGATGGGCGTATTTCCCCAACTGAGCACAGAAGCTATATGTATGATGTTGCACTTCTTTCGAATAGATAGTCACCCGAGGCGACCCCGAGGCTAGCAGGTCAACAGACGCTGGAGTTCCGAGTGAGCACGTCAGCGACCCTTACAGACTGAAGAGAGTTCGCGCCGTTGGCCTACGTGTCGACGGTAGTGGATACTCATACACCACAATCAGGCATGTCTGAGAGGATATTTCCTAAAGGAGACCCACGGCGACCCGCCATGGTGACATTGACACGGTGGTGAGAAGCAAAGTGCGTCGAAGCATCGAAGGACTTGACGCTCACCGCGACTCGCGCGCGGCTTGCCGTAGCCGACGTCGTCTCGTTCGCGTGGTGGTACTGGTCCCAAAGGTCTATTAGACTATATCTTTGCCCACTTGCCCGCTATACGCGCTTAACAGGGATGTGCGCTCAAAGCTCTAACTCCGACGTTGTTCTTCGCCGACGACGGCTGCACGGCTCGAACCGTTTCCGACGGATGTATCCGGTCCCACATCGCATCCCGGCCGTCACTGCCGCTGCACATCGTCCGCCAGCGATTCACCAGTACTGCGATTTATGCTGATTATTCTAGCTGATGAACCCGGATTGTGAGTAAGGCGTGATGCGTCCAGTCTGTCCAGCCGCTCGATCAGTTGAATGTTTCGTGAGCTATCATGCATACGACCGAGTTTGATACTTTACCACCATTCTCATGCGATGCCCATGCATGTATTGCAGATTGAACAGGCCAATCCAGATAGATACATAGCAGTTGCAAACGCATTGCGACAAGAGAATGCTGCAAGAAAGCGCGAAAGCTGCGACAACGAGACAGAAATAACTCGTGAAAATCGTAAGGGTATCATTCGGTAAATGTTCAAGAAATCATCATCCGCGCGTTGCTGCGCGAGTACGAGCGGGGCGTGCCTTCGCCTGCGCTTGTTCAGGTTCGCTTTGCCCTCCCGCATCGGCCTTGCGGACGGCCGTGCGCCGCGTCGTCGTACGAGCCGGCGGTGGAGGAGGCGGAGGTGTGGGGTCTTCTTCATCTTCCTCCTTGACGCGATCGGGGGTGTTCTCTTTCTCAGGCGCTGCTTTGCGCGCGGTCGTCTTACGAGCCGGTGCGGCAGCAGTAGCGGGCTTACGCGCTGCGGCAGTCCGAGCAGGTGTACGGCGAGTGGCGCGCGGCTTGTCTTCGTCGTCTGGCTGCTGAGACTCGCCAGTAGCGTGACGTTGACGAACGCGCGAGGCGACGGGCGCCGCATCATCTTCATCGCTGTCGTCTTCGAGAGGATCTGGCGTAGAGTCGGACGGGGACTTCTTGCTGCGGGTGGACGCTGCTGTGGTTGAGCGGGTTGGTGCGGATGCCTTCGCCGTGCGTGTGGCCGGTTTCTTCCCAGCAGCCTTGGTAGGGGCAGGTGCAGCATCATCGCCCGTCTCTGTAGCCTTCCGGCTGCGCGGTGCGCGGTCCACGGGTTTTGTGACTCTCACGGTGGACCTGGCGGTTTGTTGGCTGCCGCTCGCTTTGCCTGCTGCAGCAGCCTTCGGACCGGTCGCGGTACGTGTCCTGGACCGCGTCGGGGCGGGCTCATCCTGGACTTCGTCGTTAGGAGTAGAGCGTCCCGACCCAGGGCGCACATCGATGCGCGACGTGCTCGCCGTCTTGCGGACGGGGGCTGTCTTCGCGATCGTCCTTGTCACAGTAGGCATAGTCTCTGATTTCTTCAAGCGTGCATTGCGCGCCGGGGCCTTCACGGGTGCAGGTGCAGGCTCGGGTTCTTCCTCTTCTTCTGAGTCCTGCTCCTCCGCAGCAGCCGCTCGAGCCTCCTCGTCGTCCGAGCTGGGAATGATATCTTCGTGCTCGCGCCGGCTGAGCGAAGGTCGTGAGAACATCTGCTGCATGCCGTCGAGCGCTGGTGTCCCGGCATTGCGTACTCGCGCCTCGGCTTCAGCGCGTTTATGAAGGTCGCGAACGCCTGACAAACGAGGTGTGGCGGTGGGAGGGTGGAAGACATGGCGTAACTCAATCTCAGGTGTGGCCTCGCGAGCAGTCGACGGACCGGCCGTCTCATCCTCTGGTTCAGATACGTCCTCAACAGTAGCGCCGTCCTCTTCTGCCTCTTCTTCTGGCTCATCCGCTTTGCTCTGCTCCTTCTCGGCCAAAGCGCGTAGGCGAGCCTCGTCCTCTTCAGAGCGCATGCTCCTGCGGCGCTTCATGTCGCCAATGGTGTTCTTGAGGCGCTGAAGCATCTCGTCGGGTTCTTCTTCCTCCACAGCTTCCTCAACGGGTTCTTGGTTGTCGCGAGAAGCACCCCAAGCGCGTGAAGGTGACATGAACTCATCGAAGGATGTGAGCCCGGGTGGTGCGGCGGGAGGCGGAGTAGCAGGTGCGCGTTGCGGCGAGAGTGGTACACCGAAGTTCGGTGCTGCGATGCGGGCGGGTTCGCTTGCTGACGGGAAGATGCCTGCCTTGGCGGGCGAGCGTGAGCCGGGTATACCATTCTTGGCCCAGAAGGGGTCTGGAGTAGCAAGTGATTGACGGCGGCGTTCTTGAATGGCCTGATGGGTTGTGAGCGAACAGAATGATACATCCAAAACCGCCTCACCTGTCGCTCTTCGGCGCTAACCCGACGCGGACTCGTTTGAGCGAAGACGCGCTGTTCTCCACGTTCCCCTCGCCAGGCCAGGGGTTGACTGGGCTTCAAAGGACTCCGCGAGGGGCCGGCTAGTGATACCCTGCCTGAGCCACGGACGCGATCGGCAAGGCTGAGGCTCTCTCGAGAAGGCTTCGCCGGCGAGCGGAAGGGAGAGCCAATGTCGTCAGAAGGCCGCTCTGACGCCGCGCGCTGAGAAGCCGAGACTAGATCAGATACCAGTGGCGCCGACGTCTGCACCTCGTCGTCGTCTGCGAGGGGATTCTTCTCGTCCTCCTGTAAGTAGTCTCATGTTAGCGGTTGCATGCCCAATCTAATGTATAGACTAACCGGTTCAGGATCCTTCTCGGGGGATAGAGACCGGGATAGTGCGCGTAGACCGTTGCGTACGGCCTCAACACCGCGGCGCCAGCTGGATAAACCAGTGGAGCGCCCGCGCTCATCCCCGGCTTCATCACCAGCCTCTTCGTCATCAACATCCATATCCTCTTCTTCGTCCTCCTCGTCGACAACATGAGGTTGCACATCGTCTTCCTGCTCAGCAGGGCCTTCTTCGATGATCATCTCCACCGCGTCGACTTCTTGCTCTTCTTCTTCCTCACGGGCAATCTCGCGCAAAGCAGCTTTCTGAGCCGAGCGAATGAGGACAGCACGATGCAGAGAGTTGCGCGGTGGTTTACGACGCGGAGTGGTAAACTGTTGTTGTTGCCGCGGGATCATCGGTACGGTGACTCGTGCCGGGGTAGGCGCAACGGGCTCTTGCTTGGGGACGTCCTCAATGATGACAAGGTCCTGGTCATCCTCCATGACACGTGGATGGTTGCTCTCAACAAGCACAATAGGTTCTTCCTCCTCCTCTTCGAAATGCGCTGCCTTCTTCAACGGAGACCTGCGAAGGGGTGATTGCAGGATGCGCAAGTTCACTTTCGGGTCGGGGTCGGGTCGTGGAGAGAACACCTCCGTGCTCTGGATCAGAGAGAAGCGAGTGCGGCGTTTCGAAGGGTTCTGGGTAGGCGTATTAATCTGAGCGGCAAGGGCGGCGCGGTACGGCTTTGGTGGGTATTCGAACCGAAAACGCTTCTTGCTGATTTCGAGGATAGTGTTGTTCGTCAGAGGTACAGCAGTCTCGCCGGAAGAAGTCGACGGAAAGACTGTGCAGCCATCAACATGTACTCCATGACCGCCATATATCAATAGAAAGCCCTGCAAAATACTATGGTCAGCAGGATGCTCAGAATGTTCATCGAATGGGCTAGTGTATGCAGCGAGTCCAACCACGCAACATCTTGCGCTGGCCTGATAATACATAGACGCGTCTTCCTTACCTTGTTCTCCTTAAAGATAATCTTGGCATGTTGTTGACTGACAGCAGGGTAGTATAGGCGAATATTACAGTCAGCGCCCTTGCCGAACGTGAGCGTCTCGTCGTCGATAGGATAGTTAGCCACGATGCTGTCGTCGTTCTTCTTCAAAAAGCGCAAGACGCCGTATGCCCCATAGTCAGAGTTCATCCTGGGTTATCGTGGTGGGTCGTGGTGGGTCTTGAAGTTGCGCGAATGCGCCCGGTCGTGGTGGCGGAGAAGCTTGAACTCGGAACGCGGGCTGCGCGTTTGAGTTGAACCACACGTGAGCGCGATTTTACCACGGTGCGTAACCTATCGGCCACACCGCGACTGTGTTCTCGGCCACCATGTCGCTGCCATCATTCTTGACGAAGGCTCCTGTATCGTCCGCCTCACTGGCGGAGAGTGACACGCCAGTTGACTGCGTTTTCAAGCACTCGCCGTCCCTCGGCACTTCGCCATGTTTATGGTGGCCTCCGTCAAACGGCGCAACGAAGCCCGATACTATTCTGATCTTCATCCCGGGCAATCCAGGATTAGTGACCTTCTACCCTCCCTTTCTCTCTGCCATACACTCCGCACAGTCGACAAAGTCGCTAGCCATCGTTGCGCATGGGCATCTGGGCTACAATGCCTCTTCGGAATGGCCCGAGGCTTCGCACATTGGCTTGACCGCACAAGTCGCTGCACGGCTTGAGTTGATAGACACCCTCGTGACCGAATACGGCACAGAAGTGAAGATTATACTTGCGGCCCATAGCATGGGGGCGTGGATCTCTACTCAGGTTCTCAAGGAACGTCCACAAATCATTGCCAGCATGCTCTTGCTGTTCCCTACCATCAGTGATATCGCGCAAACGCCGAACGGAAAGAGACTGTCTGTGAGTTAATAAGTTCTTCCAGTATAGCAACCAAACTAACGAGCGAATAGTGGCTTTTCAACCGTCCCATGCCTTCTGCCGTCGCTCACCTATCTCGTCTTTCATTTCTCATTCCGCAACGTCTACTGGGCGGCGTGTTCTCCGACTACCCTCCAGCTCAACTGGATGTTCTTCGCTCTCTCATATCTTCCCCCGGCTCTGTTTATACATCTCTTACTCTCGCACACGACGAGATGAAGACCATACGTGACCTGGACATCCAGCTTCTGCGCGAGCACGCAGAGAAACTACATCTGTACTTCGCCGAGCAAGATGACTGGATTGGGGACGAGCGCGCCAAGATTATCGATGCCTTAAAAGACTTGCATGGATCCGACGGACCAGTGGTCAAGGTTGTGCATGGGCATGAAGACATTCCTCATGCATTCTGCATCAGTGCGTCTATGGCCCACAACGAAAGATACCTCTAGCTGATTGTTGTTCAGACCATGGCGAGGCGGTCGCCACGCAATGTATCGCTTGGCTTCAATCCGGCGGCTTTTTATGATAATATCCGCAAACCCTATCATGAACAGACGACGGCGATGTGTATTCTATGTACCCTTGGGGAAATCGGTGCTCTTCGTCAACTGCTCCCAGTCCGCCAAGCGCTTCAGCGTTCCTTCAGATGCCGCCTTCACTGCCTCGTGGTAATCCGACCCAAACCCGATGGTCACAGGCAACTCTTTGCCCTTCACCGCGCCAGTTCCGTGGATAAGGTCGACAAGAATCTGCGCGCCCTTTACAGGGTCACCGGCCTGCTTTCCATTCGCCGCTACATCGATGTTCAGCCTTCGATGTCAATCATGCCTAGGAGTGATGAAACGTACCCTGAAGTGTATCGTTGGTAGGACCAACGGTAGACTGGTAGTCCGGAATCCGTGCTTCGTACTCCGAGCGCATACCGGGTTGCAAGAGCGCGGTGCGGAAGTACCCCGGCTCGATGTTCAGCACTTTGATGCCGAAAGGCGCGACCTCTCCAGCGAGCGACTCGGCGATGGCGCGGATAGCGTGCTTGCTGGCAGTGTACATGCCCAAGCCGGGAGCTCCGCTGAGAAATTATCAGATGACGGATGTTGTAGACCATACAATGTCGCGACTTACAACCACCCAGCCATGGAGCCGAGGAATACAATGGACCCGGACTTACGCTCACGCATATGGGGCAGGAAAGCGCGCGTGACGTTTAAAGCACCGAAGACGTTGGTATTGAACTGCGCTACCGACTCCTCTGGACTACATCAATCGGTATGAGCGAAGCGCTCGGTTCACAGGCGGAAATGATGGATACGCACGTCCTCTCTTCGAGGGCCCCAAAGTCGACGTAACCGGCGTTGTTCACGACGACGTCGACCCGACCATGAATTGCGATTGCCTTTGCGGCGACGGCCTGCAGATCGGAGAGAGAAGCAGTGACGTCAAGCTCGAGAGCGTCTGCGCCCTGCGCCTTGAGGTCGTCGACCTTCGCGATTGAGCGACCGCGGGCTGTGGCGATGACCTTGTCACCGCGCTTGAGCGCCGCCTCAGCAAAGTCGCGACCGAGACCAGACGAGGTGCCAGTGATGAGCCAGACGAGAGGAGAAGACATGTCGAGACGCGAGAGGTAGATGGTCTGAGATGTAGGCGGGATGTGCTGTTGGCTGGTAGCTTACACTCGGCGAACCCTTTTATACTACTTTGGGGTGGGTGGCCTCGGTATGAGTACCGGTGACCTCTCTTGGTGTAAGGACAATGCCTTGGAGATTTGTGCGATAAGATTTGGTCTTAGGCGCGCACCGGAACGGGCGCTGAGTGGATCAGCCGAGCTCGAGTGGGATCGAGAGGACGCGTCGCAGAGCGGCATAGAAGAAAGAATCATTCAGATGTATGGAGAGCACAGCGTATACCTTAGCTCTCCGCAAAACGGTTATAAAGATATACGACATTGTTGTTTTGAAGGAGTTACGAGGTAGACCACTACATCAGCGCGTGAGCTAGAAGTGCCACAATCTGCGCGCCGGCGACCTTCGGCAAACACCTTTATGACCGGACGAGCGATGTTCCGAACGCGAGCGCCAAGCACGCTCTCCTTGAACATCCATCATGACCTCCGTCGACGAATGTAGCCGCCACGAAGGCTCGCTGTGGGCTTCCCTATGGAGGCGTGGGTTGGTGGGACCGCGTCTCACACCGCGCGTGCCCGCCCGACCGCCTGACCCACATCAGCATGCATATCACCCATCGCCCGGGAGTGGCTCGCATCACTGATAGAGTCGCCCATGCTCTCAACAATATATCGACTACTTGATCGGGAGGCGGCACGCACAAGAAATACTCTATGTGCGCATGTCGATGTCGACAGAAGCTCGTCTGCGGCGGTGCTGGGGGCAATTAGCTCCCAGTGTCTAACCTACCTTTCACCCGTTCTCCCATCATGCTCGACTTTCTCTTCGGCCCGTCGTACAACCCGTCCAAGGATATCCCAGACCAAACCGGCAAGGTCTTCTTCATCACCGGCGCGTACTCTGGCTTAGGCTACGAGACTACGAAGGAGCTTGCCAAACATGGCGCAACGGTATATCTGGCCTGCCGCACAGAGGACCGCGCAGTGGCAGCTATAGCGAAGTTGGAGGAGGAGGTGCCGGAGATCAAAGGGAAGGATAGACTGCACTTCATCCAGGTGGACATGGGCAACATGCAGTCTGTGAAGCGCGCGGCGGAAGAGTTCGTTCAGAAGGAGAAGAGGCTGGATGTTCTTCGTATGTCTACCCTACTGAGACGCGATGTCGCGACAACTAATCGAAGATACACAGTGCATAACGCTGGTCGTTTGACTACCCCGTACAAGATGGGGGAGGAGGGCGTGGAACTCACCATGGCCGTCAAGTGCGTGTTAATATTCACTGGGAGGACGTGACGACTGACTTCGGCTTCAGCTACCTAGGCGTATTCATCTTGACGCAGTCGCTACTGCCTCTTTTGAAAGCAACAGCCGCACTACCCGATACTGATGTCCGGATTGCGGTGGTGTGTACCCAATTCCGTAGAACTACCTCACGCGGTGCATCACTGAACTTATGCAGGTCTCCTCGATGGGGCACCGTTTCGGCCCGGCAAAGCTGAAGCTCGACTCTTTGGAGGCATGGAACGACTATGCTGGTAACAGAGGTGAAAGTTATAAAGCAAAGTGTGACCGTTACGGTGCGCTCTGTCCTTGTTCCAGCAAACGATTCCGGACCTGATAGTCTGCGAAGGTGCCACCAAGCGCATGGAGATCATGTGGGCTTTACATCTTCAAAAGCTGATGGACGAAGAGAAAGTGCCTATCACGGTGATCTCTCTTCATCCTGGTATGGTCGGCACAGGTGCGTTGAGTTCATCACCCTCGTTACCCAACTAATTCCGCGATGCTTTAGGTGGTGTACAGGAGAACTCACCTTTCTACGCCTACTGGTTCATGAAGTACTGCGGCGTGACGGAGCAACAAGGAGCATATACTAGTCTCTTTGCCACGACTAGCCCTATTGTGAAGGCCCAGCGCGATAAGTACAAGGGCAAGTACCTGGAGCCGTTCGGCAAGATTACCAAACCAGCTGCCGCCGACGCTCACGACGAGGCCAGCGCTAAGCTTCTGTACGATACATCTATCAAAGTTGCGGAGCAGGTCTTGTCGGGTTCGGCAAGAAAGGCGTAGTTTGTGTCTCCTCGCTCACTCTTTGGCACCATGGCTGTATGTACTTTGAGATTGAAGTTCACTCTGCACGCGTTGTTTTCTATGGACGGACATGATCCCGCTTCGTGTCTGGGTTTACGGGAACTTTCCCTTTTACCCCAGTCTTAAGCCCATTGCCATCATAACTGTACCTGATGACGGAATTAACGTGGACGAAGCGTTATTATATAGCTGCGGCGGGCAATCTTGTACGGGCCATCGCCATGTTCAATCTATTCTCCCGGGCCCCCACGTATGATCCGCAGCGTGACATACCTGATCAGACTGGCAAGGTCTTCCTCATCACCGGCGCAAAGTGAGGCTGGTGGTGTCCTTTTCATTGCGCGGAGTACTAACTTCGTGTGTAGTGCAGGTCTAGGCTACCAGATAACGAAGCAGCTCGCCGCAAAGGGGGCTACTATATACCTTGCATGTCGCTCAGAAGAGCGGGCCTTGGCTGCAATCAATCAGCTTGAAGATGAGGTGGACGATGTTCAAGGGAAGAATAGGTTACAGTTCTTGCAAGTCGACATGAGCAGCATGCGCTCGGTGAAACGTGCGGCGGACGAGTTCTTGAAACGCGAATCGCGTCTTGATGTACTCCGTACGCGCATTCAGCGCTGTGTTCTATCAAACTCGCTTACCTGTGGGACTAGTACACAACGCTGGCCGCCTGATAGATGCATACGAGCTCTCAGAAGACGGGATTGAGCTGTGCGTTGCCGTGAAGTGAGCATACCTCGCGGTCAATCCCAGTCATTGCCGTCGTTGCTGATAACGCTGCAGCCACCTGGGCGTACATGTACTTACCCAATCGTTGCTCCCTCTACTGAAAAAGACCGCCGCTTTTTCTGACTGCGATGTACGAGTCCTCGTGGTAAGCAGATATGTCCTAGTGTAGCAGCACTCGCTGAACAATACGTCTGAAGACTTCATCCAGCGGGCACGCACAAGCTCCAAGGAACGCGAAAATGGACAGCATTGAGGCATGGAATGACCATAGCGGAATTAAAGGCGACCATTTCATAGCTCGAGCGCAAAGATACGGTTAGCCTTTTCACTTTTGAACAACTCTGTGAGCTTCTCATGCTCACTATCTGCCTGGATGTGATCAGGTAACTCGAAGCTTATGAACATCATGTGGGCCATGCATCTCCAGAAGTTATGTGATGAGGAGAAGGTCCCGATAACGGTTCTCGCACTTGACCCCGGAATGATATTGACAGGTATGCTTTCATTGCCATAACTGAGGGACGATTTGTCTGACAGCCCTGATAGGTGGTGCTATCTCGACATCCCCGTGGTATATTTACTGGCTTATCAGGCTTTTTGGCGTTAACGAGGAAGAGGGCGCATATACCTCGCTCTTTTGTGCGACAAGTGCTACAGTCAGGGAGAAGCGCGAGACATACAAGGGAAAGTACGTCAAACCGGTTGGGGTTCTTGCTGTCCCATATCATAGAGATGCACGCGACGAGAACAAAGCCAGGATTCTTTGGGATGCTTCGGTGAGGATTGCGGATGAGTTGTTAAGTCGCCATGTTGCGACCACATGATACTGTACAATATCTGGATTTGACTCTTGCTCTACTACTTTCATGCGCGTATTAGTGACACTGCCCATCGTAGGAAGCGTATTTCGCGAAACGCCGGCGTGGATAATCCTTAGCCGCAAGTCACATGGGCGCGTTTCCATCAAAATGATCTCTTTCGAAAGCCTCAGGACATGTTTGTAGTCGTTGGCAACGCTCTACATTCTTACTTCCACCGTGCCCTGCGTCTGACAGTCCGTGAGGCCGAGATCCCCGTCTCTTTGCATCGTCGCCCCAGACCGGAGAGCCTCGGTACAACGAATACAATAACTGCCCCTCCCGAGAACAAAGTGACCGACTGACACGGAATCGCGGTTGCTGTGCACGGCTTTGATCCTTGTATTCTCGTCGTCGCCGATCAGAGAAACGGTTCGTATACGCTTCAGGGGTGTTGGGTCCTTACGCGTGTATGCTGTGCGCGTGGAGTATATTTACCAGGGCGCTTGCTCTCAGACCCTTTTGGATCCCGTCAGGCTTCCCACCCGCCTTTAACGTTTCTCTTCCCTCCTTCATCCCTTTGTATTTTTCTTCAACAAGCGCAGGCGCTTTTCAGTCATGTCTGCACGACCCGCAACGCTCACCATCCCTCCTCCCATCCCGCACGACCAAGCTCCGCCTGCAGGAGGTCAGCCGTCAGCGACGGATGACTTCGATACGCACGCTCTGCCGAGTCCCACCCCCAGCGAGGCCGAGGCCTTGAACACCAAAGGCTTCTTCGCGAGACCAAAACTCAGCGAATGGCGGATGTGGTTTCAGAGGAAGTACTGGAGTGCGTCCCCATTATATTGCCCGTGAAACGCGAGCTCAACGGTCTAATCGCACAGGTTACTGGATCATCGGTGCCATCGCGCTGGGCGTAACCATCGCTTTCATCGTACTTCACAGGCGCATCTCCGATGCCCTGGAGCCGTTCGCTCAACGGCTCAAAGAGTGCGTCGTCATGCGGATGTACCAGAACGTGTACTCATGTTCTACTCAGTCTTCCCGCCGGCTGGCTGATCCCCGTCGGGCTGCTCATCATCCTGTCCTTTCCACCATTGTTTGGGCATGAGATCGTGGCAGTTCTATGCGGAGTAGTACGTGTATTCGCTCGATGTTAACGGCCTTCAACTCACAGAACTCTCAGGTCTGGGGGCTTGGTATTGGTTTCGGCATCGTTGCTTTGGGTACGCTCCTGGGAGAGCTCGCATCGTTCTTGTGAGTGACGGCGCCTGGGGTCTTCTACGCAGCTAACGCCGCGCAGTGCTTTCCGTACTTTCTTACGCCGCCGTGCTGAGAAGTTAGAACACGATAACCTGAAGTACGGCCTGCTTTCGCACGTCGTTCGGGAGGGCGGCTTCCTTGTGGTTCTTATGGCTCGGCTCAGTGCCATCCCTCCCCACTGTGCGTTCTGTTATGGCGCAATCAACCGCGAATATGTACTGATCAAGAAGCTGGGCAGTTCTGACTGTGATCTTCTCAACGAGTGGCATGAAGGTGTGGGTATTCACACTCGCCGCAATCCTCTCCCTCCCCCGCCAGTTCGCCACCGTCTACCTCGGTCTTCTCTTCGATAGCAACGGCAGTGAGTACAACTACCACCATCATACACCACCCTTGATGACCTGTTTCACAGCGGCGAACGCGGGCCAGAGGGGTGCTACCGCCGCCATCATTATCATTACAACGATCACCACCTTAGGCGCCGGCTGGTACATCAGCAAGAAGTACGAGCAACTCAAGCCCGCATATATCAACGAGCGCCGTCGCGCGCGCCAGATGCTCGTCGTCGACGTCGGCTTCCCGCGCCGCTCTGAGGATCTGTCTGCGCATATGGACTTGGCTGAGAAGGGCGCACAACTTGATGGACCGCTCGAGCTTCCGGTCCCCACATTCGATGCGATGCAGGCGCACATGCAGGATCAGGAGAAAGCTCAGCCTATGATGCGGGATTCCCTGGTTCGCGCGCCTCCGGGCATACATGTCCAGCAGCCGGCGCGGATGTCGATGCAGGCTATTGCGACGGGTGCACCTGGACCTATGTTCGTGAATCCGGGCAAGCGTGGCTTCCATCCTACAATCCAGCAGTTCTCGCCAAGCCCTTAGTTTTGTGTCCTACTCAGACTATACCGCTCGGTACTGATGCCATCGTACTTACTGACTTGAGTTTCCATGCTTGCACATCGGACTAGCTTTTGTACGTTATTCATAGGGTCCATCCAATACCATTGCTTTATTGGGCCATTCACCTTGACGCAAGCAGGGAAATCGATCCGCAGCGACGGTCGTAGTCATGTCATCGATAGCTTCAGATGCGACAGTATATAATACATACATCCGCGAAAGTTGAATGCCAAACCATACCAACTGCACTCAATTGAGGGCCCCATTTTGCGCGGGCGCGCCAAGGACGTGTTTCGCGATGGGCGCCCGCCGCCGACATACGGCGGAGATGGACGCTGCGCGGCCTATCTCATGCGGATGCCACCTCCTTCTCCTTCGCGGCTTTCTTCGCAGCCTTCCGCTTAGCCTTCTCCTCGGCCTCCTTACGCGCGTCCTCCTTGGCGATCTCGTGCGCCTTGTCGTTCAGACCTAAGCGGTTGCGGGCGATCTCAAAGACGTAGAACTGCATGCGCATGACTGCAAAAAACATGAGTGATCTGAGCGAAATATCATTTGTGGAGACATACCGAATATTGTGTTGCGCTCAGAGTACTCGCCATCCGCATCGGTGCGAATCAGGGAGCCAAAGTTGTGGTCCTTGATGGTCTTCTCGTATCTGATGTCCATGTCAGTATGGTGTATCGCGCAGAATAATGTATACACACTGTGCCATGAACTTGCGCCAGCGCTCCTTGCCCTCTTTGCTCTTCATCCAGTCCTCGTCCATCTTCCTCAACTTGGCGAAATCATTCTCAAACAATTCCGGGAAGTCAGTCTTCGCGTGGTCGAAGATGGCGTCGTCATACCTGCTCGTCTCAGTATGGATATAGTAGGAATAGAAGGGAGGAACGCACTGCGTCAGCCTCAACTCTCTTGGTTGGACCTTCTCAAGAAGATTCCAGTACGTCTGCGCGTGCTCGACGGCCTTGACAGCGAATCTGTAACGGGTTAGGCGCCAGAGATAGTGGAGCGGGCGGGGCGCCTACTCACTGCTTCTCGATCTGCGAGACGAGCGTCAGGGCAACGTGAGATGAACATGGCAGTCGGAAGCACGCACGTCCTGGTGGTTCTCCGCCGTGTTTGGGTCGAACTTGCCAACGGTCTGTGTGGTCATGGCGGGATATAATGCAGCTGGTCGTACGAGCTCAATTGGAGGAGGTGATAGTCAGGGTTTACGTTCAAGTTTGGAATTTCCGCATCTCTCAGGTGTCCCGTTCGAACGTTTGGGTGCCAGTGTGGGCCGGATCACACGCGCCGCCGCCTCCCATGCCAATGCGGGCCAATCGATGTGCTGTCCGGGGGAACTGCATACGTGTTCGTATGGAAAGAGCTTGTACTATAGAGACCGTACGATACTACAGCGGGCCAAGAAAGGTACAAAGCAGGTACACGAGACTACGGAGGATCGTCGTCTTCCATGGCCACAGGACCGCCGCCATTTCCGATGATGTCCACGCCGAACCGTTTCAGCTTCTCGAAATACTTTTGCACGCGGCTCGCAACTTGCCGCGGCGTGCGCCGGCCCTCCATCGCGCGCGAAATCTTGGCCCAACTGTGACAGAACATCTGTCAGTTTGTATGCTGTAGATAAGGTATAGTATACGGAGCTTACCGGTTCTTCTCGCCGTCGGGGATCTCGTCCAGTAGGCGCTCGAGAAGATGCTGCTCGGACACTGACCACGCTTGTTTATATGTTTCGTTGTGTTTTTGATTGCGCTTCCGTTTATTGGGCGGCTCTCCATTGGCATCAGCGTCTTCGGCCTCTGGCACAGGAGTAGGAGCTGCCCGCTTGGATTTGGATTTGGCAGGAGTAGCGGGTCTGGGTTGGGGAGGCGGCTTGATCGGAGCTTTGCGTGTGCGCGCAGGGGCTGAACGAGAAGGAGCAGGCGTATATTGTGCTTCGACAGGGACGGGCACCTTCGGTTCAAACGGAGGTAGAGGAGCGGGCGCATCTTCTGCGTCCAGATCGACGTCCGCACTTTCATCCGCCACATCACGGCGAACGTGCACACCGGCACCGCCCGTCGCGGAGATTGTCAATCCGCCTTCTCCTATACGACGTTGGCGGAGAGCACGAAGTTGTGCACGTGCAGCCGCTTTACGAGCCTGTTCAGGCGTGATCTCATCCTCTTCGTCTTCAGATGGCGGCACCCATGCAGAGAAGACTGGATCAAGAATAGTGCGGCGGGCATCCTTGACCAGTTGTTGAAGTGGTGAGAGTGGGGAACGCTGCTTTGCGCTGGGTTGCGAGCGTGCTATTTGAGCAGCCTTGATCTCGCCAGTAAGGGTACGCATGCCTATGGGATCTGGTCGAACACGTGCATGAGTCCAAGCAGCATATAGAGGTGATTGCGAGCTTACCGTAGCCCTTGAATAGAGACCAGTCAATTTCTCGTTGGATTTCGGCGGCGACACCATCCTGACCTTGGAGGGTGAAAGTAGGGTCGGCAAGCTATACAGAGTTCAGCCAATGGGATGAGTGGGAAACAGTGATACATACTTCTTCTGCAAGATCTTCGAGAGGATCATCATATTCGGAAGCAACAGAGCGTAGAGCTCTCAGCCGTTCGATGTCGGACTGTGTGCGCGCAAGCAGGGCTTTCTGGCTCTCGATGAAGGCCTCGAGCGCCTCGAGTCTATGGCACAGTCAGAAAGTGTTGTAAGAGAGTAAGATAGACGCGCATACGTTTTCTGCTTCTTGTCCATTCTTGTGCGAGTGACATGGGCGGTTCAGGGGCGGGGGGAAATCCAAAGCGCGATGAGGGATGGCAGAACTAAATATCGTCCCGTCCCCCGGCTCCGGGACTCGAGTTTGCACCGCGGTGAATGCCGCCATCAAGTTCGCACAAATAGGGGCGTCCGGCTTGTGCCGCTCGAGTTGACCTCACCGATCCTCTCGTCGACCACCACATCCGTGTTAGAGTGGATGCAAACAGATGTTCAAAGATACAACGCCGCGGATGTCAGCTGTTTGGCATAGATGGGAACAGGTGTCAAGGTAAGGCGCTCGTCAAGAGCGCGCCCATCAGGGTATCCGCTCGGAAATGATCTCCTGCACCGCTCCTGCTGCGTGCTCTCGCAGACTACATAAGCCTCACGTCGCGCGCTGTACACCCCCCAGCCGCCCGCCCCACCCCTTTCTGCCAAGCAGACCTCACGATCCGTCGAGTTGACCTCGAGCCCCACGTCCTTTGTTTCAGCTAACGACCCCTCTGCACGCACACACGCACCGTCCGGTCTTGACGACTCGTCTCTGTCTTGCTACTCTTTGGTTCTGAGAACTCCTGCTCTATCGAAGTTGTATACTGCAACGATCCTCCACACGCTTTCACCGCTTCGCGCCGTCTTGTCCAGAATGTTCCGTTTCAACCTCAACCTCTTCGCCTTTGTCCTCGCTTTCACGCAGCTCCTCGCCATTGTCGCTGGTTCGTAGGATCCCATTCTCAACGTGTATCTTCAACCAATATCGTGTATCCAGCACCGATTGATGCAGGCCAAATCAACGTCTACCAAACCTCCGAAGAATGCTTTGCAAACCAACGCATCCTTATGGACGACCTGAACAACGCAGCCGAAACGATGATGCGCGTCTACCTACGCTTCGACAAGCCAGCCGTAGTAAACGTGATGGACAACATCGGCGGCGCAATCAAGCAGCTCGATTCTATCTCGCGCGTCGCACGCTTCGGCGGGAAAGTCGACCCGCAGGTGACGGAGGATTTGGTGACTTTGGCGAGGAACGCGAGGGCTCATCTGGACGAGGTTAACGGAGTGTACGTTTGCTTTTTGTCCAAATGAGACACCCAAATGCTGACGATCCTGTTCAGTCCGGATGTGAAGACGGCGCATGAGGTGACAAGTGCGGTGTGGACGATGCAGGACGCGCTCTCGATGGCGCAGGCGGTCGCTTATGCGTGCTGAGCAACTACCCGAATGACGCCGGCGTCGGCGGGGCTCTCAGCGCGTGTAGCGAATGGAGGCTGAATAGTGTTCATGGACTTTGGGCTGTGGTCTCTGCCGCGCGGTGCACTGGTGCGCCCCGCGATGTTGATGTACATTACATTTGGCGGTACTGGTACCGGGGCAATATGAATGGGTGGCTCACTAGGTGTACGCGGGACATCTGAATCTCGAGATGATTCGTCTAAGGTTAATACGGGTGTACATACCGGGTAAGGCTCTGCCCCAGCGTATCAACATGGAAGGGTGAACGCGAGAGTGAGAAGACAGAAACGAGCCTAGAGATAGTACGCGCCGCGCCGCGCCTCGTCGCGTGCGACCTGCTCTGAACACCCATGTCATTCCTCTGACTCGCAATGTCGCTCACTACAATATGCCACCCTTGACGGAACATACCTTGTCTTCAACGATAATATACCGTACTGCACTACCTGCCTATGTATCACTCCAGCCATTCGAAATTGTGGCAGCATGAAAACTCGACTCGCATGCACTCACAGACCGACCGCATACAGCTCACGCGCACGTTTTAAAATTCGGATATCAAAAACCCATGCCTCCTCTCCTACTAGATCGATGCACGCATAGTCGTCTCCGGGGCATACCCGTGGGTCGCGGATGCCCGACATACGCCCTCCACCAACAACTTGAAGTGGTCAACGCGTCCAGACCGAGTGGCTGCTGATCGGGCGGAAATTCCTCAACCACGCTATTGGGAAGACCGTACGCGTACATCTTCAAGGGGCCGCAAAGAACATCGGCGCTATCTGCGTCTGAGACTGGACACGGAAAAAGGAGATTAAACTTCCTATATTGCGCGCCCCTGTGTGGACATCCGAGTCGACCTCCCTAAAACGCGGATGTCTAGTCTCGGATAACGTGTCTATTGAGATATCCCTACGAAGAAAGGAGCCCTTCAGAGGCTACATAAGCTGTCCAGCTCACCAGTCAAATTTCCATCATCCACAGTTCAACTACACAGCACTTCACTTCCACTTCTACCCTTATCCACCTTTTTCTCATAATGTTCTCCACCAACTTCATCACCTTTGTCTGCGTTGCCGTCGCCGGCTCGTCCGTCATGGCTGGTCCTACCATGTATGTCCCTCTCGCCTCACATCCACGATCACAGCGCTGACAATCGTGCAGGTACAAGCGCGACGGTGCCACTCCCGCCCTGGCGGCGCGTGAGCCTCAGTTCTCCGTCAACATCCCGAACAACATCCCCGTCTCGGGCGCCTTCCCCAACGGCATTACCATCACCCCCGGCACTCCTTCGGGCAGCATTGTGACAGGCGCTCAGAACTCGACGCTCTTCGGCCAGTTCGGCTTCAAGCGCGAGGATGCGACGCCTGCTCTCGCCGCCCGCGAGCCTCAGTTCAGCGTCAACATTCCTAACAACGTCCCTGTTTCTGGATCGTTCCCCAACGGTATCACGGTCATCCCTCAGACCCCGTCGGGCAGTATTGTCACCAGCAACCGTAACGGTACCTTCCCGTTCAACCTCTTCGGCCGTGATGATGCCACTCCGGTCCTTGCCGCTCGCGAGCCGCAGTTCTCGGTGAACATCCCCAACAACATTCCGGTTAGCGGCAGCTTCCCGAACGGCATCACGGTCGTCCCCCAGACCCCTTCGGGCAGCATCGTCACCAGCAACCGAAACAGCACCTTCCCCTTCAACCTCTTCGGTCGTGACATGTGAGCTAGGGGCGCTTGTAGACTCTGAATAGTTGTATACCCTCCTGTACCCTGTACCAATTTCATACATCGTTGATATCCAGACCATTTTGTGATCTATATCGTCGTCAGCGTGAATAGCCTCTGTGGTAGAGCTTCATCTACGACATCAAGCTCTTTCGTGGTCAGAAGTCTAGCTCATGAGCGGAGTAGATAAGGTAGTGCGAACCAGGTTGAGAGTGCACCTGCACACTGTAGTTAGCCCCGTGGGTATCGCCGGGACTTTCCGCGTCATTCATTTTCCTGTCCGCGAGCTCGCGTCGTTTGACGTGCTCTTGACCTCCACCGTCTGCGATGGCACATTTCTATTCATTCAACATTCATCGTCGACAATTTGATCACTGAAAGGAAGTACGGCGCATATGGTTGAGTCTATCCATCATCTGCAGCCGCTCCGAGACAACATGGAAGGTGTACCACTGTGCCCACACAGAACTTGAACCTCGCAATGGCAGACGGATTGTCTGGGAAAGGGTTCTCATCTTGCTTCTGTGCTCTCGTGTATAGGGCATAGATTGCGAAGGCTTGTCAGACTGGCAAACTCCGTGCGAATTGCTTCTACACGGGCATTCATGAAGCGGATTACAGTAGATGTTTGCCCCTGTGTGTAGTGTGATCTGCCCCTTTGTCCACATCCGAGTCCCCCTTTGCGTGACTCGGATATCTGGTCTCGGAGGCCTACAGGAGATACGATACAGCGACTATATAAACTCGCAACATAGCGCTTCAGAATCTCATCATTCAAAAGCTTCTCATTCAATCACTCAAACCCTACTTTATCAAACCACCCTTCCATCCACTCTATTCATCATGTTCTCCACCAACTTCTTTACCTTTGTTTGCGTCGCTGTCGCCGGCTCGTCCGTAATGGCTGGTCCTACCCTGTATGTTCCTCTCACTTCACATCAACGATCACAGCACTGACAGTCGTGCAGGTACAAGCGCGATGTCCCCTCTCCCGCCCTGGCGGCGCGTGAGCCTCAGTTCTCCGTCAACATCCCAAACACCATCCCTGTTTCCGGCGCGTTCCCCAATGGCATCACCATTACGCCCGGTACACCTAGCGGTAGCATCGTGACGGGCGCGCAGAACTCGACCCTCTTCGGTCAATTCGGCTTCAAGCGCGAGGATGCCACTCCGGCGCTCGCCGCCCGTGAGCCCCAGTTCAGCGTCAACATTCCGAACAACATCCCGGTCTCTGGGTCTTTCCCCAACGGTATCACGGTCATCCCTCAGACCCCCTCGGGAAGCATCGTCACGAGCAACCGCAACAGCACCTTCCCGTTCAACCTCTTTGGGCGCGACGAGGCGACGCCGGTTCTCGCTGCCCGTGAGCCCCAGTTCTCTGTCAACATCCCGAACACCATTCCGGTCAGCGGCGCGCTCCCCAACGGCATCACTATCACGCCTGGCACCCCCTCGGGCAGCATTGTGACGGGTGCGCAGAACTCGACGCTCTTTGGCCAGTTCGGCTTCAAGCGTGAGGATGCGACGCCTGCTCTCGCCGCCCGCGAGCCCCAGTTCAGTGTCAACATCCCCAACAACATCCCCGTGTCTGGCTCGTTCCCGAACGGCATTACGGTCATCCCTCAGACACCCTCGGGCAGCATCGTCACCAGCAACCGCAATGGCACTTTCCCCTTCAACCTCTTTGGCCGTGATGAGGCGACTCCGGTCCTCGCTGCCCGTGAACCTCAGTTCAGCGTCAACATCCCGAACAACATCCCCGTTAGCGGCGCGTTCCCGAACGGTATCTCTGTCACTCCCCAGACTCCCTCAGGAAGCATCGTGACCAGCAACGGCAACAGCACCTTCCCGTTCAACCTCTTTGGTCGCGATATCTGATTGAACCTTGTTGACGATCTTATACCCAATCCTGTACAGCACCAATCCTAGCATGTATCCTGCCAATATATCCTCGTATTTCCAATTATATCGTCGTGTAACTGCAACCTCCAATCTTGCTCCAATCTCTGCCCACGTGAGACATATGATCTAAAAGTCTTGCACTGCGAGATGCTCTTCTCCGCATAACATCTTTTGACTTGGTAGCATTGCGCTCAGCCGTGTATAATACATTCAGGGTACAACATCAAGATTCCAGGGTCACCTCAGAACAACTCCACGGAATCGAAGACGAAGTTCGGGCTCAAGAAGTCATCGCCACTGCTGCCAGAGACGACATTGATAGTGATCGTGTTGGAGCCAGCGACTAGCGTGCCCGATGGAATAGCGTAGTCGTACACCTGGTTCAGCCCGCGCCATGTCCCGCGAGTGACGCCGCGAGAGTCAATCGCGGTCGGTGCTGTTACGTTGTTCAGTCCAGTCCTTCCGTTTATACATGACTTGGGTGCTGCTTACCAGAAGGGATAGACGACGACCAGCTGTTCACGTTGATACTTGGCCGTCCTCCGGCGAACGCTTCCGTAGTACGGATCCTAAGCGTGCGCGCACCGATTTGGCTACTAGTCGCGGTCCACTTGATGGTCGTGGGACTGTTGTTGTCCTTGAACTGTGCCATAGGGAACGAGCTTGCACTGCTGCTACCGACGGTAAACGTGACTGGTCCCCAGCTGCTCATACGAGAGTCCGAAGGGTGCATGTGCTCGATCTTGTCGGCGTTGAGGAAGCCGGAGGGCGTTCCATCTACGGTGCCGATGGCCCAGATCGTCGAAGGTTGCGAGAGAGAGGACTTCAGAGTCAGGCTAGCTGTGCCGCCGGCGGAGACAGAGACCTATGAACGGCTGCCATTGAGCAAGAGAGTCTTGGAATAAAGAGCAAGGTAGACATACGCTACCGGTAGCGACTGCGAGCTCGCCCTGGTACAGAGTTGCGGTATATGTGCCCGGAATCATGGCAGGCGATGTGAATGAGCCAGAACCAGACCTGAAACAGATTCGTGAATTGCGTTTCCGGCTGTGGTGAAACGATTAGACGGACCCAGAGCCGCTCGCCCAGTACTGCGCGGCAGAGTTGGCAAACCCAACGGTCACAGCCGGACCAGAGAGTACACCCGAGTACGAACCAGAAACTTTACCGCGTCCGCTGGCCGCGACGTAGCCCTTAAGCCCGAGCGAGTCCATGAAAGACGTATCGAGGGTGCCAGACGGAGTAGAGCCAGTCGTGAAGACCATTGCGTACGGACCGAAGAGGCCGGTGCGGTATGACTCAGTTTGCTCATGGCCAGAGTTCATGTAGAAGTAAAGCTCCTGTTGGTCTCCGCCTTGGTTGTTGATGTCTAGTAGGGCGTCAGAAGGTGACACTCAACAAACTCATGAGATAGTGATCGAGCGTACCGCGGAAGAAAGGACCGCCAGATGAACGCTCGTAGCCAGTTCCAGGGATGACCATGTATACACCGACACCAGAGCCCGTCACCCCGTGAACCTGGTCCTGGATGTGACGGATACTGGAGTAGAACTTGCTGCGTGTTTGTCCACTGACAGTGAACACTAGAGACCTATTAAGGGACACATTCGACGTGGTCGACGGGAGGACGCACCATCGGAGCCCTCGATAGCCGTACCGCCCTTGATGTCTGCCCCAGTCATACTATTGGGTACCGCCGACCTGCTCAAGCGTGCAATCAAGCGAAGTTCGCCGACGGAAGGTTCAGCATCGGCGTAAGTGGCCATGTACAGGTTGTTGACTCCTGAGCGCACGATGTAGTACTGCACGATGTTTCCGCCAATGGCCGAAGACGACGCCGCGATTACAGCGACGTTATTCGAGACGCTTGATGTGACAGTAGCGGAACCGAATCCGGACGCGATCTGCGTGAACTTGCTCGAGTCCTGAAGCTGGACGCCATTGTACAGGATAGATACTACGTCCCCATTGGCAGTGTTGACTATAGACCAGTGAGCGGAGGTCAACTGCTTGGGGTGGGGCAGTCACGTACGCTGGACAACCAGGCCTGCGCCAGAGTCGACTTGCAATCTGCCTGACGATGGCGTAGTGATGCCAAACGCGGCAAAAGCCACAGAGGCGTACGCCACCAATGCGACAGCCAACCGAGGGAGCGAGGACAGCATCGCGGTGAGCAAACCAGTCCTCCTCTGCGCGACATCTGGCACTTTATATCCACTACCGCTTGTTCTAGGGATCCGGGCCGTCGCCTGAACATCGGTAGTTGGAGGATGTGTCACGGCAGGACAACAGCACACTGTCTGGCAGCAGGTGGACCGCGCCAAGGACAGGAGAGTTGCGGTTTGACTAGACGTCCTCGGCGGTCGGTCTCAGTACAAAGCACTGCATGCGAAAGAAGATCGCGTGGAGGTCGCCATATCAGGCGGAAGCGCCTGTAAGGAAGTTCAAGGGACGGCACAAGCTTTCCCGTAGACTATTTACGGGCCGTCGCGGAGCACGGGACCTGAACGAAGCCGAGTTTTACCCCAGGGCTGGGAAGCTCGCAGAAGGGATCCTTGATGCGCGCAGGGAGATGGCATGGAGACTAGAGCGCCAATTCACGTATTCGCACCTTGAGCGGAATATAGCACTCGATGACGCCACGCAACACAGTCTGACAGCGAGTTCCTGTGAGTTAAACGCATGCGTTGGCATTCGTGCCGGGTTATTGCAGTGTTATTGGTATACGTGGTGGTGGTTCAGGACGAAAAGCTCGGGCCCGGTATCTCCGACGCACCTTCCGCCATATCTGGCCCATTTTTAACTTTACCGCCAGCGATCAAATGGTGACGTCACGCGTCGCACCGGCGACTTCGCGCGGCGCCCAGCTCTTGCTTTCGTTCTGTGGAGTGCGCTCACACGAAATACGCGCCTGCAAGCTTCACCATGACGCACATACTTGATACAAGAAACGGAGACGAAATTGCCTTTCCCCAATACCACCATAATCGCTAGCCTGCCATGTCACATAGGCTCGGGGAGCCGTACTCGACCAAGAATCCCATCCCGAAGATCACCACTGGTCTTCGGGGACTCGTGAACCCGCAGGCGGCGACAGAGGCCAAGGCACGCCAGATGCAAGATGCCGACACCGGCATTGCTGAGGAGCACGAGGACGCACAACAGCAGGAGAACAGGACAGACGAAATGCAGGAGGGCAAGAGCGTTCTCGTCCGCGACCCTACAACTGGCAGCGACGTCCATATTCAGAACGCAAGAGACTTCGCCCACGAAGGCGAGAATGTCTTGAAACTGGCCATGCCGGAACCAGGTTCGTACGCTTTCTCACAGTCGTTGAACTTGTACTAACGTCTCTATAGACTGGGACCAACACTACGACTACGTTCGCGAGGTTGCTTTCAACTCAATCCGAAACTTGGCTATCGTCTTCTCTGCTTCCTTCATATGCTCGCTCGTTCTACCATTACCTCGTTGGATTCTCTACCCGCTCGTCGTCATCCCTCCGCTTGTGGCGACGCCAACTTTCATGAATATCGTTCGCAACGCCTCGCGTGAAGACGCAGAGTCCAGGGTCTGGTGGTCCGAACGCATACGCGGACTTCGCGCCGGCGAAGATGTCGACAACGATGGAGACGTCGAGACTGAGGAGCGCATGCGAGAAAGTGCCGAGTGGACGAATAACCTGCTCTCGGGAGTTTGGCCAATATTAAACCCCAGCCTATTCGACTCTCTGGTCGACATGTTGGAGGACATTATGCAAGGCTCCATGCCAACCTTCGTTGTAAGTGTCGTGTCCACAGAGACAGGGAGCTTCCTCTCATTTCCCTACTTCATTTAGCACAACGTGCGCATTTCTGACCTCGGCTTGGGCAAATTGCCAATACGAATCACGTCGGTTCGGGCGTTACCGGACTCGTCAAACGACAACGCTCTTCAGAAACTTAGCGAGGAGGATCGCGAGCAACTGACGGGTGACCACATCAACCTCGAGATCTCCTTCGCGTATCATGCTGCACCCAGTGGTAGCTCGGCCTCAAGCAAGGCGCAGAACATTCAGTGAGGCACTCCGTACCATCACGTTAGTCTGTTGCTGATCACTCTCTAGTCTATTGATTGACTTCTTCACGGGCGTGAAGGAAGTCTGGGGGTTCAGCTTCCGTGAGTGCTTTGGTGCTCTGAAAGATCAGCACGAGCTAACCATCTGCCCAGCGGTATGGGTGGAGCTTAAGGGTATCGTCGGCACTGCGCGTGTTCGCATGCAGCTTATCCCCGACCCTCCTTTGTAAGTCATCCATGGCGCGACCCATACGAAGATGATCGACTAATATACGCTCAGCGTCAAAACGACCCTGATCACCCTGCTCGGTTTACCGCACATTCAGCCCTCTGTCACAGCTCTGTCGCGGGCGCTACCGAATATTATGAACCTTCCTGTCATCTCTGGTTTCGTGTCTTCTGCACTCGACACAGCTGCTGCTGAGTACGTCGCACCGAAGAGTCTCATTCTGGACGTTCAACGCCTTCTCGGCGGCGGCGACGTCCAGAAGGATACGACTGCCCTCGGCGTCCTCGTCGTCCACATCCACCGCGCAATCGGTATTCAGGGCATGGATAATGACGGCGGATCGGGTCAGTGTCTTCCCTTTGTGTATGGCAATATGGATACTGAACGTCTGTTGGTGATCAGCAGACCCATACGTGACGCTCACATATACCCGCCTGGGCAAGCCCTTGTTTTCGACTCGCATCATCAAGAGCGACCTCAACCCCATCTTCGAGGAAACAGCGGCGCTCCCTATCGATCTCAATGTGCTTAAGCTCGACGAGCGGCTCAGCCTCCAACTATGGGACTCGGATCGGAGCAGCGCTGTGAGTTTGTCTTTACCTGTCGCTTCACGCGTACTGAACGTCCTCTAGGATGATATGCTGGGATACGTCGAGGTCGACATTCTCGAACTCGTGAAGGACAAGAACAACGCCCATCGTCGCATCGGCCATCTGATCTCACCTGATAAACGCGACCGTCCAGGAAAGCTCGAGTTTACGGTTGGCTACTACGCTAAACTCCCACCGAACCCCAAGGCCCGCAAGCAGCCGGGTGACGCGCCCGGACGTGACCCTGGTCTCCCAGAAGACCTCAACATTCCTCGGGACCCGGACAACCAGGACGACACGGCCATCGGCGAGATCGAGAAGGCGGTTCTGCGCTGTCCTCCCGACGACGAATGGGTCAGCGGATTGCTTGCTGTCCAGATCCACGAGGTCCGCGACTTGGATGTTGGACGTGGCGGGTACGTTGACCAGGGGACGGGCAAAATGGGGCTGGGTATTAAGGAGCATATGAAGAGCGCTGTCGGACTTGCCGAGACCGAGGGACAGAAGGGCTCCGACGAGCAGGGTATGGATGAACAAAGCGAGGACTTGCCCTCAAGCTACTGCACGATGTACGTTGAGCGCCGCCTTCACGTTGAGCTTCGTTCTAACGATCGCCAAGCTCTCTCAACGATGAGATGGTCTACAAGACTCGTGTCAAGCCCATCACGAGCTCGCCCATCTTCAACGCTGGTACGGAGAGGTTCGTTACAGACTGGCGTACTGCGCACGTCGCTGTCAAGGTCATGGATTCGCGCGTGCGGGAGAACGACGCTGTGCTCGGCATTGTCTTCCTGAAGGCAAGCACAGCCTGCTTCGTCTATCCCCATCCACTTGCTGACACCGTCTACAGCTTTCCGAACTATTTGTCAATGCATCGCAGCTCACGCGCGTCTACCATCTGGAACACGGTGTGGGCCATGGTCGCGCTCGGATCTCAGTACTGTTCCGACCTGTTGCGGCAAAACTCCCGCCCGCCCTTCGCGGTTTCAACACCTGCACTGTTCGCGTCGGCTCGGCCGCCATCACGAATCTCACCAACAATGGTGAAGGGCTGAACCTGGCGAAATGCGAGCTCCGCCTCAAGTCGACGACAGGCGGTGGAGAGAACAAAGCTGCACGCCGCCCATCTGGCGATCTTGTCTGGCAAGCTGAGGATACCGATCTCACCGAGATTCCCGTGCGTTCACGCTTCGGTGCCGCGCTCGTGTTCTCGCTTAAGCCGGGAGGCTTGCATCGCGGCAAGGCAGCTATGACTGTGCTCTGGATGCGCGACCTCGTCGATGGCGTACGCGCCACCTTCGAGCTACCTGTGTGGGTTGAGAAGCACAACGGAGCATTCTCCCGCCTCAAGCAGAACTACGTACCCCTGAGCGGTGATCTTTCGGACTGGGATGAAGACAAGGAGAAGCTCGAGCGTGTTGGTACTCTCAAGGTCGACCTTGAAGTCGTACCGGGCATGAGCTCCGAACATCGAGCGCGGATGGGTGATGAGGGTGGCGTTCGGATGGGCGAGGAGATCGGTCGTGTGCAGCGTGCCGGAGGCCGCGAACATGTTGGACGAGTCCCGCCAGACCATGAGAAGAGCATCGGCGCTTCATCGCAAGGCTCAGATCAAACGACCACCGGGCCTACGCAACCTACCGCGGACCCCTCTCATGCTGCGACGGTTGGCCATGGCTCGCGCGCCTCGGCCGCTGCCACCGAAGCTAGTCATGGCACCAGCGAGCCGTACTCGACTGCGACGCAGGACGGACACAGCCCGCTCACCGCTAGCAGCGGCAGGAACACGGGCGGCACGAGCGAGCCTCCGTTCTCGACTATCGCAACTACCGGTCACACCCCACGAAGCAGTGGCAAGAACACGGGCACACAGGGCACTAGCGAGCCGCCGTCTTCCGCTGTCGCTACGACAGGCCATACCCCGCGAAGTAGCGGTCGAAAGACGGGCACGCAGAATAGCGAGCCGACATCCTCGGCCGTTGCCACTACTGGACACGGAGGCCCGAACAACGCCGGTAGCGCTGGACGCGGCACTGGTGGAACGGACTACTCTACGCGCGCCTCAGTCGGCCATGGCCAGCGCTGGCATGACAGCGCTAGCATGGTGCTCTCCCCAGCCTCGCTGAGCCAGGCGTCGCTGCAACACCGCCAGTCAAGCGGTTTGTCGGCAGGGCACAGTTCGGTTAACGCGACGGCTGGACATGGAACAGCGACGCGCCCGAGCATACCGGAGAGCACGTCGCCGGGCTTCAACTCGCTTGACGGTACGGATGGGCATGGCACGCCCGCCGACGAAAATATGGGTAATACGTTCGTGCCTGACGATGTTGAGCCCGAGATTCAGCGTCAACCTGGCGAACGAGATAGCCCTGGCGGGAGCACAGACGGAGGAAGTTCAAGTTGGGTCGCGGACGGCTACGATGTCAGAGGCCAGGATGGCGATGGACATGCAGACGGAAATGCGGATGGACACGTCGATGATGAAGACGAAGACGATGAGGACGGTGACGAGCAGGACGGCAAGACGAAGAACCCGATCAAGAAGCTCAAGAACTGGAAGCAGAACCAGCGCGAGCTCGGGCAGGAGCACCGCGGCGCGATGCAGGCTAAGCCGGTGCGCACGGCTGTGTGGATCAAGGATAAGGTCGAGGCGAGTGTGCACTCTGCCAAGGACCGCTTCTCCATGGAGGCTCAGCAGCCGGATCTCGAGACAGAGGTTTGATCTTTGCCTCACATGGACGTGGTAGGAACATCGATGCTTGTACGATCTCACGACGCTTTCATTTGTACTACTGTATATCGCTTTGCTCTCTTTATTTTGTTGTATCCATGCTCCATCTATTTGACGCTTTCTGTTGAGGACATATCAACTTACGAACAAGTTCACTGTACGAGCTATTGACGACGAAACTGTAATTGTACTATACCTGTCACTCATGTACTCATAATGAACTCCATGCCCTTATCCACGCCCTGACATGCTCAAGCCATCCGGGTCCCATCACGGAGATAGCGGCAGCAGCCGAGGCGCAAGCGCCGTCAACTTAATCTGAAGGAGTTTCGAGCGGCGTTCGGTGTCTCCATGATTATAGGGTATGTATTGCTTGCAACGACCGCAAGGATCCAAAGCACGACTAGAGCTACAGCAGGGACAGACCCAGACGAGACGAAAAACGGCATGTAACTTGTAATCAATCCCGAGTTGAAAGATGAATCAAGAATGATTGCGGTGGACCTGGCCAAAACCGCGACGTGAGAAACGAGGCATGTATGTCGAGAAGTGCGAAGGAGGACGACAAGATGTGTGGGGTGGTACTGTAGGTGTGAGTGTAGACGATGGCGGTTAAGGAGAGGGCATGATGCTTAGAGGGCGAGGATGGCGCCGAGGACGGCTGCGCCACCCATGAGGAGGTTGGCACCGTTGGCAGATGCGGCGCTGGATGCGGTCCTGAAGTACATGTCAGTCAAGGCTAGCTTTGAAAGAATGGGGAACACGTACGTAGAGGACGCAGCAGCAGCGCTGGCCGAGCCCGAGGCGGACGAAGCCCCAGAGGAGGCGGGCGCCGTAGCGCTCGCGCTCGCGGAGGCAGCCGTGCTAGAGCCAGCAGCCGCCGAGCTGGACACAGCGGTGATAGTGACGCCTACGGCGAGGCAGGCGTCGCGGGCAGTCTCGTTTGCCTGGTCGAGGTCGGAACCGGAGCAGGCCTTGGCGATGCAGGCGCTCGTGCTGTCGATGAAGGTCTGCGAATGGCAGACGCAGGTGAGGTCCGAAGCACTGTCGCAACCGCCGAGGTCGGGGTTTACGAGGCAGGTGTTGGCGCAGCCTGAACGGAGCAAAGGTCAGGACGAAGGCTTGAACGAATGAAGGCGCGATACGCACTGGGGTAGTCGCGCTTGCTGAGGTTCAGGGTCGCGGCCGAAGCGGAGGCGGCAAAGAAGAGAGCGACAACGGCGAAACGCATGGTGATTGGTAGTAGAAGATGCGAGGAGGTGAGTTGAAAGAGTAGTGACTGTGAAGCGAAAGACGAAGAGCGGCGCCGACGAGGGTAAGAACGGTGCGTGTCTGGTCGTATCCGGGAATGGAGACGGCGAGGATTATGTACCCGGAGCACAAAGGCAGGAAAGCGTATTGAACCGTAGCCCGAGTCTGGGCAAGCACGCCGACGCGTTCCTGGCCGATTGTTCTGGCCATCAAAATACCCATGCAGACATATCTCACGGAGAAGTCCGATTTAGTGAACAAGTCGACACTGCCCTCGAAGTCCCTTTGAGCAGCGTCTCTGAGAGCCACTAGCGAACGCTATGGGGATTTGGAACTCGAAGCTGTCAGAGATACGTCTCAAAGCGCCGCCAGCAGGCTCGCAAGAGTCAGACGCCCGTCCAATTCTTCAGGCACATGAAGGGCGAACAAGCATGAGAACGCTCTCAAAGAAGACACGAGGCAGGACAAAGGGAGGCGCACAAAGAGAGCGGGGCGCCTTGTACTCGAGCATCACCGCGTCTCCGTCCAAAACAACCGATATACTGCCGTGACGGTGTAGCTTATGGCGGAGACGCCCAGAAAAGTAAGTTCAAGGCGAACTCGAAATCTGAAGGGGAACAAAGGGCAGGCGGCCTTTTGAGCGGTGCCGACCCGTTCGGTTCGATATCAAGGACGGAGAGCTCAGGCCCAGGAAACATCAACACAGAAGTGTCATGGGCCGTACGATAGGCTTCCCAAACAGGTAGTGTGGGACTTTATGGATGCGAAATACTGGCCATCATTTCTGCGAAGGAGCGTTGCTGCACGTGATGCATCCGGAGTTTGCCGCGCGTGTGAAGGCGCGTCTTGCAGTTGCGAGCTCTCTTCTGCACCTCACCAAAAGTTCGCCGCCGTCGCGCTCGACATCCTCAAGACATGGTTTCCGTGCGTGCTCGTCGTTATATATGCCGAAACGCCGACTGACTGCTGGATAAACAGGGCAAGACCCAGAAGACGAAGGTGCATACCCGTCCATAAATATTACATTTAATCATTTCGCCAACATCCACCTCCTCTAGACGGGCGGCAAGACGCGCTCTGCGCTCCAGGATGTCGTGACGCGCGAGTACACGATCCACCTCCACAAGCACGTACACGGCCGCTCCTTCAAAAGCCGCGCACCCACCGCCGTAAAGGCCGTCGTCACCTTCGCACAGAAGGCGATGGGCACCTCTGACGTCCGCCTCGACCCCAAGCTCAACCAGGCGCTCTGGGCACGTGGCATCAAGAACGTCCCCCACCGCATCCGTGTCAAGCTTGAGCGTGAGTATCTGCTCTTATGCGATTGGAAATATGGGTTGGGAGGGATGGCCGGATCGGGATGGTGGGAAATGATGGATGGATGGACGGACAGCGGTGTGAGGGCTGGGACGAGACTTTGGGAAAACGGAGGCCGTGCACTTGAGCCAACGCGATGATTGAAACTCATGGAGATCCAAGCGCTAACTGTTATATTCTTTTTTCAGGCAAGCGTAACGACGACGATGCCGCGGACGAGAAGCTGTACACCTACGCCACCCATGTCCCGGTCGTGTCCTTCAAGGTGCGCTCATGATCATATTATGGACTCCTGAGCAAATCTGACGCTCAACACAGGGCCTCGAGACCACCATTGTTGACGCCGAGTAAACGTCGGTTCCTCCATTTTCATCCTGCCTTTCCGCCGTTGTATTTTTCCACGCACCCCATGCATGTATGCCACTGCCTTCTCACATGCCATCAATGCGATAAAAACAGGAAACATGCTCTGCCGCGAGATGACGAACGTAGAGATGTCTGCGAGTCTATACTCTCTACATCACGGCGATCAATAGCCTCGCGTGCGCGGCAATCTTGCTGTAGCCAGGCCGTGGCTTTGATGCCAGGTAAAGGCCGATGAGTCACCGCTGTCACTCACGTATATGAGCTTGGCGCGACCTTGTGCGCCAGTGCGGCGAATCTTCTCGTTGTGAATGAGTACCTCGTGTCTTGATTGATCGTGACAGATGTTGACCTGCTCTTGGACCATCCAGTCAATGACAGCTATCGATGTGGCCCAAAGATACCACGTCTACTTCAGGCTGTTCTTGTTTGCACACCAGCTATAAGTGCACGGCTGACCATCGAGTGCACTATCTTTCTTCATTATCTACCTTCACGTCGACGTTCAGACGATGTCAAGCCCACTAATCCGGAGAGCCAGGCGTGCTCGCAAGTATGTAGAACGCGGACATCAGTGAGCTTGAACGCTGATCGTAATGCCTTCTAGAGTGAATGGCAAGCGTGCCAGGGAGCCTGCTCTTCACGGCAGAAATTCTGCTGTCATGTCATTGAGCGTCGCGATTTCCGTGTTCGCACACGAGTCGAATGGCCACCACGGGGAGATGAGCAGCCTCCGCACGAACGGCCTCCCCTTCCTATCCACAGAAGTGCTCAGCATCATCTTCACCTTCCTCTCTTACGATACCTCCGACGGTCGAGAGCAAGGGTTATACCCCGCTTGGGTGCGCGCTTCTCATACTTGTAGACGTTGGCGCAACATCATCCTGAACATGCGCGCACTTTGGGCGAACAATATCTACTGCTTGGGAGCATCTGGCATCAAGACCGCTCGCGAGCGCGCGGGCAACTTGCCGCTCACAATTGAATTTGATGGGTTCCGCGGTGGAATGCAGTACGTTAAGAGCTTCAGTATGGCTCTACTGCTTTTGTCGCAGGCGAAGACGCTGCGCGGAACGTCGGCCTTCGGATCGAGCATCTACCAACCGAGCGGAGACACCGTGGAAGCCGAGATTGTCCGAGCTCTGTCCATGGAGCCGCTCCCCAAGCTCCGCGAGCTCGATATAGAGGTCACATACGTGAGCTGCCAGGCTTGGTGCTCGACATGGCCCTCTCTAGGCCACCTCAATCTGACTCGCGTTCGACTGTGGAACCTCTTCGTCCGACTGCCAACATCAGTCACCTCACTTTCCTTCAGCTGCCCGCTGCCGACATCCAAGCACTTGGCGACATTCACCGACGTCCTTCGGGGTCTTCCGGCCCTCTATGACCTTGAGATTGTTTACGATCGCGATGACGACGTCAAGCGCTGGGTGTTCTGTTACGGCTCTATTGCTTCTCGACAGGAGATCCCCCGCCTTCAAGTTCGCCACCTCACCTTCACCTGCACGAAGCAATCAACGTCTTTCGAGTGGGCGATGTTTGTAGCACAGATCTTCTCCGCACCTGTCCTGGAGACGCTGTGTCTGAAAGGCAACCCGCGCGTCCCCCATATCGTCTCGAGTGAGCCGCCCGCGCGTCCGACGGACATCCTCGAGGCTTTCCCGAGTGCACACGTCTTGTCGCTTGTAGACCATACAGATGACGAGATCATACGCGCGTTGGAAGGCCTCAGACCCCGCGATTGCTACGCTCCACGAGTCGATATGCTTATCATCGACTGGACGGAGGTTGGGCCAGCTGTCAAGGATATGGTCACAAGGATGGGGACTACCGAAGACTTTTTCGAGCGGTGGGCGGCTTGTCGCGAGCTCACTCTGCGTATGTCCGACAGGCTCACAGGGTTCCCTGACACCGAGCACTCCACATTCGAGCTGCGGATGCGAGACAATGTATACAAGGTTGATAGGCATCCCTGTGGCGCGTTCTACGACATTCAGATACATGGCTCATCGTAACGAGCTCTGTCGGTTGAGCTGACTATCAATTATCATGTACTACTGACGGCACGCCTTCAATATATACCCTATGCGTCATGTCCTGTTCTCAAACAAACGTCTATAGATCTGTAGGTCAGAGGTGCGAGGTTGGCGTGAGAGATGCAGACGTCGACGATGGAGTGTTATGGGTGATACATGATTTCGCAGCCAAGGTCATCTCCTCAGGTTGTATCAAGCGGAAGTACAAAGGACCGTCGAGATCTCCTAGTAAAGAAAGAGTACTGATGAGCGTTGGGTGAGAGATCGCTCGCCGCGCCACCGCGTCGTCGTTGCGGCGGTTTTCGGCCCGTGCGGCAACTCAACCGTTGATGCCCGAGCCATCGCCGACGTTGCCGAAGTGAGGTTCCTCCTTCTCCACCATTGTCCTTGCGTCGCTGGGAGGATCCAGGCTCGGCCGTTAACGTCCTCATTCCGACTGCGTTGCCGTGCAGCTACACCGAACTCTACACTCTCTCCAGTACCATTGCGAGTCGCCACTGCCGTGAGCGGGAGGTTAACGTCAGGCAGCTGACGGCGTTGAATTGGCGCTGGACTCTCCCTCCGGAATTCCGCTGATGTGATTCGGTCTGGAACTATACTGGCCATCTATATGAGCTGCAGCTGTCTCGTACGCCGCGAGTGATCACAAAGAGGAGCCGCCATGCCCGTGCTCACTCAGCTTCAGAGTCTATACGACCGTTCTCTCGGTCTCGCGGGGCCCCATCTTGGGCTGAAGATCACTGGCGCTTTGATTGGTAGCCTCTTGCTCTACATCGCCTACTCTGTGTATCGGCATCGGAAATGGCCCGCGTACACCATTCCTGGTCCACCATTCAAGGGCCTCCTTTACGGTAGCGCCCCGTCACCCATGTACGACTTTGCCGCCTTGTACCTGCACGAAGGGTGGTTCCGGAAGTATGGCCCGACAGTCCGAGCTTGGCTTTCACTCCTGCGACCTGCGATTATGACTGTCGACCCTGTGGCGCTGAAGCACATGTTGACGAGTACGGCGTATGAGAAGGGGGAACAGCAGAAGCAGTTCCTGGGCGACGTCCTAGGAGAAGGTCTTCTCTTCGTCGAAGGTGCCGAACACAAGAAACAGCGCAGAGTGATGGTACTTGATCTTTACTTCGCTTTGACGGTCATCATGACTGATGGTTGGGATCTTGTAGAGTCCTGCCTTTGGTCCTCTGCAAGTGAAGAGGTTCACGGAGACGTTCGTGCGCAAGTCACTCGAGATGCGGGATGTGTGGCTAGACATCTGTGCTCGTAATACGACGCGCGAGGACGGATATGCAAAGATCGACGCGTTCGCATGGCTGAACAAGGTCACGCTGGACATCATCGGGTTAGCAGGTACTGCACACCCATTCTTGCTGCACGTGGTGTACGTGGCTTACTGATGTATACATAGGCTTCGACTATGATATCGATTCCTTGCATGCCCCAGATGACCATCCGAACGAGCTTAACGAAGCCGTCCGGACGATCTTCTCGTTCGATTTCGGCCTTGGCGCGCTGATGCAGTTCTTGATCCCTGGTCTTCGTCGCATCGTGAGCTCTCAACGATTCACCTCTGTGCCTGCGACTGACGCTGTTCTCAGCCTACGAAACGTGCGCGCGAGCAAGCCAAGGCTCAAGCTCTCATCACGTCCATCGGCATGCGCCTTATCCAGTCTAAGAAACAGGCTATCATACGCGAGACCTTCCTTTCGCCCAACGATGTCGAGAAGAAGGATATACAGGGTTCCGATTTGCTTAGTCTACTGCTCAAGGCGAATATGGCGAGCGATCTCCCCGAAAGCTCCAGGATGAGCGACAAGGACATCGTAAGGCCTTCGTCTCTTCTTGGATCTCTTACAGTACTGATGTTATAACGCAGGTTTCACAAGTACCGACGTTCTTGATTGCCGGGGTACGTCTGCGTGCTGCACTTCTAAGCTGGATCTCACGCGAGACTCTTTGCAGCACGAGAGTATGTTATGAGTCACTGGGTCAAGCATTGATCTGCATGCTAATCAAGGCGCATCTTTTTCTAGCTACTAGGTGCGTACTCTGATAGACTGCAGTTACGTCCGACTTTGACCAACTTTCTCCTAGTACGGCAGTAACGTGGGGACTCTACGCCATGGCCTGCGACATTCGGGTCCAGCAGAAGCTCCGCTCTGAGCTCTTGACCGTCAATACGGAAACACCGACAGAAGCTGAGCTCAACAGCCTCCCGTACCTCGACGCCATTGTACGCGAGATCCTGCGGGTGTACGCACCTGTGTACATGACGGAGAGGAATGCGATCAGGGACGATGTTGTACCACTCAAGACGCCGATCCTGGGGACTGATGGTGTAATGAGGAGCGAGATACTGTGAGTCTCAGACTGGATCACGGAACGAGAGTGTGGCACTGATGAGAACAGTGTAAGCAAGGGTGATATGATCCGATTCCCAATTCAGGTCATCAATCGCATGGAAGAGTACTGGGGCGAAGATGCCCATCAGTTTCGGTACGCCCTTCTTCCTCCTCAACGATTTGAAGCACTTACGTCTGGATTTGTAGACCGGAGCGGTGGTCCAAACTTCCGGATACTGTGAAAGAGCTTCCGGGCGTATTCTCCAATATGCTCACTTTCTTCGCGGGGACGCATGCCTGCATCGGCTATCGCTTCTCAATCGCCGAGTGCGTACCGTTTAGCTCTCATAGCACGCAGTTTAACTGACACGTTACTCAAGGATGAAAGCGATTATCTTCACGATTGTTCGCTCCTTCGAGTTTGAGCTGCCAATAGCGCCAATGGATGTCATGAGGAAGACGATGATCGTGGGAAGACCGTCGTTGACAACAGACCCTACAGCTGGGAACCAGCTCCCCCTTCTTATTCGCCCTATCAATACGTGAAGCTGCAAGTATTGCACCCTAGTGCCCTGTTTTGATAGGGTAGAAAAGCGATGCTTATCTAGACGGTGTGCGGCGTCGAATGCAGTACTGTACAGATAGCGTACGGGATTTGATTGCATGTAATAGTATAGGAGCTATACGTGATGGTGATACAATGCTATATTGAGATGAGAGAGTATCTCTCAGAGAGAAAGCTAAGAGCGAAGTGACCATGCATGCAAGTACTATGCAACCACGAGTAAGAGCAAGTTGCAATAGCCTAGAAGTTGGGTATCAGTTTTCTTTACTGCACTACTTCCGCTACACTGGAGCTAAAAAGTGACTATCTAGCAGCACTACGATTGAGCAGAATGAGGCGAGGGCGCGCGCTCGTCTCATCGGCGATCGCGTCCACCGAAAGCGGGGTAAAGTCACGTTACCGCATCCGCGCGGGGGCCGTTTATTTCCTGTCCGCGACGGTTGATCTTGCCCCACGACCTTTACCGAGTGCACTATTGGGCACCTGGCACGAGATCGAATACATACATGTTATGCTTGGCTGATAACGCGCTCTGTATCCGACAAACCCGTTAAACCTCCTATGTGGCGTGTCAATGCAGGATCGGCGAAGTGACCCTTCAGGTTCGGGGATGCACGGGACGGCGTCTAGCGCGAAGACGCTACAATACTCCCACGTAAAGCTGCCTCTCCAGCTCGAGCATAACGGGTATGCTTATATCTTCTTGCCCTCGACTTAAAGGTAGTGCTTACCCGGACCGGTCAAACCGCTGTAAATCGCGCGAAGCTGTATGGCTGGTAGGCGATTACCCATGATGCGGACTCGCGAAGCTCTTCTGCCCGAAGGAGGTTGTGTTATGCTATCGTCCATCATTCAATTGCTGATTCAGTCAGAGAGACCTCGGGCGGAGCAAGTAAGTCGGCGCAATCCACTGGGATCGGGCATGGTCCCCAAGTGACCCGTCGAACGCCAAACTGAGAGGCAGCCCTGCCTGGCGAAGCGCCGGGGGTCGATCTGATTCTACCAGAAGCGCTACTGGGAAATGCACATCGCCGCCCGGTATACATAAGAGCTCCAGCAAATGTAGTCTACCCCTTGGGCTATCCCGAGTACCATGGCGGACTTCGTTACAAACTGGTTAACGCGGCATTGCGACTACGACCCGTCGACGGACATACCTGATCAGACTGGCAGGGTATTCGTGATTACAGGCGGCCAGTGAGTTCTCTCACTGCACAACTCCCTCGACATACGAGGTGGCATAGCCCTGATGCACCGTAGCTCAGGCATAGGATACGAGTGCACTAAGCAGCTCCTCGCCCACGGCGCGACCGTGTACATGACTGGTCGCTCACCTGCTCAAGCTGCGGCGGCGATAGAACAACTGGAAGAAGAACTGCCACACATCTACGGCCGTGGGCGCGTACGCTTTCTGAAGGTAGATATGAGCAATATACACGACGTGCAACGTGCAGCAGAGTCTTTCATGGCTCGGGTGAGCCGCCTCGATGTACTTGGTGAGGGTTTTGGCTTCTGGGATCTTGGGGGACGAATCAGACTGATCAACTGGGCGCTTCAGTGCACAACGAAGGACGTGCGCCTGATCAGTATGAGATGTCAAAGGAGGGTGTGGAGTTGAGCATTGCTGTAAAGTCAGTCGATCCCGCTGTCTTCTCCGCTTCTGTAGGCGCTGAACTCTATCTACCGCCGATGAAGCCATCTTGGGATCGCGGTGCTGACTGATACGCTCATGCCGCTTCTCAAAGAGACGGCTTCTCGATCAAACACCGACGTTCGCGTTGTAGTTGTGAGTTCGTTGCTCCAGTGACATCGAGCGCGCGCTTACTCTCACCAGGTCTCGTCCCGAGCGCACATGTGCAGGCCCCGTAAATGCATGCTGAGCAACCTTGAAGAGTGGAATCAGTACGGCGGGGCACGTGGAGATAGCACAGTGGCCCGACAGTCTCGGTTCGGTCAGTAAAGCCTTCGCTTCGTCGACTAGTGAAGGACTGAGGCGCATGAACTTAGGAATGACACGCTACATGAACTTGCTTTGGGTGCAGCAACTGCAGAAGGTTCTCGACGCGCAAGGCATACCCGTCACTGCACTTGCTCTGCACCCCGGTCCAAGCATTGTGACGTCCTTCAGTACGAGCCACCAACTACCGAACTGGATCAGCCACTCGATGAAGGCCGCGGGCCTATCCGCCGACAAAGCATCATACACGACCTTATTTGCGGCGACAAGTCCAGATGTGAGATGCCAGAGAGAGACATACAAGGGAGGGTATTTGGAGCCTTTTGGAAAGCCGAGGCAGCCTCGAGTGAAGGATGCTGGCGACACAGAAAGAGCGGAGGCACTCTGGCGCGCGACTGAGAAAGTGATGATGGAGATCCTGTCAAGGCCGCCTGATGGCTGGCAGATGCTGTAGAGAGTCGTGGCTTGTTCTGGGTTCCCGTGACGAGACGGTGTATATGTATATATATCCTAGAATGTACAACAACAATACAAAATGGGCCCTTATCTTACGGATGAAATCAAGCAAGCGCTCCCATAGGGTCCCAAGCAGGGAGAACAATCTTCTCATCGCTCTCAAATACCTTGACTAGCTCCTTCGCCGCGAGAGCCTTGGGCACAACGACCTGGTACACGTACTCCTCGAACCACTTGTCACTCATGACGAAGTAGCCTTTGTCGCCAACAGCGTCACCCCATGAGTTCTCGACCTTGTAGCGCACCGGCTTTCCGGCAGCGTCAAGGTGAACAGCCGTGATCACCATCGCGTGGGTCATGGCCGACTCGTTCGTGCGGATGCGGTCCGCCTTGGAGAGAGTCAGGCTGATATCGAATGCGTTCTCGTACGCATTGATATCGGCGTCCATGATGCCGAGGTTGCGGTCAGACGATTGACCAACGTCGCAGCCGAAGAAGACAGGAATGCCGGCCTTGATTGACTTAACAACTGCAGCCTTCAGGTCTTCAGCCTCAGTGTTGACGTCTGAAAAGGAGTTCAGTATGAGCTTTATACACCATGACTGTCAACATACAGAGGACAGGGCGGCCGCCCCAGACGTTGCCGAGCTTGTCAACAGTGTAGAGCTTCTTGTACTCGTTGCGCGGGTCGTTGATAAGCGAGAACGAGTCCGCTACAGGGTACGTCTTGCTCGTGAAGTCCTACATGACGCGTGTCAACGGATTCCTACACGGGTGCAGTATGATAGCTCTGGGAGCACGTACCTTGTAGAACTGCTTAGGCGTGCCCTCCCATGTGTGCGGCTTGCCGTCCTTGTCATAGTAGTCCCACGTGAAGGTCGAGTCAGGCAACGGCGGGACTCCGAGGGTAGCCGTCATGACATTGTACACCTCCGACAAAAGCTCCTCCTTCTTCGCGCGAAGGGTTGCCTGTGCAGATGCGGCGCTGACACCCTGTGCGCGAAGTGAGTGCGTTAGGTCACGCAGGATGAGCGCGTGCTCGCGAAGACGCGTCTTGAGGAGCGAGTTGATGGGTCCGGAAAGAGATGAATGAAGGGACTCGGGGTACACGGGCTGGGGGACCACGCCGTAGGTCTAAGATATACAAACACGAATGAGTGAAGCGAAAACTAATGTCAGACGGGTAGCGCACCTCGAGTAAGTTCACAATCATGTCCCACTGTCCACCATCGCTGATCAGATCGCCGGCGAGATGATTGATAAGGCGGTCATCAAGCGGGCGGTCAGCCTCCTGGATCGAGAGCTCCAGGTAGTAGTTTGCCTTGTTCAGCTTGTCCCAGAAGAAGAGGTAGTTCTATGAGCGGTGTCAGTATACCAACATCACTGAGGCTATCAATTAACGCACCTGCGAGCACTGGAAGTCCGAGAGATTGAGCTTCTTCATGATGTCGTAGCGGAGAACGTTGGTCGTCGCAAAGATCCAGCAGCGCCCACTGCTCTTCTGGGAGGTGATCGGGGAGGTCTTGAAGGGCAACTCCGTGTTGAAGACATGGTAGTCCGCAATCTTGACCTCGCGCTTCAAGAGCGTGTTAATGTTCGTCTGTGAGAAGACAGTGCGAGCGAGCTGCGTCTTCGCGGAACTCTTGGCCGCATCCTCCCAGTCCGAGAGGCTCGCCAGCGAGATAGTGCCGTCGGCAGACAAAGGCGCGGCCAGCGGCACCTGCGACGTGATACCAGTCTTCTCGTCGATGCTCTCGCGCTTGACGGAGACCTGGCTCATCGCGGGAGCTTGCGGCTTGGAAGAGGCGGCACCCATGGCGGCAGATGGATAGAGATCGACAAAGGAGTGCCGTCAAGCTTATATGTGGCTAGCTCACAGAGATAGCGCACCTTCCCAGTCGCGTGCAGTTGGTCAGGCTCAGGGACTCCAGGGACCGGCGTTCAACGAAATCTCGACATAAATGAGCGATAAGGCGAGCTCCGCGTGGAAACAAACATTGCCGGCGGCAGCCTTCAATTACGACGGATCGCGACCTTTTGCAGATACGCTTAGATATAGACATACGAATACAGACGAGTATAGATGTACCAGAGAGTTTATCAGATTATGTCGTACGTCAACATCCATAGCGGAACGAGACCAACGCAGAAGGCAACCGCAGTCGCGGGACGGAGAAACTTGACCGAGCCGCGTCCGTGGGAAATCCAACTACGCGGTCACGCGTGTTGTTGTTGTTGACAATTCGGGATGCGCGTAAAGCTATTCCATCAAGGGCTGTGCTCAACGATCAGAAATCCGGACCCGAGGACTCGTAAGGCAAAAGCACGTTCTATGTAATTCAAGGGCACCGGAAGACTTTTTGCCGCACGATCTTCAACTTTCTGGCGTTCTTAGCATCGGCACCCAAGGCAATTATGTTCATTTCAGTAGTACACACGACATCGGCAGTCTTTAGTCCCAGTAGGTCATGCATCCAGAGTCTCAAGGCTCTCTCACAAAGCGAGCTTGCCGCTATAGACAGTCTCAGCTGGCGCGTTGCTGAGCTGGTGAATATGACTTACCCGTCAACAAAGTACTCAGTGCCAGTCATGTAACTGGCACGGTCTGAAAGCAGAAGAATGGCCAATGACGACATCTTCTCCGGCTATTCGAATATAAGCTCAAGCCTGGATGACCTTCAAGCAAACGCGCACCTTTGCAAAGCGGCCTAGTAAGGTCTGTGACGCTTGGTAGTCCCTAACATCTTGTGGCATCCCGCTAGTTTGATCCGTCTCTACGAAGCCAGGCGACAGCGCATTGACGCGGATCCCATGCGGAGCCCACTCTGCCGCAAGACCCTTCACCATGTTTGAAGCTGCGCCCTTCGACGCGTTGTAGAAGATCTGAGTGAGGGGTTTGCCCACGCCGGCACTATTGTAGATTTGGGAGGACATCGATGATACGACGACGATGGAACCGCCGTGCTTGCGCTCTTGCCAGAGTCTGAATAGTTTCATGAGCACAGGAAGCAAAGCCAAAGAAAATCGACGTACTTGGCGGCGGCACGCGCCGAGTTGAAGACTCCCAACACGTTCACTGTGAACACCTTGTTGAAGTCCTCCGTCGTGAGTTCGACCGCTGGCTTCACAACCGACACTCCAGCGTTCTGGTACAGATTCAGCCGCAAGCTACAGAGTCATTGGAAGAAGTACGCACCGCGATGAGACCGGTGATCGGCCCGATTTCTTTGTCGACAGAAGAGAACGTCGACGTTACAGCGTCCGCGTCCGACACATCGCACTGATATGCCTTTGCCTTAACGCCGTACTGCTTTGCAATGCCCTCTGCAACCTCAGGCGCGTCCTTCGATCCACGATAGATGACCGCCACGTTGGCGCCGGCTTGAGCGGCGGCGTGGCTCATGGCGAGCCCGATGCCGCGGTTGCCACCGGTGACAACGACACACTTCCCTACTCGTGAGAGTTACACCGGTTCATAGACGATGTAGCATAGTACGTACCTGCAAAATTAAGAGCGAATCCTTTCGGCGACATGTTGTCGGTGTTGGTATGGTGGACAATGTGGGTAAGACGGTTGAGTACACTGGACATTCGCGATGATGTCTAATTATACCGATTCAAGTGGGCGATGACGGGTTGAGTGACAGCCCGTCTCGATACGCGGCTTTTACACATGCAACTTGGACGGTCCTTCGAGATCTCGGAGCAAGAGCAGTGGATTATGAATGTGCAATGTGACGTCAGACGCCCGAAATCGTTGGAGGCGAGCGCCTATGCGAGGGGCGAGGCGCGCAACGCGCTTATGGGGCCAATATCCATGTTATGTATTGTCAGAGAGATGACGCCGCGATCGCGGCTATAAGGCTTAGTGACTAGAAGATGGTGTTGTTGTACAGGCGCGTGACAAACTCCGCCATGGTACACTCCGTCACTGCCATGACCTTGCCGTACTCACACCAACTTCCCATCGCCTATAGAAGAGAATGTCAGCCCACTGGTGACCGCCATGAGTACAGTGAAGACATCGTATGTCACTTGATTATGCAGCACCTTTCTCCGCGCGGCGACGTTCAGCCCACTCCCGCGCTCTCGCACGTCTAGCCTGCTTCGCGGCGTCTTCGTCATGGACCAGAGTTTCATGGATATGAGTGTCACTGGTAGGGTCATCTGGTGCGGTCCTAGTCTGCACGGTCGCAGAGGTTTCCTCTGCTTCTTCATTGGACCCATCATCAGAGCCAGAGTCATACGCCGTCAAGCCTCCCAATCCAGCGTCTACTTTCTTGGGCGGACCCTGCTTCTCCGCACGTACTTGTGCTTTGACTGTCGCCCACGCTCGGGCCCACCGGCCACGAAGGAATGAGAACTCTCGTTTAGAACCATGGTTTGCAAGGATACGCATTTCCAACTGTGCTGCGTTGGGGGAGGCCAGGAGATGACCAGCTGTGCGTTGCATGATGGCACGCTGAGCATCATCGGGCTGTAGTTCAGTCAGCTCGCAGGAAGGGTTGACTGAGCAAAGGTATCTGACCTCTTCGTCGCTTCCTCCCCAAGGATCCTCATCAACAGGCTCTTCCTCATCGTCGGCAGCAAGGGCTCGCATGCGATCCTCGCGTAACTGCTCGATAGCACGTCGACGTTTATCACGTTCGTAATCTTCGATATCTTCGGGAGCCAGGAAGAACGTGTCTTCCGCGTCTGAGGGTAGGTCTGACCATCCTGGAGAGGAAGAGCGAATATCACTTGATGTATCATGCCCCGCTCCGTTTGCAACTGGTGGTCCGTCTAACAGTAGTCGCGCATCATATCTGCAAGTATAGTCAGTAATTGCTTCCCACTTAGAGAACGGAATCGTGAGATGTACCAGACCCAACCTTGCTCAGGTACGTTAGTGTTCGAAAAGTCGAATGTAGCAATGATCAAACAGTTCATGTATTCACAGAGGGACGGTATGTACACAGAGATCTGAATGTATACAACATACCTATCTACCCATACATCCTTTCCTTCGAGTGATTCCCAACCGAGTCTGATGAGTCTGCTGCCAGGTAGATGTGCCAGCCTCGCCTCCAAAGCGTCGGCTGCGCGAGCGGCTCCGGGTCCGCGCTCGATGTCGGCTTCATGTGCCACAATGTGAAGCGCAGGGTCATATTCATGCTCCTGCTGGGTAGGGTGCTGCCAGTGCTGCTCCGGTTCTTGCCGATCGCCCTCCGGTTCGTCATCGCCTTCATATTTCCCGCGTGAGCGGTTGGGATGTTGTCCGCGGTATTTGCGTTTACGAGAGGACATGGGCACCGCAAAGGAAATGGTGACGGTTCGAAGCAACGTGTGGCAAACGCGTCTCCGGTCCGAACGCCGGCAGTTTGTTCGCGTCTTGCTGACCGACGCACGCGTTTCTTTCCTTGTCCTCGACCACCACTTCCTACTTTTTCTCATGGACAACCAGGGCGGCTATAACGCGGGAGGTCAGGGTGTGACACAGGGTGGCGGATGGATGCCGCCTATCCGCCAGGAAATGCAGTACCTCTGTGCAGGTGCGTGCTCGAGAAACTTTCGCCTAGCTGCCGGCTAAACTCAGTCCTTGTAGATTGCGGTGCGGAGAATGAGATCAAGGCACGAGAGCCGATTCGATGCAAGGAGTGTGGTCATCGTATAATGTACAAGAAGCGCACCAAACGCAGTACGTTTCTCATCTTGTTGTGGCGCTTAGCATCCCGTTCACACTGGTGCAGTGGTCCAATTCGAGGCACGATGAGACTCCGCTTGCATCCATCATATAATCGCCCAGCTCTATACGTGCATGGCACATCTTTGCATACGTGCGGCGCTACGGCGATGCTCGCCGGGAATTACTCGCTATCAGGACCTAGAGGTTGACAGCGATGCCTCGTTCTAGTGTTCTCCTCCCCAACTATCCGCCTACATCACTGTATAGGCTTAATGTTGACTGCGAAACTACTACTGCCTCTGTCTGCAATGCTGTCATATTGGCGCGACGCCTACTGTATTTGAGAGTTGACCTACAGAATGGATGCGCGATGTCTTGTATAGGGCCAGATGAAACCGTGACAACTCGATGCTTGCTAAGCCTTAAATAACGATATTCACCGTCGGACGCTGATCTATTCCAGACCATAACTGCTCGGTTTATGCCGCGGTCGTGTCAAACCTGCGGATCCCTAGTATCAATGGCCGGAGTGAACGCTATCATCTACTGTCACCTCGTCCTCAGCACAGAAACCTCAAATGTGTGATCTTTCAATACTTACCCTCTCTCATAACATGGGATTAGTGGGCCAGGGGTGTGCATAGAAGGCCGGCTATGTCAAGGAACACTAACACTTCTTGAAGCCTGGGACTTGACATAGTCTTCAAGTCTGACTCAGCGCCTACTAAGCACCGCTCCCGAACTCAGCGGCCGACGAGCTCGGCGCGTCAACATCGGCAGCGCTATATGTATGCGTGTTGGCGCGACTTGCGATTTCCATGAGTGCTGCAGCGAGGCATTATTGTCAATGCCGAGCTCTGAGCGTAGATCCGTCCGATTCCCCGAGGCGATAAGAGTGTTCGAAGGGGAATGACGTCCGGCGAGGCGATGAGCGTTCTTACACTGGATGACTCGTGTTTTGCGTGGTAGGGACGAGGGGCGGGTCCGCGCCGCGCGGTACAGGCAGCAGGCGCTGGACCCGATATAACGGCGCGGAGAATGCCGTGTCAAATATCAAATCCATCTCCGGCGCTTTGTTCAGCGCGTCAACGCGCGCGCGACGTCGCTCTGCGGTGACCCATCTCTCCCTTGCGCTAGCCCCCTAGTGTCACGCAGCTTTCTTGCGTTCCAACTCACAGAGGTCTTGAACGCCCACCAATGCGTTCATCCGTTCATACTCGGGAGATGTAATTTCGGCCTTGCGGGCGCCTCGTGTTGATCGGAAAATGCCGTGTCATTCCAAAAGCACAAAGCAAGGTGGATTTCTTCCCACCATACGGTTCCGAATACCCGTTTTGTACGTGTACAATTTGTACGGTGACTTGTACATGTCTTCTTCCGAGAGCGTACGCTCTTTTCTGCCAAAGGCGAGTGCTTGCTGCTGCTCGAATAGCTGGTAAAGGGACTGCGGTATGTGCACACAGACGCCCATCTTCATCATCTTCTGTGGATGAAGGGGCTAACGGAGTCCAGCTTTCTCGAAATGGTAATACAGACCTTATCGCTGGAATCTGCACTGATCATCCTCTCACGCGGGCGCGTGCGGGCGAACGGAACCGGTGCTTCCGGATGGGCGACGTTCTGCTTCAAAACTACGGCACGAAGCAATTGGCGCATCCTGCGTTTGACATCCACCACCGACCCATTCCGCCCTTCCTCCCCGCGCGCACTTGAGCTCGCTCTATATCAATCCCCCTCTCGCGACTCGCGCTACCCTCGACCTCACACCTGCCTCGAGCAGACGATATCGAGATCATAAGCGAAGGGACGCGAACAGTCGCATCAACCACAACGTACCACCGCACCACCGCACACCCGTCCCTCCCCCATTTCAACGCCATGAATTCCCTCGCGATCTTCACGATGGACTGGGAGTCCAAGAAGGAACGTGATCTCGAGCAGCTCGCGCCCATCCGGGTTGCTCGCTACTCCTTGTTGTTTTCCAGCCTTGGGCGCGAGGAACTCAGCGTAAGCTTGGCCGTTTGTGCTTCAAGCTCTTTAGCTGACTCCCCACAGCTTCCTCCCATGCTTGCGGCACCCCGCGCCAGCTCGCTGCATGCGCCGTCTCTCTCAGGCGCGTCAACGATGTCGAGCTCGGCTTTCGACTCTCGCCCTGCCACTCCACTCGACGAAGAGAGCCTTCAGGGCTTGCGCGTGTTCGATGCGCACGCAGAGTACGATCCCCTCCGCGCACCCAAGCTCAACACTATCGCCCTCCCTGATGTTGGCGAGGTGGACGATTTCGAGATCGACACCAGCAGCGACTACGGCGATGCGGGCGACTACATCACCGAGGAAGACTACATGGTTGACAGGTCGTTTGACGAACTCGAGCCGCTGTCTGATCGTGTCCGTGGCTGGGCGTTGTCGAACGAAGAACATGACCAGGACGGCACGTACGCCGTCGCCATCCCCGAGTCCCTTCAGGAGGCGTGGGGTGGTCTCGGCGGGAAGACGCCCAAAGCCGTCCGGCCGGCGCTTCCAGCGACACCTTCCATACGCGTGTCCCGTCCGTAGGCCCAGCGCGTCCTGACGGTTCACCTTGGTTGTTTCATTGTCGCATCGGTTCTGTTGCATCTGTATCACATCCTCATGAGCACTCTTGTCGCACATGCATCGTTTTGTCGCGTCTTCGCTGACGCGTGTTGTATACCCAATCATCACTCCCACGGCGCCCACCTCCGAGGTTGCCCTTCACTTGCGTATTCCCTCTCCCCACGACTCGGTCATGAATCATCATTGGACTGTACTATTAGCATCCCCAGGATATCCACACTCAATCCCACTTTCCCCCTGACTGCTATCACTTGCTCGGATATCCTGTCCCCATCCCATTTACTAACACACTGCTTGCGCATCTCTATCCCCCGGCCGCCTTACCCACCCCTTCACCGTGTTCATTTGCATTGCACCTCGTTCGTCATATCGCGCACGGTCGATACTGTACTGTACGAGCTGCGCTCTCAAATGCAATGTACATCCAGCTGACCACACTCGGTCATGCTGGCTCGCGTCACATTCCATATATCTCGAGCTAGATCAGGCGCCTAGTTCTAGATCTGACCCTCAGGACACCCCCCTTCTAAGCTTATATTAACCCAACAGCTACTTCGTACCTTCCGAGAAGAGTGTTATTCTCATGATTTACACTTCTACTAGACCTGCGTCCATCCTTTCGAACTCGCTGGCGGTCGGCGCTAGACGCTTTCTGTCACCGCCGGCGCGCGGTCCGTGCATTGCGAACGGACGTAAAACGCCTCATGGTCTGTAGTACACTGACGTCGATGGCAAGCGCCCGTTAGACGTTGATAAAGCCCATCTGTCGAGATGTCGTTAAGGTCACTAGCACGACCACCCAATGGTGCAGCAACAACTGTCTAGCGCGCCAGACCCAGAAGGCTGTCTGCGTCAGCCGACGCACGAGGAGGCGATTCTTTACCACCACGTCTGGCGCGCCCTTCTTCAGAGCTCTCCTGATCGCGCTGCTCTGCCGCCGGAGATCGTCTCCTACATCGTTGTCCTCGCCGGATGGATACTACCTGACCACTCGCGTAAGATGGAGACATCCGAGCGAGCCTACATCAAGTGTTACGATGGCGACGAGTCCGCGAAGGTCTCCAAGCGGTGGTTTGCGACTGAACCCCTCACCGTCCGCGACATCAATGGGATAGCCGCCCTCCGACTCATCACGGGTTCAAAGGATCAGGGATGGACATCTCTCTCACCACCGGCGAGCTTCAGCTGGTTCGAGGTCGCGGTAGAGCGAGAGGGGAAGCCTGTGTCGCAGCTTCAGTGGAAGAGCCACCACAACTCATTGTGCGGAAAGAGGATGAG